TGTGTATTTTTTATCATTTCATTGTTATTACTGGTTCTTATTTAATCTTCAACTGTCGACATTTTTATTTAATCTTAATTGAGTTAATTTTCCATCTATAACTATTACAATAAAACATAAACACATACACAGGATATGTATATGTATAGACAGACATACTTAAACATTGCATAAGGTTTCTTCTTCATAAATTTTAACAGGTTTTTCTTTATTGCTATTTCGTTAGTAAATTTGATCCAAGCACAATTAAAAGAAATAGTGTCACGACTCTGATTATAGTGAAAAATATTAAGGACAGTAAATGTTGCCATTTTATAGTTTTTTAGGTTAGATTTCATTTTTCGACCTAATGTTGCACAAAATGTATTCATTTATTTAAATGTCCTTTTAAATGAATTATATTTTTAAATTTTAACGGACTTGTATGTGATAGGTTCTCTCTACAATGCGCTAATTGTTCATAATTCTAAATTCGACATTTTCAAACATTTTCAATTATCAAACATTACTTGACGTAATATTATATTACCTAGTAGGAAGAGCATTCCAATTCGTTGACTTAAAAGTGACAATATACTGTTTTGTCCATTTCTACATCACTTTTCACAATTAAATTTTACGGATTTTCCACTGTTTTTTTTATTTCAAATGTGGACTTATCGAACACGTTTTGAGACAAACAGAGTACACGTCATAAAATAATCCTGACTGGCAGTTATTGTTTCATTATTTATTTTATTCCGATCTGCGCAAAAAGAGCTTATAGTATCTTGAATCTTGCAGCGGTTGTGTGCTTTATAAATTAAAAGATCCCAAGCTGAGAACCTATCATACAACCCAAAACCACCTTCTCTATTAAAATACGACTTTTTTATTTCAATAGACTCCCGGATCATACTTGGGACAAATCAGTGCTTTTTTCAGGGTTTTGAGGTTTAAGGAATGTAATGTAGTCGAATTTTTATTTAACTCTTTGTTTGTCCTCAATAAAAGACACGTAATAATGCGAGCGAAAAGCGATAAAATCGGTTTTCAACATACCCAGTATTTTTTTTTTCATGGGAAAAGTTGGCATGCGATTAGGCAGTTCACCTGATGTTAGTGATTACAGTTATTCATAGACATATATCCATAGACATATACTTGCAGATGTGTTACCAACCTTTGAAAAACTGGAAAAGTGGAAATTATAGTTACACTTCACATCGGTTTACTTCAACAAAAACAGAAGCTGCGGCGTGACTCTACCAAAGTAAAAGCGAAAAGTAAAGTTACAGTTTATACATGTATCTCACTGCAGAGTAATACCTCCTCTGTATTGAGGCTATTAGGATACAGTACGATGCGGATAGTCGAACTTCACATATCCTCGAAATATGTTTTTATTATTATTTCGAAAATGTGCAGGTTTCCTCAAGCATTCTTTAATAATATAAGCTTATTCGAAACAAAAAAATAAAACAATTAAGTAGAGACTTATTCCATTGTTTAGTTACATTAGTCCCCCAACAAAAAATAAACTTGAAACCATAAGAGAACTTTATCACTTCAAGCGAAATCAGTGAGAGAGAGAGTTAAGCCAGGACTTAGTTACTTAATCTTTTTTCGTTAGCAACTGTGTAGCGCTTGACTACTATAGAACACAGTACCAAGTGCGGTGTACTATATCAATATGGAATCTTTTATTTTAATCTAATCCAGATGATACAATTTATGCCAATAATTGACACCATTTAAAAGAGTAAATTAAAATAAAAAAGGACTTGAAATAAAGAGTATTTTGTAGTAGCTTTTAGCATAATTCGAATAAGCAGTCATCCGCATTTAAAAATTCGTTTGTGATTATTTTTCCTTTTATTCTCTCTCTTCATCCCAGAGCCCATTTTATATCAACTTACAGTAAATTACATCTACGACATGAAAAAAGAATAATGACTACTAATGAAGGCTGTAATAAATAAATATAGCAATATATAGTTTATTGCTCTAATGTTTTTCTTTGTCTAAGTACTAACGTCTTTACATCTCAATTACGTTACTTTAAATATTTGCCCATTGTCAGAACGTTTAAATTTTTTGTCGCATTGAGCGATCGCTTGGCCTTTATTGGCATCAATCAGCGTGTGCTGTGACGGGTGCGGTGCGTTTCGTATTTCAATAATACGTCCAGCATAATCTATCACGTGTATTGTGATAGCGAGACCGTAAAGAAATCGCTGATACACCGTACGGAATTATGGGTGCTGTGAACGGCAAATCTCCACAGCCTTTCTTATTGGCGTAAACATTTTGGATATGGTTAGCAACGTTTACAACATGAGTAGTAAACGTTTAGAGATTTAGATTTAGACACGATTTAGAGTCATCAGTTACAAAACTCCTGTTAAGTTAATTATATATTTAAATAAATATATTTCAACATATGTATGTTGCATATGATTTATATTATAATAAAATTCAGTAAATTATGTATTTCTTCCTATATATATTTTTAAGTTAAAGCAGTAAGGGCACAAAAGGCACGTTTTTGCACGCCTTTTATTTTCAAGTAAAATTAATGACTTGATCATTTAGTTTATTGAAATAGCTTTAAACAGGACACGACTAAGGTTTTACGGCCGGAAAAATGTTTTATCATATTCTCTTTTACTATTCGTATTAAAACACATATCCGTTACGTGAAGGAAATGCCGATAGATAAAACGTATGAAATGTCCTCTGCGATACACCAGCCATTACCAGCTTCTACGTAGAAAGTGGAGAACGAGTGCAAATAAAAAAAAGCACTTTAATCAGCAAAATTGAAGCTCAACGAAATCAAAGCGTGAAGAGGTGGTATCTGATTTGTTTATTTTTTAACAACCCTAGAAGGAAAATTTCATTACATGTATTACTATTTAGAATTCGGAACTAGTATTAATGGTCAACTATTGAAACTAAACACTGAAATCTGTTTATATAGATTTGCGCAACAGAAAAATAGAAAATACATCGTGAATTTAATAAAGTTTGCAAATGAAGAATATTCTGCGCCATAATACTAAATGTCAAATGAAATCATTTTAAAACAATGCAATTGCAAACTGTTTTTAAATTATTTCATTCAACAATTTTATTAATTGACAGACACTTCCTGCTGATTTCATAGCAATTACTTTAATAAATTCAGAACTTATTGCTTAATGATAAAATTACAAAAAACAGTCCAGACAAGTGTCAAAAAGTTTTTCGTATTTTTAGAAGAATACAACGAAGGTTTGTTTCAGACGTCTAAGAAAAATCGAGATTAGTGTTCCTTTTTACAATAAATTGAAGACCTAGGTAAAAATCTGCTATAATGTCTATCGTTTTATATTCATAGCTGCAAAGCATATACAATATACACTATCCCTTTTTAACACGCTTTTATTAGCTTGATATGTATGTTTGTTTGTATGTAAGTCGTGATTTTGACTTACTTCAAAATGTTGAATTGAAACTTGACTAACTGAACTTAATAAGTTTATCCTATTATCCACTAACCAAGATCTTCAACATTATCAGCTACGGCTACCTCTCTCACTCAGATGAAATGTGAAAGTGTAGCACTCGACTTAACACGGGACTTCCGTGAGATCTTGTTACTTAACCGGACGAGGCTGCCCATTCGTGCAGTATCAAAGGCTGTTGCGTTGACCTGTCTCTGTGGTTTTTAATTTGTCATGTTTTCATATTATTCATCAATTTCAACTAAATGCAAAATTCAAACTAATGCAAATGTAGTTGAAAAAAGTCTGTTAAAGCGTTTGAAGTAAAATTCAAAGTGCATTAAAGTAATATTAACACAATGTATATATTTTAAAAACTTTATTATTTACACAAGGGTCAAATAGTGTGCGTTACAAAAATTTGATCAACGTTCGCATCACACATAGTAATAGTTTTAAATTTTCAAATGTTACGTGCATAATAAAGAATTAAAAAAATGCTAAATTGTAAACTTATTAAGATTGAGCATTAGGATACAGAAAACTTGAGAAGATAAAAGCCAATTATGATATTATTGAATTTTTTTAATCGCAGATTGACATGGGCTGTTTCGGAAAAACTTAAAACACCTTATATTTTAGGCGTTAAGTTATACATAGAACTACTTGTTCTATTGTGGATAACTTAGCCAAGATGAATTAAAATTAAAATGACACTCACCTGAATAAAATTCCAACGAAGATCAATTCGAATATGGTTGTCCTTTTCATGTTTAAGGTTTTAAAAGAACAGTTCGCGTCAGTTAAGTTTAGGCGACACGAGAGTGGTAACACTGTCGGCGACGGATGTTCATCGTTCCGCTAAAGTCCGCGCTACAGGCTCACGTCTGTACTCGCTTACCCACCTCGCCTCTACGCATGCGTAGCACAAGCAATGCCTCAGCGTAGATAGCAAAATACCGCGAAAATGTTTTTCCCAGTTCCTTATAACGATATTTATATATATTTCAGATATATGAATTTATGATTTTATGGATTCTGACAATGAAAAAATGCAATGAATCATTCATTGCGTTAAAATAAATGTATTTTAACGTGATTGAAACGAAATTTTAATGTATGTAGATGTCATTATGGCATTTCAGAATTTTCGCTACCGTTAACCGAAAATGGTTTTTACGGTGCCACGTTTATCACAGCACACGCATCACTCTTGTTAGACTTATTACTTTTTATTGGATATTTTTTTGATTTCTTATTTGTGTGTCAAATCAGCTATCATGTTTTAATAATGTGACTTTTACTCAATATGTCAAAAGAAATAATCCTTTGTAGATTAATGAAAAAATTATAATATATGATTGTTCAATTAATGTTCATATCGGAAAGAAAATTCGAAAAACGCTTCGCTGTAATTAACGTTTATAAAGTTGATTGATTACATTGTTAACATAACAGTATCTACAGGCTATTCCGTTGGGGAAAGTCGAAGCCTACGTTTCAATTCTATATTAGAAATAATATCTCCAAAAAATGGTACGTTACCTAAAATAATTTAAAACATATATTGGTTAGTAATTTATATTTCTTTTAACTACCTACTTATGTCATTGGACTTTCGTTATTAAATAAGGAAAGATTCCTAACTACGAAACCGGAGGTGACCTCTGAAAACTCTTAGTTATTGCTAGGAATATGCGAAACATCCACCATAATGTCACTAGCGTTACTCGCATAGTTTACATAAAATACATTTTGAGGGACGACCTTCTTTGTGAGACCAAGAATAAATGCTTGCCACATGATCATATTATCTTAATTCCTGCTAAATGGTATATGTAGATAGTCCATTTTATTAAGTAAAATAAGACTGTTAAAATAAATACTTAATATATTAATTGCAGATGTACTGAATATAATTTTTAGTAATAAATTATTAATGACGATTTCAAGTAAAAATAAAAATTTGCAAAGCAAAACTATGTTTGTAGTTAAAAAAAATAATATTTAGTTGCCAGTAATTTTTATATTAATTGAGTAATGTGTTTATATGTTTTTATAAGTAGGGATAATGCACAAATTATGTCACAGTACGATAGTAACAGTTTCTAAATAAGTATTTTATTATCCGTAACATTTCACGTTCCGCAATTGCAACGTTAAATATGATGTATTACGTAAACGTGTGTAAAAATCCTAAGCCGCAAAAAGTAGTGATTAATTAAAATCTGAAATTAAGGATGACTCTTCATGTATTCGTGTCACTGCTATGAAGTAATGAGAACTTATTTAATTTAAATGCTACGTTAAGTTTTTATTATTATATGCACTCGGATAGAAAATATTAAGACATTGCACATTTTATATTAATATTCATATTTTCTACAAAAGCATTATGAATTTCGTTATTTAATGTTTTATTAATACGCCCTAATTTAAGTAAGTTTTATAAAAAGTAAGCTTATATTTCTCCAAATGATGGTAAACATTTATATCTATACTTATTTATACTTATAATAAATCTATAGAGTTTGTTTATTTGTTTGATTGAACGCGCTAATCTCTGGAACTACCAGTCGGACCTGAAAAAATATTTTTGCATATGATATCCGAATTCATGAGGAAGGTTATAGGGTAATTAACAACAGACACGTTCCTCGCAGATGAAATCGGTAGTTGAATATATTTCTGAAATAGAATGAAATAGCATTTCTGAATACTGTTCGCATTTTTAAATAAAAAATGAAAAATAGGCAATTTTGTTTGAAATGACGATTATATATTGTAGAGTAAGTAAGTGTGTAATCGCGGGCAATTGGCATAAAATTGCTGTCGAAAATTTGTACATTAGGTGCTACGTAATGCTACGATATTCTACGGCGCGTAGACATGTGTAAATTTGCGAGCTTAAATTGCTTTCGGAAACTTAGGAACCGCGCTGAAAGGCTATTAAGCTGAAAGGTGTTGTTGATAACTTATATAGAATAAACAAAGAGTATATTGTATATAATTACGAAAGGAGTTATTGGAAAGCAATAACATTCAGGGGTAAAATACGAAATAAATATTATATTTGTATGTTACTGTATAAATTGACTGTCAGTTTAAAATAATTATATTGATTAATTTTAATTTCATTCTGTCACATTATAGCTAATAATATACGCTACGCTATATCACCTAATATGTCTAATCTTAAACATAAGGCTTTCTTTAAATTTTAGTTTTATATTAGTATTACATACAAGTCTAAATAAATATTTTGTATACATAAATGTAGACTAATTGCATTGTTCTTTGATGGCGTGTTTAAGTACTACCGATTTATAAGTGCAGAAACCAATCGATAAGAAACTTTAGCGAAGAGTTTCTTATCGGTTGTTTTCTTATATTCCTTAAATCTAATTATAAAATTATTATGATCTTAATTGAAGCCAAGCGTTTTACAAATGCAGAGTTAAAGCAATTTCCATACTGTACCGCTTTACTTTTAACATGTATTTATTACTCACTTAAATCGAAATTACATTTCTAACAACGAGCTTTGCCGCAAATATCGGCCTATCCATTATCACCTTAGAATCAGTGACGCTTCAAATCGGCTATAGCTCCCTAACGCTTACTTTAAATCACCAACATTACCTTACATGCCTTCTCGAAGTTAAGATTTCGGCCTCGTGCTAAATGGCAATATAAAGTTGTATAATGCTGTAACATCAAAAATAAGAAGATGTTTCTCTCACACTTTCGAGACAAAAAAGATGTCTTTATCTTTTTCAAACGTTTAGCAAACGTGATCTGTTATCTGATAATGCCAAAGATATGATTTGAAGTTCCATTATCACCTAAGGCAATTTTACAAAAAAAAAGTTAATATCGATCTTTAATATTTGAATTTTGAATTATTTGAATTTGAATTTGAAAATAATATTTATGTAAAGATTTTTTTATCATTGATATTATTGTATAAATAAAAACCAAGTAAGTGAACTTAAGTTAAATAACAGGTTAAACTTCAATAAATTATATATTATGTATTACAATATAACCATAGTTACTAAAAGGTACAAATAATTTTGTAAATCGCTATTTAATTATGATACTAGACGTAATATTCGAATACACGCATGGCCAATCAGATATTTAATTATTTTCACACCATTTGCACCCTATTCACAGCAACAAGAACATCATTTACTAACTCGTCATGCCCCCGTGTAGAATCATTGCGGACAGAAAGTTAGAGGACTGATTTGGGACGCGACGTCCCTATAACATGTGCAAGCAACTGGCGTGGAAAGGATAAGATCAAACAGACCGGAGCCAGATACGTATTTGATGGAATAAGAAAAAAATTCTGCCCGATATATTAATACAAGATTCGAGTAGACGTTGTGTACCAATCGATTAGTTTTGTTATTCAATGGAACGGGCTTATATGGATTAAATATATTATATGTAACGATTTAGACATATAGCTGTATGGTGACGTAAGCTAGAAGGAATAGACATATTTCTATGCATTTTCACGAACTCATCGGGTCCAAAAGTGATATGTGAAACCTTCTAGCTTTCATGTAGTATTATTGTGAGCAAACATAAGCGCTGCATAACATGGATTTAAATATAACACTTTTAATTAATGTATGGAATAATGTATTTGTGGAATGTGAGAATGTACATATATATATATTTTTTAAAAGGTTATAGCTTAACTTTACTGGATAAATAGATGTAGACAAAGCTGAATATTTTTCAGTTGCATGAAGCGGAAAAGTTCATTTAAAATAGTGAGCACGGATCTCATACAAGATCGAAACAGGACGCAGTGAGTTTGTAAAGCGGGCTACGGAGTTGGGCGTCGTAGCGGCGTCTAATCTGAGGGCGGACGCGACCGACGCCGACAAATAACATCCGCACCTGGGCGGACGTTCAACGTGTGCCATTTTGCACTGCAAGCAACGCAGCGATATACGAACTAGTATGTGCCCCCCTCAAGCCGCATTAGGAGTGTTCTCCATTTCTGTTATGCAAACAGATCAATATGGTTTCTCGTAATTTGATGTCGGCTGAATGCCAAAGTTTAGATGGTATCAATGATGGTATAAAGTTGGCATGATATGATGTATATTTTATTTTATTTATACATGGAAAACTTACAGCTTACATACAAAACTATAAATAGAAAAGGGATAATATTATACAAGTTAAACTTAACCCCCTTAAGAAGACATGCTTCACAAAGAAGGCCCAACTAGTGGGTGGCGATAATCACTTGCCACAGGGCGAAGGATTAGCATTTTAGCAACTCTCCTCAATAAAAAAGAAGCATTCGAACAAAACCAGACCTTAATAATTTTCAATATTTTTTATTCAGTTCCCCTAACTTGAAATAATACAACAAACAAATATTTATCATTATTGTTAAAGGCACAAAACTTTATAATTGTTACATAAACCTAATATTTATAATCCATATTAACAAATGACATGGTTATAATTAGGTAAACATTTATTTGGTAAAGTTAATCGAAAATATCGATCATAATTAACGTGTTGCAATTATGAACTGACCCAGTGTGGACGGCTAAAAAGCTTTTTCCAAGCAATTAATTGATTATATAAAACTGTGTATACACGCTGTGTGCACAAAGTAGTAAACAAAAGTCCATTCATAATTAGTGGGAGCATAATCCGTGGATAATACTCTATTTCAGCGCTGGAAATATCTCATTTGTCTATGAAATTAATGAGTGTATATCAAATACTGAAACATATTATCAACCCACTAGTATTATACTATCTTATACATTGTAATTATATTCTGTGTTGTCAAGTGAAACTCAAAAACTCAAAAGGTTCTTTCGCACTCAATCTTTCGCACGTCCGACCCTGAATTCGAACCGTTATCCTTAAGCTGGTCGCGAGAGCATTCCGAAAAGTTAAGACGCTTACAGCGTCCGCAGATTCGCAACGGACAGATTTGGGCGGGACGGTGTTCCGCGGTGATTCGCGAAGGAGCGTCGGGCGAGCGGCGATGTGGACGAGCGCGGCGCACGCGCGACGCCATTCCGAGCTCCGCAACCGCGCCGGCCGCTCGCGACAACTTCGCTCGCGACAACTTCGCGCGCGACAACTTCGCCCGCCAAAGTTGTGCCGGTCGTCGTGTGACGAAAGACGCGGATGGCGCCGACGCTGTGCAGGGCGGTGCGGCGCTGAGCGATGCTCTGGCCGTGCGTCCCGTTTGCGCGATGAGCGCGCGTCGCACGAGACTACGGCACGCGGAGCTCCTCGCGCGCCTCATGCTGCCCCTCGTGCTCAGTTTGACGCAGGCACAGTAAGTCATGACCGGTGACGGTCGCAACTTTCGCAACTTACACAGATGCCGTTGCAGTATCACATTTAAATTGTAACTTAAAGCAATATTAACTCAAAACAACCGTTATCAATTTTATAATGTACTAACTGCTGCCCGCGACTACGTCCGCGTAGAATAGGCTGAAGGTGTAACATTCGGCAGAAAGACAGATATACATATAAATATGTAATAAATTATATCCTATGTCTTATTCTGATGTATAAGCTATATTATTGTAAAGTTTCATTAAAATCCATTCGGTTGTATTTGCGTGAAAGAGTAACAAACATTCATCCATACATACAAACTTTCGCCTTTATAATATTAGTAAGGAAGTAAGGATGTAAGTACGTAACGATGTATCGTCAAAAGCCACAAGCTTTTTAGTTGTATCTTCGCATATTTGTAAATGATATCACCCGAACTAATTTTTTTAATCACTTTTATCTTTATAACACATTATGTACTATATAGGTAAGTATATAAGTAAGTATATACCTAAGTTATGTTAAGTTTTACAGAGAGTTATAAGTTTTATAGGGTTTTTTACTCGAAACTTTGTAACTGTCTATTTTTAGTTTTGTATTCAATTGAATATTTTGTCTTCATGTGGGTTCACGTTTGTATAAATGAAAAACTTTGATGTCTTGTAACATTTATATTACTGAGGAAAAATACTTAAAATGTATCTTAATTTTATACCAAAAACCTCACAATGATTTTGTAGTTATACTAAACGTTTCTAAACTTTTCAAACAAAATATAAAATAGTTGACAATAATCACCACCTTTTCTTTTTTCTTTTATACTGCAGAATTTCAGGTTTCCCGGCGGCCGACGGCCAACATAAGAATTAGAAAAGTCTTATAACTTCTTATTTTATATTTAAATAAATATACTGAGTAGAATGTGACCCATTTATTTTCTCTTAATAAAATACTTCAAGGTAAAGAATCTCATACGAAACTTATCTTATAAAATATAATATGTCTAAAAGTTATGTTCTATAATCTTTTCAAATAGAGTAAAGTTTCTAAAACAATGAAATATATGTAAAGTATAAAAAACCATGTTGTTATATGTAATAGTTCATAATGTTCATAGACGAACATCTAATAGCTCTCGTTGAACGTCGTAAGTTAATTCCACATCGGATTTACGTAAGCCTCGCGCTAAATGGCAATTCTGGCTAAAGCACAGAGGAATTCAATTGAAATGAAGTTAGTGCGGTGGTATTTCATTCGGTTACCTCTACTGGATATACAGGTATTATACATATTACGGTTCCAACCAAGAGTTTTGATCTGAATGAGGTTACTGAATAAGGCAAAAATAACTCGCCGACTTATGCATATGAATAACAAGCTTTATGGAAAAAGTTAGTAGCCCTTGTTAAGCGGTTTTTCTAAAGAATATTAACTAAACGTTTAAGGTAGACTATCCGAAGACAGCAAGCAATTTTAATTTACAGCAAGATATAAACTTTTATTCACAACACACATGACATGAAATATAACTCTATACTTCAGAAAAATATTTATTATAATTAAAATAAAACATACACATGCTTTGGGTATTGAATCATTATTTTTTACTATTATAACGCAAAACTTAGATCGATATGTTAAATAATTGTAGCCTCAGTCACACTATTCAATTCTAGTAAGGGAAAGAAGCTTGAACAATAATTTATTAACTATAAAATCATAGGTTGGGATATTTCTTATTCACATTGAGGAAGAAACATCTGTTTTCGGTCAGAAAAACGTGTATGTAAATCTTATGGAGACCCAAATGTAAGAGCGCGTACCTAAATTAAATTTAAATTTGGCATGGAACTTGTATGTGGATGTTGGATATTTTTTGGAATGAAATACAAAAAAGAAAATCGTTCAATTGTGCACTTTACTTTAGATTATTGCTAATGTTCGGAACTACCAGTCCGAATCTAAAATATACCTTTGCGTAAGATAAAGCCTTGAATCGAAAAAAGTTCCACCTTAGTGCCAAGACCTAAGGCACTGTCTAGTAAACTTTAATGGCACCCAATTAAGTAAGCTGGAATGTAAGCAATCAAAAAAATTAACTGCTATCCCATACATTAAATAGACGTTACTGTTTCCGATAGATTGGAGCGTGCGGTCGTTGTGGACCGATTGGAGAACGTTACACACACCGTGTCCAGAATTTTGGATGGTTACGATATACGCCTACGTCCCAACTTTGGTGGTGAGGTTTTCCCTTATTTTTTCTGACCATATTTTTGTTATAAGTCGTCTTTATTTAGCTTGAACGCTATAAAGGCTAAGACTTCATTCACACCATCAATTAGCTTTTGGTGGTCGCAACTAAGGATAACAGTCATTATCCACAAAAATTAACTATACATTCAGTAACTTAATAATAACGCTTCGTATATTTATTTTATTTATTTACACCCATAAGGCTAAACAAACGGCAGACATAGGTAACTTAATGCTAATCCGCGTTCCCTTCCAGTTAACCCTGGAAGTAGTACCTATAATAAATGTTTCAGTTAAAAAGTATTATCACATATCAAAGCAGCTATTTACGGTGGTAGGGCCACGCAGCAGTCTCGGCTGTTGCACGAATGGGCAGGCTCGTTCGGGTTAGTACTACGACCTCACAGAAAACCGGCGTAAAGTGGAAGTACAATACTTTCGCGTTTCGTCTAGTGAGTGAGGTGACCGGAGCCCAATTTTCAAAAGGTTGTCAACGCATCTGGAACCCTAGGGTGTAGCAAATTTCCATGGGCGGCGGTTTTGACGACCCGAATGGCGTAGTGGGTAGTGTACCTGCCTCCTACGCCAGAGGGTGTGGGTTCGATCCCCACTACTGGAAAAATATTGTGTGATGAACATGGTGTTTTTCTAGTGTCTGGGTGTTTCTATATGTATAATATGTATTTATTTACAAAAGAAAAGTATGTTTATGTATGTTTATCAGTTTTCTAGTACCCATAGTACAAGCTTTGCTTAGTTTGGGACTAGAAAATGTTGTGTACAAATGTGTCCAAAAATATTTATTATATTTATTATTTATTATTATTATTATTCACTTAATATCAAGTAAACCGTCTGCTAGCTTGACAACTTTTCACATAAAAAAAACTAAGGACTTAGTAACTGATATACACGGCTTACAGATATCGTGGAAATTAATAATATTTTTAATGCATTTTTAAAATAAATGACAGTTATTATTATGGGGAGTGTTAGTAAACAAATAAATCACAACGAGATACTCAATATGGCCATAAAATAGAATCTAACAAATAAGCTGCCAAGGGAGAGCATAGGCGGAGTATGTGAGTAATCATATCGGCCTACTTCCGTCTACCTACGCCTTCAGCAATGAGTTTACGAATGCTCGTAAAATGAATACGTATGCGTTCATATTCTAATGAGGCCATACGTACTCCTCCTGAAACATCTGGGAGGCTGCTTTAAGAGCCCAGCGTGCACCTTATTGCGGGTCACTGGAGCGTAAAGATTCAATAGATATTGAATTTACTCAATAAACATAGCGTGATTTGTCAGCGGTCCTACGCCAAGCATGTGACGGCGTGCCTTGTTGCATAAAATGTTATTTGTTTTAGGCGATCCGCTTTACGTCGGCATGGATTTAACTATCGCCAGTTTCGACGCAATTTCTGAGGTCAACATGGTGAGTAAATACGATTCTGATTTCAATGTCGCGCTGCAACTTCTCCCCCGCTTTTGCTTTTAGACATTTTATGAAGGTTTAGTGCGTGGGAGATCAATCAGAAAATATTATAGGACAATGAAGATAGACTAACCTGAGAAGCGAGGTACGTAACAACGTTTTATTTCTTTTATTTCGTCATTCCCTTATTTCTCTTATTCAATTATTAAACTAATCTGTCGACTGGTAAGTTTTCTAAATCAGTTTCACCTGTTTATAAAGTGGGAGGCCACCCTCACTCACCAGACGAAACGCAGGAGTATAACAAACACTTCCACTTCACACCGGTCTTCTGTGTGTTCGTGGTATTTCCCCGAACGGGCATGTTTCAAACACTGCTGCGGGGCCCAAGTCAGTCACAGTATATTATATCGATGTCGTTCAAACAACCAAATTACAGTTAAATTTACTTGGTAATTTTTCTTATTTAATGTACAGTTTTTTAATTATCATGTGCTCATCGGTGACGAAAAACATCAGCAACAATAGAACATATTATGTCATATACGTATATGACATATGTTCTGTGCATGTACATGAATATGGCCTTACAATTATAAGACTCGCGTATAGATAGAAACTTCTTCGAATATAACCTGGAGCATATGCAAATAGAATATTAGTGTACTCTGAACGTTCTTCGTCGAGTATTATAAATCATTTATTTGTTTTACAAGCATATTGCAATACCGTTAGATGTAGAGTAGGTTCATAAACAAGGATGGTGCATACTAACCTAACTTAAGATTATGCATTCGCATCTATTTCAATGAACATGTCATGAAATGAACATGAAATTATGCGAAGGCCTACAAAATGTAATTGAGTTGACAAAGCTTATTTAATTATGAGATATTCATTAGTTCAGAAAAAATCGTATGGAATTTACGGTAGAAAGTTATTTATATGGAATTTCAATGTAAGAAAGTAATTAAAGCGGCTTTATTATATTGTTTTATGCCATGGTAAAAGCATCAGATCCCAAATACTATGGACATTATTATTATAAAAGCCTTTTTTCTTCGATACCATATATTTTAAAGATTTAATGAATTAGGTAGGATTACATATACATAAATTGAATTTTCCTAAATAGTTCTACTTCAATTTTTAAATAGGTATTGTTATTGGAAAATGCATCTACTACTCTTTCATTGCAAAAATTGCCTATCATTTTCTTGGCAAGAGAACAATGTTGTTGAACAATTAGCAGGTAAGCTGGTATTAGTAATTTAGCCGATCGTGTTTTTGCAATTAAGTATGTGCTATTGAGCATGGAGAGAGGGTCGATATTTAGGTTATAGTAAGAAGAACAAATCAGCAATACTCAAATTTTAAGCAGGATCTTATACTATAAATATATTTAAATAACTTTTAAGGGAAGAACCTACTAAATATTAGAACAAAATATTCAAAATCGCCTTGTTTGAAGTCAGCGGAAATATAAAAAAAATATTTCTCGAAAGACTTACAAAATTAGGCATAGTCCTCTTTGTATGTTCATGTTTTTTACTTGAGATTATGGAATTATTAAAGTAGTAAAGTAAGTAAGATAGTTAAAACAAATATATATATATAATAGCGTGTGATTTCGATTCCCATTACTGGAAAATATTATAACAAAGTGTTTTTCTTGAGTCTGGGTGTTTAAATATCCCTTATTTAGTAATCATAGTATGAGCTTTGCTTTAGTTAGGGACTAGATAACGCTTTGTAAAAACATGTCTTGAAATATTTATTTATCTATTTATTTTTTACAGAAAATGTATATGATCATGAATAGATTTTCCAAGTTATCGCGTTTGCGCCACGAAATAAACGAGCACTTACACTTTGTTCCGCACGCACCGTTATTAAGAGAGCTCCCATTGACGACGCTAAAGACCGTGTTAAAAACTCCGCATTCTCGAGACGATCGCCGTGAATCATTATGCTTTTAATAGCTTCAAAAAGAGAGCAAGGCCGCTCACTTGACACAGATGTGCCGCCGGTGTCCGCGCCGCGTCAGGCAATCGAAGCCCTTTACTTTGACACCACTCTGCGATGGCCCAAGACGAGGTCGACATCCACTTGCTGGGTTGTCGATGGAAGTTATCTCGTTCTTTTTGCAGTATGCTAGAAATAAAGAAGGGCACGGTGTATCTGACGGTACACGGCAAATGACGCCAAAGAAAGATTAAAAACCTAGCAGTATTACGTTATTTTCTTCCCTTAATACACATTCTACTGCACATTATGGCGACACTATAGGAGGAATTCTATCACGTATTATATTCTTAGGCGTATTCTTAACATAGGACCCTGTCATTTGCTGTAATTAAATCTTGTACCTATAGGAGAATAAGTAGTTCTATATCGATAAATAATTTTAATATTCATTTTGATAAACTTAAGTTGGCAATGAAGAAGATCGTATGTGAAATTAGTTGTTAAACTGTGAAAATATGAAATAAGTACCTCATATGGTGTTAAGTAGCGTTAGTAATATATATTTTTGTTTAATTTTACAGGATTATACTATAACTCTTTATCTTAACCAGTACTGGAAGGACGAAAGACTGGCCTTTGGACTGTCAGACGAAGTTCTAACTTTGTCTGGCGACTTTGCTGATAAAATTTGGGTGCCAGACACATTCTTTGCTAACGACAAGAATAGGTAATTCCCTTATACCTTGTCGGTTTTTATAAGTTTTAAAGTTTCATCTTTACATATGAAATAAAGAAAACTATAAAATACCTTTTTTATTTTAAACTAATCACAATTACAGAATTTATTGCGAAAACTAATAATAAAAAGGTGTCTCTCATTCTTTCTTACGTACGTTTACACTTTATTGTAATGTTAAGAACGTCTGCAAACAGTTTTCCTCTCTTGGACAAAGTTTAAAGATCCTGTAAATAAACTATTTTACGAATCGCATTTGTGTTTAAATTCCTTACGACTTTTCACAAGAGTTTCATTTGCTTCAATGTAAACAATCATTATTAGCTAGTCTCAATAGATAGCTTAAGGGTTTAATAATATTTTTTATTATTTATTTTTAAATAATTGGTGTAATGGGTGTAAGATTGATAAAAGGTAATTATTTCCAGCTTTTTGCACGACGTCACCGAACGCAACAAACTGGTGCGTTTGGGCGGTGAGGGCAGTATCACATACGGAATGCGCTTCACCGCGACCCTCGCCTGCATGATGGATCTCCATTACTACCCGCTGGACAGCCAGAACTGCACCGTCGAAATTGAAAGCTGTGTGACTCCATACACTTGCTCATGCTCATTCTACGTTGCGCGGCGAAATAAATCGTTTCACTATCTTTTCACTATATATAAATGTTTATTAAAAAGTATAAAGTAGACTTAATTAATTTTGAATCTGATGGACTTATTTCAATAATGACATTAGCATTATAACATTTACATTGTTTATTAATTATTATCTAACGGAGATAGGACTGTGATACCAGTGGGATATGAAGCTTTTCTTACTGGAATTTGTGTTTAATATTGTTGACATGAATACACCTAAACTGAAATGATCTAATATAAGCCTAATAATTGAACAGATACTGACACTGTCGAAATCACTTCAGCGAAAAATATTGTATGCTAACGAACCAATTATTCTGCAGATGGCTACACTGTGTCCGATGTTGTAATGTACTGGAAAGAGACGCCAGTTAGGGGTGTCGAGGATGCTGAGTTACCGCAGTTCACCGTGCTTGGTCATGAGACTAATGACAGAAAGGTATGCGACACAATACAGTCGTATTCTTAGTACTCGTTAGTGATTCTCCGCAGTTGAAAACGACCGGAGTGTTGGATTGCATAATAGCTTGTCCGTTGAAGTACCCTCACACAGAACCAGCCTGAATTAAGGTCTAGGTTAGGTAGGAATTCTGCTAGACGCGAGGCTAACTAAAGATTTATTTCAGATCAGACTTATGGAATAGCAACGCATGTCTTGGATTCTTAATGACGTTCGAAATCTAATGAATCGTTGAATTCATTCTCGTCGTATTATTAAAAATATCATTTATTTCTGTCAATAGATATTGCAATGCCTAAAATAAATTTGGGACATCCTAATTATTAAAAAATTAAACCTAAGATGTTAAAGCCATAACTTTGCTTTTACATATTAGTGTTTTATGTAGAATTTGTAAATTTCATATTTGGAAAAAATATGTTATTTTTATTAAAATCAAAACGTCTAGTAACATAGTAAGTCAAAGGCTTTAAATTAAGCATAAAATTCCTTTACTTCATTCAGCGTTGCGTAATTTATCCGTTAAATACTCGAACATTCCAGGAAAAGTTGGCGACGGGCGTCTATCAACGCTTATCCCTAAGTTTCAAACTACGCCGGAATATAGGCTACTTTGTCTTCCAAACTTATTTACCGAGCATATTAATAGTGATGCTCTCATGGGTGTCCTTTTGGATTAACCACGAGGCTACATCGGCTAGAGTTGCCCTTGGTAAGTATGCTATTTTTCTTGTTCAATTTATTTACATGGTTTAAGGAAGCATTGTGGAATGAATGAATGAATGTATATTTTGATTAGTTTCAAAAACTAACATAATTATGTTAACTATTAATAGAAAATTTGACGACAGGCATGAAACTAAATAAGTATGTAGGTATTACGCTCGATTTGATGATTTTCTGTAACCGAACCAAAAATTTCAATAGTAATAACATACTAGAACTAAGATTAAAAGCGGGTACTTAAATTTAAAGACAATTATACAATAAGTACTACTAAAAATTTACATCTATAAGTATGAACCAGTGAACAGAATAAGAAGAACAAAATAAACAGATCCTAACGCTAACCTACCAAAAAGAGAAACAAAACAAAAGCTATACGAATAACAAAATATACCTATACCAATATATATTATAATACCAAAGTCCCAAGTCAAACATACATAAACTATGTACTTACACTGTATATAAAATACAGCTCTGTTGCTTTTGCATCTCAAGCAGATGTTCTTTGAGTTTTATTTTAAGTGTTGACTGTTATGCAGTTTCGTACTGAAGGTGGTAAATAATTCTGTAAGGAATTACAAATTATGGCATGAAAATTAAAAGATTTGAAAATAAAGTGAAATAACCTATAATTTTCTGTCGTGAAAATAATCTATCCAGCGTAATAAGCTTATACATACGTGGATCACACTGAAAGCTCTTACAAAATTATAAAATGGCTCAATGTAGAAAGATACCCATATTGTTGTTCGAAGTAGTTTCCGTTCCTCTCTTTACATCTTCGTATTCGATGGAACCACTGAGAAAAGCATTGAGCCCATTCTTCCTTGGAGGTCTCTTCTATAGCATTTTCGAACGCACTCACCTCATCTTCAAAAAAATTCCTCGCTTAAAGCGAATACCTCAAATGTTATCTTTGACTATTAGGAATAAATTAAAGTCGTAGCGCGCAAGGTAGGAACTACATACATGGCGGATAACTCATTATCTCCACACCTGTCATAATAAAACAATCGTTCGTTTCGCGAAATGCGCCGACGCGATGTCGTGGTGAAGGAGAATACTGCTTCGAGGACTCTGTTGTCGAACATTTCCTAGACAACAAGCAAACAACAGTTAACTGGTATCAGTCTGCAGTAGCTGTCCTTCCATTTTCCCGCACAATTGTCGCGAAATGACCTTTCTATTGACGAGGTAGTTATCCTTTTTCCTTGACTTCTTCCTTTCTTTACCTTAGTTGGCTGATGCTCAGAAGGAAACACCCACCGAGCAGATTGTCTTTTGGTTTTGTGTTCGTAGCAGTATATCCAGCTTTCATCGCCTGTGATGATGTCAATGCTGTATGCATTGGAGCGACCTCCGTTGATCATCGTCTACGGAGGTCATCATTTCGCGATACCAATCCATGCGAAGGCGTTTCTAGTCTTCGGTCAAAGTATGGGGAATCCGTCTGGTCCTCTTGAAGCCTAAATCGTTTGAGATTGCTACGCCTTTTACACCCAATAAACCAATTCTTATCGGTAGCACGGGATGGGGCTTCATTGTTAAATACCAATCGAAGTCTATCATAGCTTTGTTGTTCAGTAAGATCACAACGAAAGTCGTAAAAAATCATGGACCAAAATTTTTTTCGCGTAAAATTCATATTAAATAATACAATACATATTAAGGTTTATCAAGACTTTTGGAATTGCCGCTAATTCACAAAAACAAATTACAAAATATGAATGTAATATATCAGATTAGGTTACCAAAAAATTCTATATTCAAAATTTAATAGAAGCTTTCATTGGCAATGTTTCTAACTGGCGTTGTAAAAACTTTCTGTGTGACCCTAGTACAAGCTACCAAAGTTGTGCCAGGAACAAAATATATTTCTAGCCTAATAATTCAAATTATAATAAACTGCGTAATACAATGGCTACAATTTTGTCTTCTAATTGTTTACAGGTATAACCACGGTCCTGACAATGACAACTATAAGCACTGGAGTGCGAAGCAGCTTGCCACGCATTTCCTATGTGAAGGCTATCGACATTTACCTGGTGATGTGTTTCGTATTCGTGTTTGCCGCCCTCCTCGAGTATGCTGCAGTCAACTACACGTACTGGGGGGCGCGTGCGCGGAAAAGGGCCAAGTTAAAGAACCGCGACCAGATATCATCGAGCACTAGCGTAGAGAAAGACCTTAAATGTTCCTCTGGTAAGAATCGACTCAGCGGTTTTCCGTTTCTGCATCACAGTATATGTTACTATTTGTAACATTTAGAGGATTAATAACGAAGGCGTATGTGACATTCATATTTTAGAGGTGTGCCATAAAATTAGGATTGATGAGATCAGAGAAATTGATGAGATCAAAGCAAAAAAATGTATTAGTTATGTATTTAATTGAAGTCTTATAACACATTTTTATACATGACCGTAGTGTGTTTTTTTTTGCACAGGCTCGCATAGTAACGAGGAGATCATAGCACTGCGTGAGTGCTCCAGTGCAGGCCGGGTGTCTCCGTTGCTAGGGCTGCGGACAAGGCCCCTGCCACCTCTGGCAGGTGCCCCGCCCTCCCTGCGACTGCAACGAGACCATACGCACCTACGTTACCGGACGCGGCCTCATTCTAGGAACTCTAGGAGTTAGTAGAATATCATAATTCTGACAGAACTTTAGCGACATATCAATATTTTATGAATATAATATGATATACATAAGCAATAGAAAGAGGCGTGTAAAAATTGTGGAAACTGTAATCCGTAACCTCTGAGGTAGGCATTTTGTTGGGAGTACCTCAGGGTGACAGGTTATGTATATAACTGTTACTGTATTATGTTATGTAATAATGTTTAAAAAACAAGAATAGTCATTTAATAAATGACTGCTTTAAATAATCTGGTTCAAGTGTGTCTGAGTTTGTGTATCCAAATATATGTCTACATAATATGTATTAAATGAATGTGAGTTTTGGCAGTGTCGTGATAGATTTATCTACCGCACTCGTTTTCATTTTTATATGATTTTGGCTGTTTGCTATTTACTAAAATTGGTCCTAAAGTGTACTAAAGTAAAGTAATAAATATAATAAACCTAAGAATAACTGTTTTGTTTAAGTAAAGTAACATCTTTCATATTGCATATCTATCTCACTGTGTACTTGGTATATTGATGCGATTTCACTGTGGATTGGCAGACTATATTCGATTTTTTTTTATTATCTCTTCGATATGTATATTTCATGATATTTTTCTTGTTGCACAGAACACTTAGCTAATCAAAACTTAAAATTTCAATGTGCATAGGGTCAGCAGCAGAATTTGAAATCAAGCTTGAGTACAGTACAGCTTAAAATTCAGGTGGTAATTGAAACAAAATGTGGTTTGAGACAGTCATTACCAAACAGATAATACCAAGTTAGCCAATAATAGGTAGTTTAGTTACTATTGCTGTACTATATAGAACGCATAATAAAAAAGTTAATGGAAAATTGACTTCATCTTCGTTTGGAAAATGACTTTCAAAAGCACACTTTCATAATAATATTTAGGTAAAAAAAAAGTCTTGAAAAAGTTGAATTCTTAATTGCATTTTGAGGATGTTTTTATATCTGAAAACGATGATATGGTACAAACGTACTTTGTTTCGTTGTTTGGAGACTTCGTTCAGCAGTAGGACTAGATAGGCTACGGACTTTTTTGAATATAAATGAAAATGATGAGGCAACATTATAATTTTCAGATGGAACTAGTGGCAGACCGAAGGTGATGCATGCTCTTCGACGCAGCGCCACCGTCATCAAAGCCTCAATGCCTAAGATCAGAGATGTAAATGTTATAGACACGTACTCGAGAGTTGTCTTCCCCATTTGCTTCCTTATATTCAACACCGTATACTGGGTGTTTTATATATTTGATTAACTACAGTCTAATATTTTAATTGATTAAACGTCACACGAAAGTTAATACGGTTACTAATTTGGCCGTAGCCTAGTTCAAGGAGCTGGTCTGATTGAATGTTCAAAATGGGATCACTAGAATTGCTTTGTGTTAAGAGTAATTAATATTTTTTTTAGGTTTACGGTCGAACTTCCGTAAACCGCTACAAGTCATCTTTTATCTTTGACTTTCTTTCCTAAGCCATGTCAAAAGTCTGTAAATGAGGAAAATTTAAACATACATAAAAGTTAATTGCAACCTTCAAATATTAAGCAATTATTGTAACATAGCATTATATGCTTAGTAATATGGTACATGTTTGGCACCTTAATTATTATTTTTATTAAAATCCTTTTATTTTGTTATTTTAAGTTACAAAATTATCTAAACATTAGTATGTTCACTTATATAACTAGGCTGAATTTAATTTTAAATAATTAATGAATCGGTAGTAGGTACTTATTAACTTTTTAAATTGTACTGAGCAGACGTCCTAACGTTAATTGTATTTACGGCTTTAACGAATATTTAGAATAATAAAAATAAAAATTATCTGATGTAAGTAATGCAAAGTTACTCCGCTATAGTTTCTATATCTCCTAGTTTTAATAGAATTATTGATAATTTACAAGTATATTAGTAGCATGGTTTATACTTGCCATACAGGTTGCATAAAATTAAGATAACTGCACAGATAATATTTCGACAAATATAACAAACTAATCTCTTTATTAAGTGAGAAAAAACCAGGCTAATCTTAAAAAATAACCACCGGTCGAAATATTTTGTGATTTAGAGCCCTCTAGAATTATGTATATGTACCTACTTGCTATTAACTCATGACAAATATTTAATTTTGCATTTTTTTTTATTTGTCACATGTAAATTAAAATACATATATTTAGATGATACACTAATGCAATACACTGAAACTGCCAATTAATTGTTATTAAATGCTTAAGGTTCACAACATGCTTTTATCTATTTATTGTATGTGCATATGTTATGCGTCAACACACTGGATATTCTACACAGTACTACTTACGATTTTTGATATAAATGAATATAAATATTATATTAAATTTATCTCTACTTATTTATTATGCCTGGCAATCGCAGTGTAGGAAGACCCCCACTAGATAGACTATGACTTATGCAAATGTGCGGGAAGTCAATTGATATATGTGGCTCAGGTTTATGTTCAGCAGGGATATCAAACAAGCCGAATTGATGATGATGATTTAATTTGCTTTTGTGTATGGGTGTTATTCTCCGCATAGCTATTCGTGAAGCAATTTGTTTCGTATTGTAAATAATATGGTCAATAACAAACTAGTAAAAATCGATGTTCAATTAGAATATGGGAGCCAAAAGTTACTATAACTAATATAAGACATATTGTAAAAGAAATATTAAACTGTAAAACTTGTTGCTTTATTTTTACCTACCCTCTACTTTCGTGAACCTTGTACTTTATGGTTTTTTTTAAATAATAAAAAATAATTATGAACTATATTTTTAATATAAAGTGCACCTGTATTGCCGGTGTTTGCAACATAATATATAAAGCATTTTTTCGCAAAGGTATCATTACGTGTAAAGCAAACGCAAATTAAGTATAACATATTTTAAATTAATGAATATATTGCACACCAAAAATAAAACAAACAAAAATTAAAAGTCATGGGTACAATGGGCGGCCTTATATAAAGTAATTTCTCCAGGCAACCTTTGGATGGACTAAAAAGGAATTAATTTAGGAGTAAAGGTGTTGGTTAGCTTAATGAATGAAATAAAAAAATACTTTTTAGAAATTTAATTTTTTTTAGTACTGATCTTTGCACTTAAGATTAAACATTAAAATTTAGTTTACACATATACATATAAATCTATAAATACCATATATGCAAATACATATTATATCATTGTGAGGAAATAAAATTACAGAGATAAGTAATGATTATTTACATGCTATATCTTGTGTTTGATATAAAAAAATGGGAAACTTTATCGTGATGTCTTTAGCATAATTAGACGTGTTACAATTATATAATTTTTTATTATTGTTTTATTGTTTCAAGTTTTAATTATCCTGGGAACTTTTAATAAAACGTGAATTAGGGCTGATTATACATTTTTTCAGTTCCTTTTTTTCTTTATTTTCTTATTTAGAAACTTTACCTTAAAGAGATTAAGTAATCACCGTTAACATATTAATATCGATAAAAAGTTCTAAATGAATAAGATGTTACTGTTATTTGCTACGTAAATAATGGAAGGCATTCTCTTGAATTGGCCTTAGCACCATCTAGTGTTCATCTGATCTAGTTGGATTTGTATGGACTTACCAAAATTGCTATTTTCTTTTCGTTGTACTATTTCCGGCCGGCTTTAGTGACATCTAGTATGTGCGTCGTGTCATAGAGTAAATACAAGTGAACCTTTTAGAAACACAATTCGTTTCACATTGAAGATTGCCCTCAAAAAGTCTGCTGTTTCCCGAACATCGAGCTGGATGTCGTTGTCATATTAAACTACTTTTCATAGCTTACTATAAAATAAAAGAATAAGAAGATTTCAGAAGATATTACAATATCCTACATATGGTGTGTACACATACCTAATTTTTAATTGGCATGTCGAGAAATGACCTTGAGCTTTGAAACTAATGATATCGATTTTTTTAACATTATTATTATTCCTCATTTCCAAAAAATATATTTATGATTAGCAATAATAGCTCGGCTATACGTTAATCGGAATACGAACATGATAAGATATAATAACTTGTAAATCTAAATAAAGCGTTGAATAAACCATTACAAACAGTTGTAGGCTCCATGTTGTATATTTAAAACCGCTATATATTTATAAGCATTTCGTCTATTTCCATCGGGTGTTATTTCTAGTGGCCGATATAATATAAATGTACGTGAGAGTCAAAGGGGGCTTATATAGATTGTAGAGCCCGGGGGTGGGAGGTCTCCATTCATCGACGAGCGCAGACTGCGCGGGGGAGCAAAGGTTCCAGATTGCCTAGTACCCAGCGAGGCGATCGTCGGGAGCACATCTCTTAACTGGCTCCGCGAATCCGGCACAGTTTGGCCCAAAAAAATTGCACTTTCCGGACAAATAGTGAGCGCTGACCAACACTGTGCGGTGTTGAAACTCTACTGTTGTGAATTAGTGTTAGTTTTCGTGTGCCTTCGGAGACGTTGAATGTAGAAAATTATCCAGGTATGTATTCATTTCTGCAGCGTTCAGGGTCGAAAAAAAGAAAGTAGCATTTTGTCAGTGAAATATAAAGTGAATGTTAATAATATAAATATTAATATGTATATCACGAGTGTTCCGAATACATTAATTTTGAAATAGATCTAATCTGTATACACATGACAAAGAGACCTATTGGTGATAGAATTTCTGTGTGAATGGATATTTCGTAACGTCTGTCTGTTGACGTCGTAGAAGATATATTTTCATGGTCATACCCGTGGGCGGCAGCGGAGTTGTTGGTTCGGGCTTTCAGAGGGCGCGGGGCACGGCGAGCGGGGGCGGCGTGGGCGATCCGCGCACATCCCTCCCGTATCGATCGTTCAATTTTCATAGGCACTCGGTAAATATTATCGTTATACGTCGCCGTGATCTTTTTTAGAAAAATCTCCATACCGACCACGGTAATTTATGTTGATTGAAGCTACTATAACAAACAACAAAGCATTCGCGATGGTGAGATTAGTTCATGTTTAGACACTAAACGTATGGTAGGCGCGGCGGTAGACGCTATCTTTTAATGTTTCTGTCGAAAAAATCGTGTGCATAATAGAGATGTAAAAAATACATAAAACTCAATAGGTAGCAATTTTATTACAACATAGATGATGCTTTATTTGCTTTGATAGAATTTTTTTAATTTAATTTTTTTCCGTATCTGTCATTTATAATAGTTAATGGGTAGACTGTATGTCTAAGGTGATAAGATGAAAATAGTTGACCTATATAGCATTCACTACGGTACATAGACGCCACGGGTTTACACCGTTAATAAGATACCTACCTACGCCTACCTATGGATAGAGGCGGGTGCGGTCTAAAAATAAACTGAGCTTGATGCGAATCAATTTATGCCAGTTGTATTTCAGTACTTATTATCAATGTATATTCCGTTCCCTAAGTAATAAGACTTGAATGAAAGTGGCGTTCTTAAAAGATTAGAATGTTAAATAATATTAAATTAAACAAATATATTAATGTGAAATAGGTCACGAACGCTCATTCCTTGTTTTCCCTTCTATATCTTCTCATGGTTTTAGTAGAAAAAGCAAGATACCCTTTGTGTACCATGATCATCCTGGGAACTGGGCAGAGCGAATTTAATTTAATATAGTCGTGAGAGGTTTACGGTCGCGCTCAGAGACATCAGTCATCACTTATTAGCATTAAATTATTTCATTCGCGAATTTCAATCTTATGTACTTGTTAGTTAAGCTCCGCTTGACAAGTAGACATATTTTACGTAGCCGTATTTTCGTAATGTAACGCTAGTTCATTGATGTATCTTTGAACGACCCCCTAGAGTTTAAGACTGTATAACAGATTCGTAGGCCCAGGTCATAACCTGATTCCTTATTTGTAGATATAAAACTATTTTATGGTCACTCCGTTCTGCGAATCGAGCGCTTTAACGTGTTCAAAAAAGAGGAATTAAATGAAATTAAAATCAATGAAATCAATATAATAGTTTTACTCACATATCGCGTAAATACAAGAAATCAATAAATGATTTAATTAGCAGTAAAAAAAAGCAACAACCGTTGCGAAAGGACCTATAACTGATCATCTTATGTTTTCATTACATTGTTGAAAAATAATGACCACCGTGGAGTCGTACGAATCATGCATTCTAGATTAACATTTAATGTTCAATTTATGACTGTGAGAGTTACTCGAAAGATCCATGTTAGAATGGGTGAAACTAAAAATAGTAGATAAAAACCATAAAAGGACGTTAGGAAATATTTATTTTTTATCTAATATCTTCTCGATGTAACACTACAATAATGGCATTACATTAGTTTTCAATAATAATTTCTGTTAGAAAAATATTGTCATTAGTTGGATGTAAATAAATATGATAATCGTACAACCACAAATGAGATAAAAATATGACGATCTTTTAAGGGAACTTTCATGGAAATCTAGAATGTACCTTAAACAACAACTGCGTAGAATGCGCGGGCCGATGCGTAGTGAATGAAAAGCGAATCAACAAGTAGCTCGTAACGTTGGTATCACGCAGCGCATGCGTATTGATAGCTCTTAAATTTTCTTCAACATGGCGCCCTAATACACTTCTTTTCAGTTGGCTAATGTATAACGGCCTGGAACGACGTTTGCACTCGTTTTAATCTATTATTCTTGCTATTGATAAACGTGAGAGGCATCTTTTATCTATGGTGCGTATGAACAATACTATTAAAGCTTATTTAGTTTATTAATACTTTCTCTAATATAATTAAATATGAAGTAGCTATAATGTTAATAATATTCAAAACAATAAAATGCAAAAAGTAATTTATAAAAGTTTCTAAATTTTTACTGTGCAATAAAATATTTATGATGAATATACTCAATATTTTTTGGTTTATTTTAGTTTGACGGCAATAACACCAGGAGGACGGTCACAAATAACTTAAAATTAATTGCATATTTTCTAAAAATTATTATTACAAATCTTTAAAATATTAAATGGTAACATAAAAAATTATATGCATATCTAAACACTGAACAACAATTTTTCTCTCTTTTTGATTGATTATGTAATTACAATTTTGTTTTACTAGTCATAAATATTTAACGATAATTAAGATATAAAAATTTGTTATCAAATGTTTTTATTCGTATGAAACGGTAAGTTTCTAAGAAGTACATCAGCGAACTAAAGTAAGAATCTAGCAACATCTCGTTTAAATATACAGTAAAAAAAATATGTTCATATCTTAATAGCTACATACTTCACAAGTTTGCCATGGCTACACCCCCTTTAATGACGCACCTGCACTAATTGGAAACAACACTTAGATTCTTTTGTTTTCTAACTCCCCTTTCTTCGATGAACACGTAGAGCTCTTAACCATACATGTTTGAATTGACTCATTAGACACACCAATGGTAGCTTAAAAGGGCACTGTCTGGCAGAAACCCTACAGTTTCCCTGAAAACAGTTTAACTGAAACACGTAAGGCAACATAAAATGAGAGATATGAAAGAGAAGTGGAATCGTAGAACGGACTTATACAAAAAAGGTGTCGAAGAATTTAAGTAGAAGTTTTACGTTTTATAACGAACCCGTGATCGTCACTTAAATATCCGGTAACTTATAAAGCGGATAATTACTAATTAATACTTATATATCTAAATCATAATAGTTGGTACGTCTGTAAATGATCATGAAACTTCTGATATTTTCTGATAGACGTGAATAAATTTTAATATAGTAGAAATGCCGGAGAAGTTCTTGTAAAGATTGTTCTATTTTGTTAACTAGGCAATGTAAGTGGAAGCCATGCTGCAGCAACGACGAGTTCCATCGCGGAAAATCGCGCATATCACCTAAGTCTTTTTGAGTCCCGGTGCTTTAAGATCTACTCTACAATGTCGCCGTTAACACTCTGGGTCACCTATTCCACCATTTTATGCTTACCTGGTAAGTTCTTTCCCTTTCATAAATTATTCTGTAATAACGAATTAAAATTTAATTTAGTTACGAGGCGTCGTATATTGGCTATTACAATTCTTTCCTTGGTTCAGTTTACTCTATAGGTATAAAACGAACTAATAACAAAATAAAAGATTTCTGATTATATATAACTGTTGAATTTATAATCACATTCAGTCAGATAAATTAGAATTCTGCAATGCGAAATGAAAGGAACCGCCTACAACTGTTTTAATGTGATAAATGCGTCGTAATTATAAAACGAAACAGGCATTGATATTTAATAGGATTAATTTATTTTTAAGTGGTGATCTGCACTCGAGCTGAAATTTATATGAGTGTTTAATAGAAATAAACTATGGAAAAACTTTCGGCGCTGACAGGATTTACCAAGGTTAGATACAAATTTGATAAAAGTGCAAATAAATAGTAGATCCTTGTTAAGATTTTGACGTCGGGAGATTTCAGACAGTAATTGTTCTGTTGATATCATAATTAAGTATTGATGGTAACGAAAGAGCTTTATGGAAGTACTAGCGACCCGCCCCGGCTTAGCACGGGTGCAATGTATTATAGATATAAACCTTCCTCTTGAATCACTCTTTCTTGTAAAAAAGACCGCATCAAGATCCGTGGCGTAGTTTTAAAGATCTAACCATACATAGGGACAGACAGACAGCGGGACGACTTAGTTTTATACTATGTAGTGATGAAAGGAAATAAAATTTAATATGTGTTTCTAAATCAGTGCTAGCCGAAGAACTGTTCCCGTTGCCTCCACCGCGACCTGCTAATACCACAGCTGATCCGGCGGACACGCGCTCTGTGGGCCGTGTGCCGCCCTACCAGCCGCCCGCAATCGGCGTGGTCCCAGCACAGATCCAACCACCCGGCTTCAGACCCCACAGTCCTTACACGCGTGTTGACTCGTGGCACCGTAAGTAGAAGTTGTCTTGAGTGAGCTAATAGATTAGAATAAAAAAAACATTTGACGTCGCATCAACGTATCAGCATTTAAAGTCCGGTGTTTTATATAGACCTCTTATAATTTTGTTAGCATCAGCCCTGTAGCTTGTACCATCCATACCGCTTTCATATTTTTAGAATTCGTTTTATTGTACATCAGGAACCTCATCCTCCATTTCATACATAATGATTCTCGAACGGCGATGAATCGGCTAGAATTGCCACTTCAGTGTCCAAATCTTATGAGTAAAACATGGCTTGAAATTTTTATAGAGGTCACATAGTATAAAAGTGACAAGCGTAGGACCCGCACATTTTAGAGTTTAAGTTTGTCGTCAAAAGCGCGCACTTAATTAATTATTTGTAGGGTAACCTCAAAAAAACTAGTAAACAAGAATTGGAATTTCCTGCATCCAAATCCTACGGATGCAGGAAATTCCAATTCTTAACGACTGACAACCTTTATGAAATATTTCATTATTTTTACAAATACTTTCGGATAGTATCGATCTTTTGATCGAAACACATCTCCGAAATATAAAAAAATAAAAGTTGTAGCTCTAAATTCTAAAATAAAAAACAATATTTATAAATCACGTGATCTGTTAAGAGCCACAAGAGGGTCATAGTTCAAATGGTTGATAGGGGCCAATCTGAACTGGCAACATGATTCAATAGCGTTATTGTATAATCCTGTTTGTATGATGCTTTGTCATTTACTATATGGATATGTTAATATAACATTTATTTTATATACCTAATTGAATTGTATTATGTGTCAAAAAATATGATAGCACAGATATTTATTGATGAACAAATACAAAAACCTAAGCAAGTTGTACAAAGCGTGAGGAAAATCAAATTTTAACTACACTTAGTATTTCTACGTTCTTATATTTTTTACTTTAGACAATATTTAATATATGTTACGGAAAGGGCTTCGTATAGAACTTATTAATTTATCAAACTGCAGCATATAGAAAATTTCTATGAAAGCTTTATTTAATTGATTCTTAGTACAAACTAACAAGGTTGGTTCAACAGATTGACAGTGATTGTGAAATTCTATTGAAAAGTTTAAAATTTTACAACTATCTGAACTTTAGTTTTTGAACTATTTGATAAAAAGGTATTAATGTTAAAAAACAAATACAATTCTACGTTTATTCGACCCTATTTACTTGCAACATAACAATTAAATTCAGACTAAAAAAACGATGACTCCTTGACGCAGTCGCCGAGGTATCGGCTTCGGCGTGGGGGGTCGTGAGTTCGATTCCCATACGTCATACAACTATTTGTGTGACCCGCAGATAGTGGTTTCGCATCTGGTTGTTTGTCCGCGTGAAATATATGTTTATTAAAACGTCCTTACAACACAGGATAATGTTTATCTTAAAGTAAATAAGTAAATTTTTTTAACATATATTTCGACACTTCAAACCACTTTTTATATTAAAAAAGAATGAAAAAAGGAAGACATAAAAGCTAATGAATATATTATTATATTCCATTTTTCTTAGATCGCCAATTGGGACATGAATCGGTTGTCGTATCTGAAGATCTGGATGACGATTTAGATGATGGTGGTTGTCATCATCCGTGTCCCCCTGAACACTTTTCATGTCAGGTAAGTCCAACTATAGCTTAACTTTTCGTTGAGTCAAAGATGAAACAAGACAAAGCCCCCGAACAGACCGCTCCTAAAGTTAACAAAGGTGAAAAGTTAATAAGGAAAAAGGTAAATTTATAATAACGAGAGAGGTAATCTAATGTAGACCGACGATGGCTTACTATCTTCCAATGTGTCATATAGCATGCCCTCTTCTGTGAAACAAGTTCTTGATATTGCTTTGGGTATCAGATTTATCTTAAATTTAACAAAAAGCAGTAGCAGTGCAGCACTCAAATTTTGAAATCTGTCGTAGTACATTTTGAGAATGGCACGTTATATATGAGCTGTGATAGCTCAGTGTCCGGGTTCTCGCCTTTAATATACTGTAGCAACCTAAGTTCGATCTCCGGTGCCGGCACTAATGAAATTCTTAATTTTAAGTGCCGACTTATCACGTGCACGGCGGTGAAGGAAAAGATCGTGAGAAAACCTGTATATTATCCAAATAATAGTAAAACATCTTTCGAAGATATGTGAATTCCGACAATCCGCAGTGGGGCCGCGTCGGCGACTATGCCCTGTTACCCACTGTATAGAGGAGTCCTTTGACCAGCAGTGGGATATGTATAAACTGTTACTCTACATTATATATGAGACAATATCGTGTTGACGAAGGAATATTGTTCTAGATCTCTTGTACTTGCATACCGATGGAGAAGCGATGTGACGGCATCGCCGAATGCGCCGAAGCGGAGGATGAGCAAGGTTGCTCGCGCGCCTGCGAGGAAACCGACAACCGCACCATATGCCACAATACCAACGTCTGCATATCCCTGCACTGGATCTGCGACGGGGACAACGACTGCGGTGATTTCTCCGACGAAACCCATTGCGGTGAGACCGCTTGTCCAAATAGGACATCTGTCTGTATTTAACGTCTGTCTGTTAGTCTGTTTTTTATGTCTTTTCGTTTTCATAATTCGATAGGTGTCTTCAATTAACTTCAAAAAATGGTCTCAGTTCGGTTGTATTCTTTGTACTCCGTCATTTTTTAATCAATTTTAAAAATTCTTCTGCATTGGGTACGGTTTACCTCCCATGCGGTTCCATATTAATTTGATTGGTATTAGAATTAGGTCTCCAGGGATACATTAAGGAATTTCTCAAATTCAAAAATATTATAGGTCAGCTTTGTTTTATTATTTTTTTATTTATTACATTTCTTATTAATTTTACTTAAAATGTATTGGTTGTTAAATAAATGTTAAAGGAATATGTTATCTAGCCATGTTCCGGATACACTTGGTTAAAAAGTATCCGTGTAAGTAGGATTGGATTTACAACTTATCCGGTATAATTGAAACTTTGGAATTAGTATCTGTGAATAATTTTATATGTGCCAACTTTATTTCAATAACTAGAAATGTGATTTTTGGTTTTAAATCTAATGCAACATTTAACTTCTCCATCAAAACCTTGTTGTTTACCTTTTTAAAAATTTGGTGAAATATTTTCACGTATATACTAATCAGTGGCTCAGGATCATGGCAGTCAGTCTGCAACCTATATTCAGTAGCACGCTAAAATGATTATCATGGTATAAGAATATTATAAACATCCTGTCATATTACAGATGGTAACGCTAACTGCACGGACGGCCAGTTCCAATGCGCGAACGGATTGTGCATCCATAAGGAATGGTTTTGCGACGGTGATGACGATTGCCGCGACAACTCCGACGAGATGAACTGTCCCAAGGGCAAGTGAGTAGCGTTTTGGGTATAAGGAATGAAGCAATTGAACGTTTATGTGATTCTTTCAATTCGGAGATAGGAAACTGTATAATATCTACAACAAATACGATAAGCCTTTCCTAAGATTATTTGAGCAATTGAAATTACCAAACTGAAAGCTTAAGAACTTAATAGTTGGTATATTAAGTTATAGATACCGATGAAATCTACGGCTATTTACAAGTACTCTTATTTTAAAGTCAGTGACGTCTGTCTACAGGTATGCGTTTTAAAAACGCCAACTTACTAAATAGAAGTTGAACCGGATGGAAGATATTAATCAATTGAAAGTCTATTTATGCGTAAAATTTGTCTCTGCTTTTCAATAAGAATCTTCTCAAATCAAAAGTGGAATGAAGTAATAGCACCCTACATCTCTGTTTACTTCACTAACTGTGTGTATTTACAAGCAGGTACCGGTTAAATAGAACAAAGTAATAAAAATAAAATAGTAACAATAGTGCGCACTATTTTTACAGATATGATTATTTGCAAATAGTTATTGTATTGTGAAGAAGTATTAGTTGGATAAAATGATAATAAGGATAAAATAATAATTCCAGGGAGACAAATAGAAAACTGATTTGTTTTGTAGCATCTGTACCACATGAAAATATTCTACGTACCTTCTGGGTGCATTTGTGTGCGTAAATTATACAACAATCCTTAAATGTTTAGCTAAAAAGATTTGTTGGAGAATGAAAACGCACGCTGGGTCTTTGTCTGGGATCACATAGGCAAAATTCTTTATTCCGCGAAGTCAATTACGGGGCACTTACATGAATTGCATTGCACTCTCCCCTTGCTGTCGCTACGCACCTCGCAGTACGATATGACGGTACAAATAATCGTGACACGTGTTAACTTACGGAAGAATAAATAAGTAATTCGAGTCGCGTTAATGCCCTCACCTTATTTAAACACGTCCTTAATTTCCCTCCAATAAATCCGTGTGCCGATTTTTGAATAAATATATGCTTTACTGAGCCAGGTTTAAAAATATTGTAACAATTATTGTTAACAATTCAATTTTGAAGCATATAATTAACGAGTTATTCAAATAATAAGTAAGCCAAGTTGTTTTTTTTTATATTATTATTAAAAATGTCGAATTTACCGCGTATGATAATCAAGACTCAGGAAGACTACTAGATTCGATAGAACATTCATGTTTAACGAAATCATGTTTATGATTAGAGACAAGTGAAATATTAAGATACACGTAATTATCTTAATATTTCACTTGTCTCGTGGCAGGTGCCTTGTCACGGTACAACGGACATAAATAAGAGACAGTGAGCTCGTAGGAAACTCAAAAAACGATATAATTTTTGCACGCCTCTGTCCTTGCAACTTTAAAATCAATACTCCAACTTCTCAGTCACTAAGCCATTACCGACTTATATCTTATACGTTCAATTAATTCGGTCGTAACAATTTTGATTTTTTTTTAAATAAGAATTGAGAGAAATATCTACCTATACGATTTCTAATATTTTTTAATTGTCAATCGATCAAAATTTACTGGTGAATTTGAATAAGAAATGTAATGTAGTTATTGATTAAATCATAATTATAAGTAAACTATGGGCGATATGTACATTTTTCGATTTTATCAAGAGTATGTCTACATTCTAGCGTTAAACTCTAAATATAACCGTCTTACGTTATTGAGAGACGCAAAATAAAAGTAAACATTTAATGAAATACGCATTTTATTTTCATTGACTAACCACTCGGTAAAGTTACAGTAAGTTAACGTTTTTCTTAGAAAAATTGTGGCTCTTCGACCAAAAATAGTACGTATATAAAATAATTACTCAAAGGTAAAATGCGATTTATTATTTTACTATTCAACGCATTAAGAGGATGAATGCATGCAATGAGAATACTATGTTGTATATGACACCATATCAGATGTTAAATGAATCAGTTATAAAAAAAAATCGGATAATGTTCTTATCTCCAATATGAGATCTACATATCTAAGGTAAATTGGCTTACTTCAAAGTCGAGAAGGGAAACTGGAATTGCATAGAGCGTTTCCATCTTGACCGGTGTATTTCGCTCGCCTAGTTCGCGCGGGGGCTTGCGAGCTGCGAGATCAATACGAGTGAAGTGGGGGTGCGGGTGGGGGTGGGTAACGGCAGGGGCGCACGGGGTGGATGGGAGGCTTTCAACTTGCCTGGGATGAGCGGCTGCCATAGAAACGCGCCCACGCGCAAGCCTCGTTCGCGAAACCAACACCGATGTATCCAAGTTCCGTAGGCAAATCGTTATAGAACCACAACCTTAACAATTGCAAATTGTTATTTACTAAAACAGGATCGCGATTCATTCTAACAACAAAGAGGTATTTGTATCAATTGAACTAATAATTGAATTTCCATTGAACTAAAGATACATATAAGAATTCAATTATTCGGATCTTATAATAAACAATTTTTAAATTAACGTCAAGAAAATATTTCGTAGGTTTTTTGATAGAAATGTTTTTGCTTTTATAAGAGTTTATAAATAGAACAACTTGATGCAAGTCAGTCTTTTATTAGCAAAAGGCGTGGGATAGCAAATTCCTACTAATGTAGCGTCAGTCAGATAGCTACCTACGGGTTCATAAAGGAAGCTCCGATCGGGAAGTATGGGCGGTTGGAAATTCATATTTTACGAAAAATGTCGCTCATATCAATAACAATACGAAAGAATGTTACTCATGACGTCTTCTTAAAGCGTTATCTTTTCGTTTAGATGCGGAAAGAAACAGTTCACATGTGCTTCTGGCGAGTGCCTCGCCGCACACTGGCGTTGTGACAAGGAGCCTGACTGCCCCGACAACTCGGACGAAATGGACTGCCGTAAATTTCTTCACATATTTCGTAACAAAAATACATATTTAGGAAAAAAAATAATTTTCTTTCTTGTTATATATACCTCATAAAGTACTCGAAGTAGTGTGTACGGTTTAATTTTACTCATGGGATTATTATCCATCTATGGCTTTGAAATTGGGCCCCGATTACCTATTTCACCGGACTAGTAGTATAATACTTCCACTTCTCGTTACGCCTTCTGCGAGTCCGTGGACTTCTCTGGACATTCGATCTACAACAGAAGCTGTCTTAAAGATATTTCCTAGTTAAATGTAGATTATATCTACTCTCCAAGACCTAGAATTGAATCTGTAATTATTTATTGATGACAATGAAAAAGGTTTACTTGCCTTACAAGGAAATAATTAGTATAATTACAAATACGAGGCCTCAAAAATGTTTTATATTACTCGAAAAAGTAGAATATAAGATACATATTCTTTCATATTTACACTTTCTGTGACTCCGTCATAAGCCACTGTACCGAAGCCGTCACGATATTTTATTACAGATGTAACAAGACTGTTTACTATAAAAAAAACATTGCTGTGACAAGATAAGGCGGTTCGCCCAAATTCTGGAATTTAACTGAAATTTAACGATTCACTATCAAATAACACTTGCAGCACTGGACTTTCTGCAATGCAGCGATAATGAGATACAGTGTAACAACAAAAACTGCGTGAGGAAGGAGTTCCAGTGTGACAAGGATAACGACTGCGGCGATTGGACCGATGAAGACTCTTGTCCCATAGTGCAAAGCAGTTGCAGCCCTGGAGAGTTCAAGTAAGTAAAAACGCATAGAGAAGCAGAAGCCACATTTTTAATTCAGTTATAAATGCCACTGACAAGAGTTGACCTGGTCTTCCGTTCGCTGTACAAATACAAAAACTCCCTTCCTTGATCAATAAAAATTTAGCTAAGTATTAGAAACGTATGTACAAAAAAAAATTATAAGCGACCCACCATGACTTCGCATAAGTAGCAATCATTATCCCAAAAATTTAAATTCATCCGATCGCTACAGAATTTCACAGTTCACTGCTGGGCTAATCTTTAGATTGCCTGTAAATTTCACCACAATCAGTCCAGCCGTCGGAGTCCGTAGGAAATATATATTAACGATTGTGATACGTCACGTGGAAGTGATAAAATCTGAAAGGCAGTTTAGATGAAATATACATCGCGAAATTGTTTTTTATTTGACTGGAATTTAAGATGCGGTGACGGTAAATGCATCCCTGACCGATGGCGTTGCGACGCGGAGCGAGACTGCGCTGCCGGTGACGACGAGATGAATTGCGAGCCGTACGGCATCAGAAACTGCACCTCCGACGAACATTCCTGCATCGACCGACGTTGTATCCTGGTGAGTACATAGAAGGGCAGCGAGCTCGTTTTGATTCGAAAAATAAATTTTAATGTTTTTGCCGAGTAAATTTTTGAAAAACAAAAAATTTGATAATGGAGGATGAACGTTCAATAGGTTAATCAGTCTTAGCACGAAAGTAATTTCTTCTAATAATGCTATCTATAATATAATATATAACTTATTGACGCTGAATTTAATATGATTATCCCCTCATACCTTTAAGTATATGCATATCAATAAATAAAATTGAAGCATCTGTCTATGATTTCCCAATTTTATACGGTGTTTCGCTTAACACTGATACGTAAGCAATTTGGATTGAATTTTTTATAAGAAAATATATAATATACATTAATTTCGTTATTAAATTAAACATTGGTATTGTTCGGACAGAAAACGTGGCTGTGCGACGGTGTACGCGACTGTACCAATGGCGAGGACGAGACCGATTGCGAAGTGAGCTGCGATCAGGATCAGTACATGTGCAAATCTCTGTACAACTCGGCGTTTAGGAACTGCGTGAACAGGAAACACGTTTGTGACGGCATGAAAGACTGCCCGAAAGGAGATGACGAAGATAATTGCCCGACAAAACGTAACTGCGGGCCTGAAGACAAATGCGAAGGGCAATGTATCACAACTTACGACAATCATCCGGCTTGCGCCTGCCCACTAGGCTTCTTGCTCGCTGATAACGGCTTTAGGTAATTATAAACTTAGGTCATTTAATGATTAAGTCGATAGTTTCTTTGAAATCAAATAACTAGTAAGTATATTTGTATATTTCATACCCGATTCTGCTGAAAATTTGTAATTTTACTAGGTTTTAACAATTAACCACTGACTTGGGTTTATTTTAAATACTTGACAGTACTTAAAACTAACCCGACTTTGTGATTTTTCTTAAATATATATTTCTTTTTTGTCTTTACAGTTGCCATGACATCGACGAATGCATGTATCAACAGGATCCGGTGTGCTCTCAGACATGTTCCAATACCATTGGCAGCTTTGAATGTGGATGTATGACTGGATATGTATTGAGACCTGACAAACGATCTTGCAAGCCAATAGGGGAATCACCTACGCTTTTATTCTCCAACAGAATAGGAATCCGAAAGGTACAAGAATCCTTTTATTAAATTTTATCAAATTTCTTTATTCAGATGTTATAAAATATTCTCAAAAAGTTTTCGGATTACATGTTAAGGACAAATAGAGGTCATGTAAATGGTTTTTATGATCGAAACAAGCTACTGTTTGTAATGAATAACTTTAAATAAATTTTCTCACCAGGTGTGGCTAACCGGTGAAAATTATATGCCGGTACTGAAAGGACTCCACAGTGCAATCGCTTTGGATTATCATTACGAGCGTAACATAATATTCTGGGCGGAAACCAACTTGAAAGTCATTAGAGTAGTGGAACTGAGTAGCCATACAATAACAGGTAAAAGCGTAATTATTCACAAAAATTGCTACGTTAAGAAATATCTCACATAGAAATAAATATCTTGTTGAGAAATATCTCACAGGTGTTTTTTATTTTTACGCCATATCTTCCATATTTCTTCATCAATTTGATGATTCAAACATAATTTTAATGTTTATGCATGCCGATATCAACATGAAATAGACAAGTAGAACAAAGTTGTTTTCAAAAAAAATTGTTTAAAAATATAATCATCTTATGCGTTATATTTTATTATGTTTTAGACGTTATCAAATGGGGAATAGATATGCCTAGTGGTTTGGCCGTTGACTGGATACACGATCTGTTGTTCTGGACTGACTCTGGTACTAGGAGGATCGAGGTGGCGGCACTAGACGGAACTAGACGAGCGGTGCTGGCGGCTAACGACCTGGACAAGCCAAGGGCTATAGTTGTGCATCCCGGTGACGCTTTGGTGTTTTGGACTGATTGGGGTAAGCCGAAAATATTTAGAAACCTTTAAAAATGGTGGTCTACTACAAAACTATTATGGTGAAGCCATGCAGTAACTTGAGCTGTTAAACGAATTAGGCCGCACGACCAGTAAAGCGACCACGCGACAAAAAAGACCAGCGTGAAGTAGAGTTAATTACAGCGTAAGAGGAAATCTCCTCTACTTAACGTAGGCCTGTAATCCCTCTGGTATTTTAATGGAGAACTGTTTTATTGTTTAGCTTTTAAAAAAAACTAAATAATTATTTCAAATCGACCGAATAATCTCCAGGCCCCAACCCGAAAATAGAGCGGGCAGACATGGACGGCAATAAAAGAAGGACTATTGTAGTGGATCAGATTTTCTGGCCCAACGGCCTGACAATCGACTACATCGAATCGAAAATATATTGGGCTGACGCAAAACACCACGTGATAGAGAGAGCTTCTTTCGATGGTAGAAACAGAAAAAAGGTAAGCGTGAGTAATTTGAAACATATGTCAACACACATCTATTGATTTCTTGTTTTTACGCAAATAATCTACATGGTTAAATGGAAATATTTTACAGATTTTATCGTGTTTCATTTTGAGTTTTTAATTGTCAATCAGTTAGAAAAAAAATAATCGGGTGATTACTGTGTCACCTTTATGTTCGATGTATGAATACAGGTTTCATGATTCACTTTTTGTGACTAATTAAGTTAAGTTTTTTGTACCATAAGTGACCAATGTAACGGTAATTTTTACTTTAACGTTAAACGTTTACTTCAGATAACCAACAAGGGTCTGCCGCACCCGTATTCACTGACGTTATTCGAAGATGCACTTTACTGGACCGACTGGCATACTAAGAGCATATCAACTGTGAACAAGAATACAGGAAAGGGGATCCAAACTGTGCACGCCAGCCCTAACGTTCCTATGGATATACACAGGTAATTTATAGTCTCATTACTAGATGAAACTATGTTTACTGATTTCTTATTATTAATAAAATTAAATCTAGGCCGAAACGAATCACTACCGCAAAGCAAGATAAAATTAGATTTCCCACACTTATAGTCTATATAAAGAAGGAGTGCAGAACGCTAATATTTTTTTAACTATACGTTAAAAATACATCAAAACAATAAAAAAACATTACACACACTGCCATATATGATTAATTATGGTCAAATTTCGACCACTGAGCGACCACTAGTTAATAAAATTAAATATAGGCTAAAACGAACTTAATAATTTTAAAACTGGCGGTAGCCCTGACTAAAAATGACACATCTTATTGTTTTAAGAACAATATATTATTGATAAATTTGTACTATTTTCTTTTTTTAGTTACCATCAAATGCGACAAATCCGATCCTATAGAAATCGATGTGGGAAGAATAATGGTGGATGTTCGCACCTGTGCCTTCCTAACAGCAATAGTTACTCTTGCCGATGCCCGGCTGGATTCAATTTGAATGCTGATGGGTAATTTCCTTTTGCAAAATCTTCATTTTAATAGTTTTATATAATTTACCAATAAGTAATTGAATATCTACTACTATTCGCAGTCGAACCTGTGAGGAAACACCAGAGAAACTCCTGCTATACGCGCGCAAGAAAGACATTAGGCTCAAACAGCTGAATCCTCGCAAGCAAATAGACTCTTTGGACGCTGTGAGTAATAATTCGAAGTTATTGAATAGTAATAAAAGTCTCTTTTGCAAAACAATAATTACTACAATTTTAAATTTCTACTGACAGGTAATTCCGGTGGAAAACATAAAATCGGCGGTTGCTTTGGATTGGGATCACAATACCAATTCGATTTTCTGGTCGGACGTTGAGAAAGATACCATTAATCGCGCGTACTTAGATGGCTCCGGTCAAACTGTTCTTATTTCGTCAAATCTAAGTAAGTCATCTTCACGACATTAATTAAGTGCCAGAATGCGCTTAATTAGGGTGGCCCATCTAGTATTTTTATTAGAACTTTCGCTTATGTATTTGCATTTCGCATTTTTATTGTCTTTCGGAACCACTTGCCACGAAGCCAATATAACAATAGAACTTTCATGCCCTTTTTTTGAAAATCGGATAATCAGTGGAAATGGTGATGCAAGTTGGCTGCCTCGGAGATGTGATTTGTCTCCGTTGTACTATTTTATATAGGGGTACTATAGGGGGCGGGTGTGGATAAATGTGTCGCTAACTATTCAGAGACAATTGAGGCCTTAAAACATGAAATTGAGGTTGCCGATTGAAAATGTACAATAAAATTTGGTTGATTGGATTTTTTACTGTAAGACGAGTCGTGGCAGTCATATGAACGATATCGTATTTCACTTTTAAAATTTAAGATTCAATCTTTCCAATAAAAAAAATATTTTGAAACTTGATTAGTTTTTTTTTAAATAGAAAATCCAATCATTTATTTTTGTAACATTAATTTTTTTATTCATTAATTTTGCAAATCTAATAAAATTGTTTTATCTAAGATTTTTATTGTGCACAGTGATCATGTGCCAATTTGATAAAATATTATGAAAAAAACTCAAGAATTTTTAACTTGATTTAAATTTGTAGTAACAGTGTTAAAATTTTAGTCATGTCAATTTTTGTAGCGCTTTTCTCACTTTAGATTAAACATTTTTATCAAAATGGACGCAAACTTCGCCGCTCCGAGGTAATAGGAAAAAGTGGTCATGCATTGTAAAAATAAACACATTAAATGGAATAAGCGTTGCTTAAATTCAGTAAAAGAAAGTAGATAAATCCGTTGAGATTTTCTTTGGTGGTAATATATGCCATTAAGCTTAGTGGCTACAGCATCGGGTGCGTATCCTGGAGACCACAGGTGCAAATATTCGCTGCGGCGAAAAATTTTTCGTCCATATTTCTACAAATATATTTAAACAATATTAAGGATAACCGAATGCTAATAAAACGCTATTTCTAAATAAGTCATCTTAATTTTAACAGTATCACCAGCCGGCTTAGCCTATGATTGGCTGACGGACAAGTTATATTGGACAGATGCTGGAACAAACAGGATTGAAGTTTCAAATGCTAATGGTACCATGCGGACACTCCTTGCCTGGCAAAACATAGATAAGCCAAGAGACATAGTACTAGATCCTAAAGGTAATTTGCAACGTTTTACGAATCTGTCATAAAAAACATATTTTTCCGTTGGACAGATACTTTGTATATAACAAGTCTTTTTTTCCATTGATCAAAGATTTACATAATTATTGATATTCTTTATTGTTTATTTGTATAATATAAAGCTGTGTGTGGAATTAAGCTTAGTATAATATCAACATGCATTATTATAATTTCTTCTAACCATTGTGCTACTCCACAGTTTATCCAAAACTTTTGACGGCGAAGTTGTTTTTTCCTAAATATTAATCGATGTAAATATAAATTTCTTCGCCGAGCATCGTGGGTTCGATTCCCACCCGGGACGAGTATTTGTGTCCCACAACCCATATTTTCCGGATCCGGGTCGTTCCCAAGGAGGGTTGACGTTAGGCGGGCGGCCGGTCTTAAAAACCTAGCCAATATCGGTAACAAAACGGTTCACATGTACCGACCCCACCTAGGTGGAATAAGGGCTGGAGAAAGAAGAATATAAATCTATCTATATATTAATACGTGAAGTAACAACTTTGTACCCCTTATTACGAAAATAACGTGGACGTAGGAGTATGAATATAGTTTATATAGAGAAGTAGTTTTGCACTACTTCTCTATATAAATATAAGAATACTATAATTTTTTTACAATTATGCATAAAAACGCACTAAATCAATAAAAAAACATTACACACACTATCATGTACAATGAATTGTGGTCGAATTTCGACCATTAGGCGATCACTAGTAATAATAAATATACTTTATTAGGGGGGACCATGTACTGGTCGGATTGGGGTCAAAACCCTTGCATAGAACGAGCCGATATGGACGGCGGCAATCGGAGACGGTTCCTTTTCGGCGCCATGACGTGGCCCAACGGATTGGCCCTGGACCTAGAGAATAATCGCATCTATTGGACCGACGGCGGCAACCGTACCATAGAGTACGCCAATCTCGACGGAACCGGCCGTAAAACGCTAATAGGTAATTTAATATTCTTACACACGACACAAACCGTGAAACAGATAAATAATAATAATTGAATAATTATTTCTCATCACAACTATTTGACAATGCGTAGAGTTTGTGTAAATACTAAATACATTAAATTATTGATAGGGAATTAAATTGATAGGTCAAAGCATAGACTTATAAATATACTAACGGACCCGATAGTCGTGGGCCTGTACAGGTTCTAAATCCGATAACAACTTATAAACAAAAAAAAATATTTTTAGTGCACCGAATTGTGAATCTAAACGATTCTCCCACTTGAACACACAAAAAAAAATTCATCAATCGGTTCAGCCGTTTAGGAGTAATTCAGTTACATATACGGAAACAGAAAATTATATATACAAAGATTTTAATACTCTGCCGGTAAGGGCTTTACTCAGAGTGCATTAACAAGACAAATATAAATAATTCAATGTTAGTCAAGCGCTACTTGATTTTTCTGAATGTGAGTTTTTACAAGGAAAATTAACATTAATTATATTGCTAATTTTGTTAATTTCCTTGTAAAAATTCAAATATATGTCATTAATGGAGCGAAAATAATAGATATAATGCCATTTAATATAATGTATTTAGATTTCACGTTAACAAACCATTACGTATTATACCTACAATATGTTGACAGGGATAAATAAATTTTACAAAATCATTACCTCCATCATAATAGCTCAACATCTACCTCACCCGTTCGGCTTGGATTTGTACGGCGACGAGGTTCTATGGACCGATTGGGATACAAAGTCGATCCAGGCGGCCAATAAGGATACGGGTAAAAATCGCCGTACCCTCGGCGCTGGCATTGATGGTCTGATGGATGTAAGGGTGTTCCATAACGATAGAAGGAAGGTCCCTAACCGGTAAGTTGGCAGAAGGCCTAGTTGCGAAAAATATTTATGTACCTATATAAGAAGAATATTTATTAAAGAGATTTTATAAATCTTTGTACAATTGCAATTTTAAGTGCTTACTTATCTCGTGCTTAGCGGTGAATAAAAAACGCGAGGAGACCTGCATATGTGAAAAGTTGGCAAGCGAGCTGGTGGTTCGCCTGTTGTCAAGGGATTACCCCCCATAGACACCTACAATACCTGACGGGTTGCAGATGTGTTGCTAACCTACTAAAAGTCGGCCCCGGCTACCTCACTCACCGGACGAAACGCGAAAGTATAATACATATTTACACTTCACGCCGGTCTTCCGTGAGGTGGTACTTCGTTTCACAGTTTCCTAATAACGCCTTGATATGTGCTAGGTGCGCGAAGAACAACGGGGGCTGTTCCCACCTGTGTCTTTTGAAACCCGGTGGACGCTCTTGTGCTTGTCCCACTGGAATCAAATTGCGTGTAAGTACTACCCACACGATTATACGTGGCATTTACATTTAAATCCTTACTAATATTATAAACGTGAAAGTTTGTGTATATGGATGGATGTTTGTTACTCTTTCACGCAAATACTACTGAATGGATTTTAATTAAACTTTACAAAAATATAGCTTATACATCGGAATAACACATAGGCTATAATTGATATACATATTTTCATGTATATTGGTCTTTCTGTCTGAATGTTACGCCTTCAGCCTATTCTACTCAGACATAGTCGCGGGCAGCAGCTAGTTTAATATAAAATGATAAAATGAAGTTTTAGAAGTGACTTTTCATGCATGCATACAATGAAGTTGTTTAAAATTTTATGATTGACCTTATTTTATGTCTTATCAGATGTACAAGCTATTTATAATTTATATTCCTAATTTTGTGATAAGATCTTTCAAGTTTGTTTACTTTTAAGATAATCATGTTTAACAATAATACAGTTTTATTTTGAAATACAAATCTAATCGTGTTCTTCAAATTTATCCTGTAGAAAGACGGCAGAACATGTGCTGAAGGACCCGAAAACTATTTAGTTTTCGCCCATCGCGTCGACATACGGATAGTGTCTTTAGATGTCCCATACCTTGTTGACGTCGTAATGCCGCTACCTCCGCTGAAAAACGCTTTAGGCGTAGACGTTGATCAGAAAACTGGTAAGTTCTCATTATTCATTAAAAAACAACAAATGATAAAAAGAACAAATAACAAAAATACTCTTATTGAGATCAACTTATAAAAGCTTAACTACAATTAGGCAAATTAATTATTATTTTATAATGAGTTAAAAGATTAATAAATATGTTGGTTTTTAAACAACTTCTGCCGGCTTATGATGAGGTTATAATTATTTTTAGGATTGATCTATTGGAGTGACACAGGCGTAAGAAAGATACAGCGTTCTAAGACAAATGGTGAGAATGTTGAAACAGTATTTGAGCACGGGCTGCACACGTGCGACGGTATCGCTATTGATTCTACGGGAAGAAAGGTTTGTAATACTCTAAAAATATCCATAGGTAACGTTACTACGAAAGCGTAAAATCTTGTTTCTCTTAATAATTCAGATATAATTGCTAAACTATTCCCACTTACAGATTTACTGGACGGATGGTGGAAGGAACAGCATTGAAGTCGCCGAACTAGATGGATCTCGCAGAAAAGTCCTCATATGGACTGGACTAGGTAGGTAAATCAAATGTTTTTCACCTTGAGGAAACCTAACCTTCCGAGCTCTATGCGCGATGAAGCTTTATACAGTCTACGGACAGAAAACGCTAGAATCAATAAAAAACTTACTATCTGAATATGGAAACAATATTTTTTTATATAACTAACATAATATACTCTATCAACAGACTCCCCTCGAGCGATCGCGTTGTATTACGAAAGGGGCATCATGTTCTGGTCTGATTGGGGGACAACAGCCAAGATCGAGAGGGCAGACATGGATGGCAATAACAGGTAAAAGGACGACGCATCAAACCTAGCAGGCATTTTTGAATGATTGAAGATTTTAAGTGTACAATTCCCATTGCAGGGGCGTAATCGTGCAAGATAATATCAAGTGGCCCAATGGCTTAGCAATTGATAAGAACGGTGGTCGTCTATATTGGAACGACGCTAAACTTCTCACTATAGAAAGTTCGGATTTCAACGGCCATGACCGACGTATTTTAAAGAAAGACGTACCCTATCCTTACGGAATTGTCATAGTGGATCAATATATCTTCTGGACAGATTGGAAGACAAAAGCTCTACATAGAGCTAATAAGACCAACGGAGAGGATCAAATTGTAATCAGAGAAAATTTGGAGGGGCTCATGGATATTAAACTTGTTAAAGTAAGTAAATTATCTGTGGCACTCAGCAATTACGTATATACGTATTCAAGATAATTCATGTTTACCTACTAAATAATTTTATCTCTTATAGCAAAGTAAGCCATAAAAATTTTGGAACAGAATTTTATAACGAAAATAGTAAAGATATATATTTAATATAAATACCAAATATTGAAATAATTTCGGTTATCTATAATAAGTCATCGGGTATAAGTATCCAGTTGCTAAACTTGCTACTATCACCCTTGAGCAATTCATCACTTGAATTAGCCAGGGATCCTACCCTGCGTTTAATATGACTAGATCAATATCGTTGTTTATTCACTCGGCCCTTACTAATGCCGTTCTGGACACCTCTACCCCAGAACGGCGACGTGAAAATTAACGCGTGCGGTAACAACAACGGCGGCTGTTCCCACCTCTGCCTGAGGGCACCCCGCGGCTACACGTGCGCGTGTCCAACGGGCACGGTGTTCGAGAACGCAACAGACCCCAATCCTAAAATCTGCAAGCCCTACCCCGACACTTTCCTGGTGTTCGCGTCAAGAACGTCGATGACGATGATCTCGTTAGACACCCCGGAGCACTGGGACATCACGCTGCCCGTGAAAAACGTGTCGAACTCCGTAGCCGTCGATTTCCACTGGGAGGAGAGGGTCCTGTTCTTCTCGGACGTCGGCCATGACGTCGTAAGGTGCGTCACAAATAATTTATTCATTCCGTTTGTTTTAAGGGTTCCGTACCTTAAAAGGTAAAAAAAGAACCCTTATAAGGTCACTCTGTTGTCCGTGTGTCACCATCAATTTTCTCAGGAACGGGTGGATCTAGCAAGTTAAAATTTAAACCAGATACTGAAGTGTATAGTCCATATTAGGTGTATAAAAATCAATCCGAGACAATCGGTGGCGATTATTTACCAATTTTATTAGGGCGGTATAATGGGTAGGTACAGTACCCTCAGCGGACGAGTTCGACTCGCACTTAACCGGTTATTTTTTCAAGTGCTCATTGACCAATCAACTTCATTAACAAATTATCATCAATGCAAATCTTTTTCATATTTCGTTTGACTTCATTTTACTCTTAAAATACTGATTTCATATCAGGGTAACCTTTATTTAAATTTAAGTTACCTTTATTTAAATTTTAGATCGATTGATATGAGAAATATGAGTGAAGCTAGAGTTGTGGTCAGTGGCCGCCTAGACACACCGAACGGTTTAGGCGTGGACTGGATAGCCAATAATATTTATTGGACCGATAACGACTTTAAGGTAAAACAATAATCACATCCAAGAGTTGTCGAATCAATTATTCTTTAAATTTGACACAATGTTTTATTACAAATGTAATACATAAGAAAGTTTTGTTTAATGTCACGTTACGTTCTAGGTTATAGAAGTTGCCCGATTGGATGGATCCTGCAGGAAAATTCTAATCAGTGAATTAACTGAGCCTCGAGCACTTACGCTGTTTCCAGCGAAAGGGTACATATTTTATGTAAATAAAGCTGATTATTTTTTAAAGAACTGGCGAAGGGATTCCAAACTAAACTTTTCATAGTTGTGTTAAGTCTAAATTATGTATACATTTTTTATTTGTTAAATGTCACTATTTCAATTGGCAGTTACCTGTATTGGAGCGACTGGGGTGAGAGTCCAAATATCGAAAGGTCTATGCTTGATGGTAGCCAAAGAAAAGTCATTGTCAGTCATGACCTAGGCTTTCCTAACGGCCTGACAATCGACTATAAAGACCGAAGGCTATACTGGACCGACGCCTTGAAAGATAGAATAGATACCTCGGACTTAAACGGTCAACATAGAGTGCAATTGGTACCTAATGCGAAAAATCCCTTTGGCTTGACGCAGGTGAGGAAATATGATATTGTTTTTAGAATCAATCGCAACCTAACATTTTTTATGATATTGGAATGATATAATATTCGATGATTCACGAATTCCCAAGGCACATGTTTGTTTAAATGCCGTTACAATAAAAACGTTCAATATTTCAGATCAACGATTACATTTACTGGACTGATTGGTACTCGAAATCGGTGATGAGGGCCGATAAAAAGACCGGAAAGAACGTAACGGCGATCAGGTCAGATCTAGAAATGGCGATGGAAATCAAAGTGGTATCCGCAGAAAAACAACGCGGCTGGAACCCGTGCAAGGAAGACAATGGGGGTTGTTCGCATCTGTGCCTTTTCAGAGGCCATGACTATGTCTGCGCTTGTCCAGATCTACCCGACAACCAGTTATGTTCGACAGGTAATAATTCAATAGCCATTTGCGACTAATAGACTAGTACAAAATCCAATAAAAATTTGTTGAAGAATCTTATCCTTGTTTGAGCGTACGTTCGGATTTTTTTTATGAAAAGGCATTTATCTTTAACAAGTTTTTATTATTGAAAGATCAAAAATTACCCTTTTATGGCTGTGCAGCAAATATCTCAAGAAACATCAAGTCCGTAAAAATAAAGCTCCGATGCCTATAATCTTGGAATTTGCACAATGTGCAATATGTTGTTTTATATTCTGTTATGAAAACTTATTAAAGGACCAGAAAATTTTGAAATAACCGGGCTGCAAAAATATCAGCTACTGTCGCCATTACGGCACAGTTTTTTTTACAAGGTTTTGTATTGATTATAAGGCGTAACTGAAGAAATAAAACTGGCCATTTATAACAGCTCCGTTCCCTCATTTGCAGATCCGACGTTACGTGTCGACTTGAAAATCCCATCGCATTATCCATCCTACTACGATTACATGGACACCGAAGTGGCGAACATCCCACCGAAGCCCACTCCAGCACCGGAAAAGAGCATCGGCGCTATGATCATTGGCGTAATACTTATAGCCTGCGTTATTCTCGGCGTGTTGACCATCATATTCATTTGTCGTTAGTACTAATTAGTATTATCACTATATAGTATAAAACAAAGTCGTCCCGCTGTCTGTACCTATATATGCTTAGATCTTTAAAACTACGCAACAGATTTTGATTCCGGTTTCTTTAATAGATAGTGTTTCAAGAGGAAGGTTTATATGCATAATACAGTAAAGAATAATTAAATTAAAAGAACTGATAATTTTAGAGGTTTCTAATGCGAAAGCAAACATACAGCATTGCACCCATGCGAAGCCGGGGCGGATTAATAAATATTTACCACATTGATACTCCGTATACAATGGATTAAAAAAAATTAACTCATTTTATGCCAATCTATTCGTACGATTGCCATTTATTTGAACAAAAACTGTATCGGTGTATTCAGTAACACACTGAGTGAAGTTTGAGACAAAGTTACGCTGTGTTTTAGAAGACGAATGTTACATAAAACTACTACGTAAATACTATAGAATTCGGTACTTTTATTATTAATGAAAGCCCTTATCGTACGTAGCTGTTAATTTAATGAGTACCTACTCTAGTACCTGCTAGGATGAATAATATTGTAAGGTCATGAATTTTAACTCTTTTGCTACAAGTAGCAAGGCTAGACTCTTTTGCTAGGCGTAGTGGTTAGTATACCTGCCTCCTGAACCAGAGGGTGTTGGATTATATCCCCACTATTGGACTTTGTTCCGTTGGTTCCTATAACACAACAAAATATTTATGCTTTAATATAACGCTTCGGTTGGTGTACTTGCGACGATGTAGGCTTCGGTGTCATCATAGTTCGTGGGTTCAATAACCACCAGAGAAAACTGTTAACACATAAAATAATATTTCCGGATGTATATGTCAATTCTTGTTCGATTTCTTTGTTTACCGCTTCGACCATACAAGATAATGTCATCATACAGTAACGGTGTGAAAACTGTTTTGAAAAAAGTAAAGAAAATAGAAGAAATTAATGAGCAATCGGTTACAGTTAAACTGCACACCGATCGAGGGGGAGAGGTGAAAGAGAACTACCGAGAAGCGGGCGGTCATATCTCCTTCCACAATCCGAACTACAACTGCGCGGGGAGCACCAGCGGCCAAGATCAAGCCGAAAGACGACAAAACAGATTCCAAGGAATCTTCAAATACGACAAGAGTCAGGTTAGTGACAACAGTCGAACGATTTCATGATTTCAGTAAGTGTGCTTACTGAAATCATGACGTCAATATGCAGATTTACGATGGGCTTGTACGCGAAGAAAGCAAATATGTGGATTTATAGCAACAGCCTTTATATTTAAGACTGTATTTTTTTAAAATTGAATAAATGCAACTTTTCATACTTAACCAAATAAATCTAATTAGATAAAAAAACATAAACTGAATTAGACGTTATTTAACAAACCTAGTCCACGCGACATGGTATCAAGAACGCTAGTTGCATTTCCGTGAAAAAAAAAATAGTTATGCCTAACATGCGAGAAAACAACCAGACTTTTTGTCCCCAGCAGCGGCGATAATTCTAGGATGTAAAGCTGTCAAAAATTTTGAACACATAATTGTGAGATATATTGTCAACGTAAAAAAAGTAAGCAAATCAAGGTTAATATGAACAAATGGTGCTAAAGCATCGTGTACTATTTTTTTTTCTGTATGTTGGTCAGCGTCTAAAACTTGTAAACGTTCAGTTGTATTCTTTCTTTCTTATTACTATGGATAATAACTGGTTAACAATTGTGCCCTTGTTCGACGACTTAACTTACCACATTGTTTGGGTAAAATCTTTAAAACAGACAGGTCTATATGGCGGATTGTACCTACAACCGCCTCGGTTGCAACCCTCATTACGTTAGAGGGGCCTGCGGGATCACCTACAAAACGTATCAGTGCCCATAAGAAGAATAAGTCGGGGACTTTTGCTTTGCGACACAAGACCACCTTGTAACCGATCATCTCATACTACTCCTCTTAAACAGGAACGTGTAACCAACGTTTACATTCCGGAGGGAACCAGCCTTCTCCCGCCGCCGCCACCTCCCCCCAAAGGCCTCAAGAAACCGCGTCCGACGCACGAGGACTTCGAACCGGTCACCTTGCACACGTTCGCTTAAAGATGCAACTAACACTGAATCGACGTTTCTATCACTTTAACGTTCACGAGAAACGTAAACACCCAATAACAATGATAATGACCTCTTTAGATTGTAGATACTTATAGAGAAAAGTTTACGTTCTGTCTTGCCAACGTGAGCGTGGTAGAGCATAACGACCGGGACAAACACAAGGATTTCGATAATCAAGAATAGCTAATTATACTATACGTATGTGACACATGTAGGATAGTGCTTTCATCGCGATAGCTCTAGACTATATATGCTGCAGATGATAAGACAATTCAAAACATAAATAGTGGCCACTAGCTGTATCTTCAGAGATTATCTGTTAACGTAATGTAACAACTAATTGGCAAAGAAGACATCACCTAATATCGTCAATTCCAGATATCAATAAAATGGAAATATACGTAGACATATACAGTAAGGTTATTAATGTTGTTTATAATCCGACTTGGACAAAAAAGCTAGGCTAAATTTGTTGGCAAATATCTGTCCCGGCCTACTTTGTCTCAATTTACCCCGATCAGGCTTTAGAGCCAAATGTTTTGTTAAATAACTAATTGTTTATGTGTTTTTAGAAAACAACATTCATCAATTTAATTAATGTAATTGTTATCTTTTCTAGGACATAATAATTATCGTGTAGCGTAGTTACATGTCTATAAGACTTTATCAATATTTTAATAAATGTGTAAATAGACGTGTTAATATTATTAATGAATTCTCATTCTCAATTTATATGTTGTGAAATTTAGTTTCTTTATCAGCCATAAATATACGTTCTTAAACTTGTAAAAGTGATGCGGAGGGATAATTGTTAGGTCTCAAAAATGTTATTCAATATACATTCTTTGTTACTATAATATGTGAACACGCTAACATTTTTTTTCATGTGAAAAGTTGTCAAACGAGCAGACGGTTCACTTGATGTTAAGTGAATACCGCCGCCCATGGACATCTGCTGGTACACCCGAGAGTTACAGATGCGTTGACAACCTTTTGAAAATTGGGCTCCGGCTACCTCACTCACCATACGAAACGCGAAAGTATTTGTCATACTTCCACTTTTCGAGGTTTATTTTCAAAACCCACCCATCTCTGTATCTTATTAAAAATATGTCTGTTTAAGGTGTCTAGTTATAATTAAAAATATTTAGTACATAGAATAAAAATGAAATCTTTGTATTATTTTCATATAAGTCTTTGCTCCTAGTCCCGACGGCTCACGGGAAAAGGAGTCAAGACAGCATTATACTATATATTTAAAAAAAAACATAGTGTTGTACGAGGTCTGGGATTATTTTAGTGAACACCTTATTTCCCTCGCGTTGCTGTCAATGGATGTTTGCTGACTGTGACTTTATTTACAAAATTGTATTTATAAAACTAGTGTATGCGCTATTGAGTAAATCAGAGAATCTCACCGGGCAATCATATTGGATAGAACATTGATTTTCTGAATCATTTCCTTTTAATGCTTCTCGTCATATAATTATATTCACCACTTTAAATATGGTGACAATAAAATATCAGTGTAGATAATTAGTTTTAATTACGACATCAAATCAGACATAATGATTTCGTATTCTTTATAATAGTTTATTTGTGTCATATATATATATCTTATTAATTTCATTTGAATGCTGATGACTACCATTACGTAGGAACGTCTCATATCAGAGTTAATTCCTTTAGTAATTAATTAGATTTATATCTTTAAAATATGCTTTGAAAGTTTCCTACTAAGTGTAAAAGTGTGCCTCATAATGTCTTCTGTTACGAGACTTAATTTGTATTGTTTTATTATTATTATCAGTTACAATGGCGCCAGTCGATGGCGTTTGTAAAGTTTCACAGGGTGTTTTAATCTAAGGTAGTGTTTAGAATGGGTAACAGCGGTTACAGAAAAGATGAAATTATATTTTGCCTAATGCAATTTCGTTGTATTCGCATTATTTTGTACTGAGCTGTACATTATATTGTTATTGAGAAATATCAACAAGGATTGTACGACCGCTGTAAAATCGGTTTATGCATTTACTTATTATCCTTATCTATGTATGCATTGACGTCGTGTGCAGTGGGAATTCACTATCACCTTATGAATGTATCTATAGCAATTCTCATGTCTCCTGGTGTTTACTTTAAATATCATCAATAATTGTATATACGCTTAATTGTTAATAAGGACAAAGTCATTTAACATTATCACGGCTAATATTTGATGTTTGTTGCGTATTTCATAGTTTATTCCGGCATTGTTTAAAAGTACCTATAAGTCCTTTCGAACATTTTCTGTGTATCCAATACACCGTTCTGTTTGACTAATGTGGTTCTTTATAGAAAATACTAAATCCATTCCATTTCACATAGAGTTCTCTATGAAACCTTATTTTATATACGTATATATATTTTTCAATCTTCTTTCATTCGATTCATTTTGTACATATATATAAAAACGATCTATTATTTTTAATTATTCCATATTCGTGTAAGTAAAGTTAATAAGCGATCGAATCAAAGAAGATTGTACTGTCTACATCTAGGAGAAGCGTTTTATATGGTGTTTCTGGTTTATTAATAAGTATAAAAAAGTTACGTGTGTCGTTCCATTGTATGCATAGCTTATAAGGGAAGGGAATATGAGTGCTGTGATACCAGATGCTTCGGGAGTAATTGAATGGGATAATATGGCAGCAGTGTTCGGATAACCTATATGTAGCTACGTGTAATTTTTTTTTCTCTTGTAATATTGTTAATGACACTCGTCGTTGTATGCACAAACGTAATTATGCGCACAAAGCGTCTCCAAAAAATAATTCGAATCACTCAAATTCTTTCCATTTTGAATTTTCTTCGTTCCTTAGTAGAATTAATTCCAAAATTTACATGGACATCGTGCGATTTGTGCCAAATTCGGGATTTCTGTAATACTTTTTAATTACTTAGCGTATTATTTGGTTTTTTATTAATCATTAGCGATAAGGTAACCGTTATAAACAGCTTTTACACCTTCAATGCCTCCTATGAAAAAGGTGTAAAACTGTTGTGAGATTTATTATAATTGTATTTAAGATTTAAGTATAGAAATTATTCAAATAATCGAGTGCTAATCATTTATACCATCCGTTACGCCTTCCGAATCCTATACTTCTGCAAAACAATCCCTCTTAAAATTCCACGATTGAAAAATTTTATACAAAAAAAGTTTACATCAAATTTTATATGTAAAAATAACACGTTCCATTTATATTTTTAAACAAAACATCTTTAATTATATTCGCAATACAGCTAAAAAGAACAATAACAATTTTAAAAAAGATAATATTTTTTAATATAAATCAGCTACGCTACCTACCCAACAACGGGGCTGAATTCCTTTTGTAAATAGCAATAACAAAAATAACCGTTCAAACCATATTGTGTCATGTATTAACGGAAACGTAAACGGTGTTTACATAAAGCTTCATGAATGAAATACGCTTTATTGTACACCAGACAAAATTACAAAAGTAACAAAGAATTACATAAAGGTACAATTGGCGGCCTTAGCGCTTAGAAGCGATTTCTTCCAGGCAACCATGTTACAGAGGAAACAATGATCAGTGAGAAGAGCTTGAGGTATACGCTATTGTTAATATATGTATTAGTACCGGGAGGACCGAGCTTTGCTCGCTTTGTTTTTTTTTGATAAATCGTGTATTTTGGAAATTACTGAGTAATGAAATATGCATAATATTTTTTGATCTTACCGACGTAATAATAAGAAAATATGAACTGATGTTTTTCACAAAAGAAAGAACTTAAAAAAAAGGGAACAAAATAAGAAATCGACAAAAAATTAAAAATAAAGAAAACAATGATCTGGAATCAAAAAAAAGTAAAAAAATAAGTGTGTAAATGATCGTGACGCGAACCACGGCTGTCTGTTTTGGGGCCGCCCGATTAACGACCGAGCTATTATGACATTTTCTCTTGCGGCGAATTTTACCGTCATATTCACATTATATTTTTCATTCCCTGAAAACAGGGATAAAATGACATTTTCTAAAAATGAAACCTAGCTAGATCGATTTTTCGCCCCCGAATCTACGCCCATACTAAATTTCATGAAAATTGCTGGAGCCGTTTCCGAGATTCCGATTATATATATATATAGAAGAATTGTATTAATTGTATTAATTATAGTAATTGTATTCGTTTAAAGGATAAGATAGAAACATGTACACAAAGAAAGAAATAAATATATATATATGAATAAATACATTTAGAGAATGATAAGTGGACAAAAGCCATATAGCACATTAGCGAGGAAATAAGTGAGCTTTAACGAGTCTTTTAAATATTGGCAGTGATTGCGCCCGCCAGATTTGAAGCGGTAAGGAGTTCCAAAGCCTGACCGCTTCGACAGAGAAGGATTTGGAGTTGAAGGAAGTATTACGGGAGGGAATTTTTAAGGTCAGGTTATTATCGGCGCGAAGAGAGTGCTACTGAGGAACTCGAATCTCTCTTTAAGATAAGGAGAAGAAGTAGGATTGAATAGAATACAGTATAAAAGAGAGAGAATGTTATATAATGTGGGTATTCCTGCGAAGGCGAATCGGAGGCCACTTGAGTTTTTGGCGATGTTCGGAAACATGGTCATATTTTCGGAGTCGAAATATGAACCGTATACAAAGATTTTGAATGCGCTCAGTTTATTAAGTAAGTCTTCATTAAGATTTAAATAACATGACGGCGACCAAACAAGTAATTGTGAAACCAGTCAATCTCTTCAGGAGATATGTTAAGAGACTGTAAAATTGTTAATAAGAGGTCAAAATCGACATTGTTGAATGCATTGCTAAAGTCAAGTAGGGAGCGACCAGCGCGGAAACCGGATTGGAATCGATTAAAAACACTTCTCTTTAATATAAAGATGCCTAATTGATTGTGAGCTTCATCTAAAACGTAAACTGTGGAAAAGCTATTTTCAACGAGTTTGATTGGTCTTAGCTGATGAGGGTTTGATGGGGTTTACCTACGCCAACGGGTCCTATTTTTTTTACGTGAGAAAAAATGTATGTATACTCTGCAACCCGATCGGGGCAGTGTCAGGGAGTCCCTGTATATTCCCATACGGTCAGAAACGGGTAAAAGTAAAGTATCAGCCTACATGTCCCACAGCTGGGCAAAGGCCTCCTCTCTACAGAGGGTATCAGGGCATAGTCCACCACGCGGCCACACTGCGGATTGGCTGACTTCACATATCTTCGAAATATATTTTTTTATTATTATTTCGAAAATATGCAGATTTCCACACGATGTTTTCCCTCACCGCAGAGCACGTGATAATTCAGCGCTTGAAATTAATCTGTCTCACCCGCCGAGGACCACAATCGCAATATGCAATCTGCCGCGTCCTCGGCATGCGTACAGTGTTCCTTCAAAGATACCACGTCATATGGGTTATGTGGGGTTCGTACCCACTAAAACCTATTCTGTACTTTTGGGTGGACTCCGGGATAGTACTGGGCGATATAAATCGATATTTCAAATAATATCGATACATGTACGCGATATATCGCTTCAATCCGATACTATCGAATCATCTAGTATCGAATGTAATATCGATATATTTCATCCGATATATCAAATATCGTGTCATATTCCATGTTGTTCTTTATATCTTCTTATTCTCTAAGACTTATTCCTTTAAATCTGCAACATTGTCAGATGAGTTATCGCTTTATTTGAGGGTTCCAGTCAGTAGATTTAAAGAAAACCGATTAAATGTGTGGGCAGACTATAAAATACAGTACCCAACGTTATACAATGTGTCTCTTAAATATTTAACTATGGTGGCTAGCTCAGTTCCATCTGAACGACTTTTCTCAAAAACCGCACAGGTTCTTAAACAGCAAAGAAGCAAATTGTAAGCCAAAAGGGTAAATAAAATCTTGTTTTTGCAAGGTTTAGAGAAATTTATAAATATATCATATTGGTATGGTATAAAAGAAAAAGCTGCTATTCTTTATGCGCAGATGCTAAACATGGCTTTTGGGTCGTATGGCCGTATCTTCCCACTAAATTATTTTTACTCAAAATTAACCTGATCCCTATTTAATATTATAGACTAGTTAAATACAAGTAATAACTTACGATATTTTTAAAATATCGATGTATTTGTTCGATATACCGCAAACTATCGATACAACACTACGATATATTATATGGAAAAAAATATCGATATTTTTTACATGAACATCCCTACTCAGGGATCTCCTACGGAACGCACCGGTGTCCGCGAACAGTAGAACCCATATGTATCTAACGTATGCACTGCTTTTCGCAGTGCTCGGAAGCTTACATGTGCTGGAAAGGTGAAACAATTCTATATGTCGATAGCATAGCTACCGACAGTTTAAACGTATTACTATGATACCTTAACACCATTCATGGCACGAGAGGTATCTATAAACAGAGTGAAGACAATGTTAATGTTTACAATATATTTTTAAATTTTGCATAGAGGACAAATACGAACAAATTATTTCTTTTGGCCAGAAAATTTCATCCCCATAGGACGAATTGTATAGAATATAATAGGTTTAAAAGAAGATTATAATTTGACTCCGTTTAAACCATTATAAAGTTTAAAATAAATAAAATTCGTAATAAAATATACATAACATTTTTATTTTTATCATTTAGCATACAATGAAGACACATACGTATTTTAAACGTTTACACCTAGACAACATACGTATATATAACATAACACTTAGTAAATAGGTCGCAGACAACGCACAAGAGCTAATATTACTATAGAGGCGAGTTAATACTTGAACAGTTTGATGAAGTGTTTATATTCATTCGTATTACAATTGTAAAATTCTTTCAATGGAAACTATAAACTTCTGGAAAGAAAAGGGCCTAAATTTAATTTATTTGATTGGAATGAAAATTGTAACCCTATTACATTATTAATCCAAACAATTAACTACATCTATTACTAACACATATCCAAATACACTTCTTAGAATTTACTACATATAAAAATATAGGCCTGATAGAGAAACGTATGAATAAAGTGTATGTAGAAATTATCAATGACAACAGCACGAATTCAGTTCAACGCCAACGTAGAACATAAAAGTATAAAACATACAACACATAAAACTTACAAGAATATAGTACTATATCAATAAATTAATTGAGTCAGACTAGAATCAGAATATCAAGAGACTCCTGAACATACGAAATGTTAAAATAAGGTGCTAAGGATATAGCTTGGTCAGTCCAATAATTACGGAGATTGTATTTAAATATGGAAAACAATCCTAAGTTAATGTTAGACACCAACTGTATTATTTTAATCCAATACTTCTAACATACACATACCGTTAAATTGGCACAATGAAAGCTAAGCGTTGCAATAAAACAAGTTTCATTTACCACTATATAAAACTGAGATCAAAACAAAATTAATTCTATTTAAGTTAACAATACGATCTATGTTGTACTATACACTCGGTATCGCATATGAAAATGTTTCGTTACGATAAAATTATACGTACTATGTTCGTTCCACGCAAATATTTCTTAGAACAAAATTGTGTATCTGTTGAATAATATAAAATTTGTAATATCATGGTATATGACTGATATGCTGGTTAGTATATCAACTATTGTCAATTTTTTATACGCTTTTTTTAAATATACTATTCACAGATATAAAGTGAAATAAAACAGCAAAGTTAATATAGTATTAAAATATTACGTTTCGGAACGTATAAAGTTATAATCTCACAGTACTATTAACAGAAAAAGTAAAATACAAAAGTCATTACGAATGTATGAAGTGTCACATGTCACAAATCTTTGGAATAACATCCCTGTAAATATTGTAGTACAAGATTTTGTTAATAATAATAATTATTAGTAATATAAAAATTAGGGACTAGGACATTTTAATAACGTTAACATTAAATATTTTTAAATCCGATTGATAGTAAGTATGTAAGTAATATACATAGTGCTGTATGCAAAAATAAATTGTCAATGTCAGATATCGCACATATAGTCTGTAGAGGCAGTTGTAATATAGAAATCTGTAGTGCAGTCTGTGATGTCGTGGAAAAGTACGCCATGTTTTCAAACGCGCGCACATATATTATATCCTAGCCCCTATCTAAGCCCAACAAAGTTGGAATAACGTAAATATTTGTGCTTCACTTATTGGTAGCGTTTGAGCTCAGGGATCACTTCCAGCAGAACAAGTTCGAAAATTTCCTGTAATACAAAGCATCATGTCATTACATGGATAATTGAAGATGTGTATACATGTGTATACACACATAACATAAACGAACCATAACTGTTCGTTATGGTCGTATTATTCCTATTTAAATAATCATCTGATGAGTATGACCCAGTACTATGTCTCGTACACCGCTACAAGATTATATTTACTTTATTTCGTGTTGTATCGAAAAAGGAAATAATAAGAGCACATTAAAATTTAAATTTTATAAGCAAAAGAACTATCGAAAAGAATTATAAAATTTAATAGCTTTTTACCACTTTTTGTGCGTGTAACACTGTGTAGAAAGTAAAAAAAAAAATTAGATATATAGGAAGAAATTAGGAGTTTTGCGCGAGAATTTTACCGAGGACAATTCTAAAAAATATTTAAAATATTGTTTTTTAATTGTTGCGAGTAGTTTACGTACCTGCGCAATAAGGTATAGATTAAATTTAAAATAAATATGCATGTTTACTCAAAAAATTAATAAATAAAGAATGTTTATAAATTTTTTGTATAAGAATATCCTTATCTTTTTTGAAAAACACAATTTCGGAATAATTAATATAAATGATGAAGATATAGCAGATTTTTCGACAATTTATTTATGCATTTTAAATTTCGTATTTAGTGCAGAGAATATAACTAAAGAATAAAATTAATCATTGCAAACCGCGTCGGGAGTAGAAGCGGGCTTCGAGGTAAGTGACAAAAAGGATGATGATTCATTTACGTTACATTGGAAAGATACGAAATCTGAAAATTAGTATCATATGAGCAGCACAGCTTGCTTGTTGAATAGTAGTAGTAGTATACAGTCTGAATCATATTGTCATTCGCGTTCAAAATGGGAGGCAACCAACCCATGTCCCGATTACATAAGCAAGAGCAAGATATTGAAGAACTTGAGTTTTTAGACCCAGTGCAATTAAAAGATCGAATGACGGTTTACATTGAGGTGGCCGATGAGCGGAGAGACGGTGAATAACGCTTTCAAAGAGTTTTTCGATTTACGGAATTCCTCTGCTATATGAATAGCAGACGCATCAATGAACTTCAATTGAAACAATAAAATTGCGTCGACATTAATGGCAGATTTAAATGTGAGTTTAATTAATAAATTTTCGCAAAAGAAATTTCTTCTTTTTTCCGGCGCTGCGATCCGCGATTCCATTCCTCGGTTCGAAATCCGTAACGCTGAATTATAATTTTTAATAATATATCTATTAAACTCGCTTTTAAATTTCGTCTTGGGTGAAGATTAGCAATCAAAATAATAAAATATTCATAAACAATAGCCAATCATCATTATAATTTCAATCCTTTCGAGTCTGCCACGAAGCACGATCCTGAGCCATCTGCATCCATAGATTTCCCGCTAGTATAAATATTATTTGTTATAATATCACACGAGTACAATTGATAATATTTCGATAAATTAAATATATACTTTTCAGACCTAATATTAACGTAAGAAATAATTTACAGTGAACTCCATACCACTGGTCGGTTTCATCAATTAACACTGCGAAAGCGCCGTGGAACGGTTTTAGCATCAACAACTTAGATCCAATTTTAGAACGGAGATCGCGTGATATTTATATGATACAAACGTTAAGACTTGCGGAAGAATGCGCCGCCGGTGATTGCGCGACAGTTTGCAAAGTGCCGCGCTGGTAAATACAAAAAAACTACGGCAGACGGTATCCATAAACAAGTCGTTGATATTAAGCTAAGTAAACGGTAAAAAATATTTTTTTGGTTACAATGTCCATTCTGTTCAGTGTGGTTGCTATTAAGAGGGAGATTATTTACAAGCACGCGTCCTGTGATGGAAATTTTGTGGATATCGTAACAGAAGTGCTGAGTAAAATACCTCTTGGTAATAATAAAATGACGTACTTTCACGGGACTTACTTGTTTAATTATGTGGTTGAGAACGAACACGTTTATCTCTGCGTCACGGAAAAAGTAAGTCTCTTTTTTATTTATATGCCCAAATTAACATGGTGCACAAAATTAATTTCGATTGTGATAAAATGTCAAATTATACGACATAAATTTTAGAGTTTTTTTATGCGTATTATAATTTTAAAGAAATAATAAGTACAAAATAAATAAGTAGTATCTTAATGTAATTTATAACAGATCATATATACATTTTTTTATTAGTAATAGATTAAAAGTACGAAACTCTTCATAAGGATTCAATTTTTGTTACCAGGCATGTCAGCGATCCCGAGCATTCCTGTTCTTAAACGAAATTAAGAGAAGTTACAAATGCCACGATACAGATGATTTTACGAATACACTAGCTATCGAAATGTCTAGATACAGTGAAAATAACAGCAATATAACCGTAGAAAATGGTGATTTAGACGAAATTAACAGAATAGAAGTGGAAAGTAGTCGTAAGTTCAGAGTTTTCTATTTTTTGAACAATATTATCAATGAAGTAACGAAGACTTGACTGCAATTTAACTATTTCAGAGAGTATACTGGGCGAGAAATTGTTATTAGTGAAAAATACGGATATCTTGGAATTTAGCGTAAGTTTTTACCATTTTAGTAAGCTTTAAAAATTCTCCGTACCGTATAAGACTACAGATTAGCCGCAACATTTGATTATTATTTTAATTTGCAGACGATCTCATACGTAAGAAAATCTCCTGAAAAAATTACAATATCTGTTGAAAGTAAGACCTATTTCATATTCGTGGGAATGGCCTTATTCCTTACAGTGATTGTGTTATACGTTTTCGGCCCTTGGACACTTGTAACTGTTATGGGGATATTATTTATTAACGATGCGAGGAAGAAAAGGAGAGAATAAATAAACTATATAAAACAAATTTTCAATGTGTACATTTAAAAACCTTTTGATTATCGTATAAACCATGTAATCGATGGCGATTGATCAAAACATGTCGGAAGATATGTGAAGATTGTTAATCCGCAGGTGGGTCTAGCTAATTCCCTCTTTCCAAAGGCTTTTTTACTTTGTATTATTATTTATAAAACTTAATTTATAAAAATGTAAAATGTTAGAAAGTGTGTTGTCTGTCTATGCGTGATAGGTAGCGTTAGTAACTAATGAATTTTTCGAAGAATTTATTTCGCTAATGAGAAGTTACGTCATCCAGTAGTGATAAAAGCTATTTTCTTCAAACAAAAGTAGGAAAGTTTCTTCAGCTACAAATTGTAGTAGTTAAAAATGTAGCTTTTCCGAACGAATACTAACATCGAACATCGTGAAAGCAAGCAAATTAATCATATTAAAGATATTTTATTTCTTGCATTAGATGTTTCTTTTTTATGATTAGTCCAGATTGTTCTAAAAGTCCATTATATTGTATAATACTTTTTGTATCATCTTTATGAGACGACAGCTCCGATACTTTTATTTGGGAAAATGCTAAACGAACTTGAATACTTGATCACGGCCGCTCATGAGTATTATATTACAGCACCTGTAGGGTCAGACGCCCTGTCAGCCCCGGTTACCACCCGGACCAAACGCAATGATTCATACTAACACCTAGTTCAGCCTTCAGTGAGGGTGTTATTTTTTCTTATAAGTACTTGACTGTTATCCCACTTTTTGTGATTTGGTAAAGGCATTAGCTCAGTAAAAGCCGATTCAATCGTGTCTTTTTTATGTAAGAAGATGACAAGACAAGCGAGCTGGTGGTTTCCCTGATGTGAGTTATAACAATCGCTGCAACTGTTTTAATGTGAAATTTTGTCAAGAGAGAAGGCGGTCCACCTGATGTTATGTGAATACCGCCACCCATGGACAACCGCAACATCCGTAGTATGAAAGGTCGGACGCAGGCAAGGCATACTCACGTAGAACAGCTGTTTGTTGTGCGTGGTGTTCTGCAGCGTGTGGAACAGTTTGTGTGCGCCACGTGCGGCTGTGTGCGCGCCCACGAGCGACGACAGCGCCCCCACCACGCTCTCCGTCAGCTGCTGAAGCGCCAACGTGCGCGTGTGCTCTACGCACGCAGAACGCACACCAACTTACATACACACACAACACACGTACCGGCGTCCCCGTGTGCTCTATGCACGCAGGACGCACACCAACTTACATACACACACAACACACGTACCAGCGTCCCCGTGTGCTCTACGCACGCAGGACGCACACCAACTTACATACACACACAACACACGTACCAGCGTCCCCGTGTGCTCTACGCACGCAGAACGCACACCAACTTACATACACACACACAAATACACACACGTGCCGACGTCATGGCTCAACGGTTTGAGCGGCCCGTCCACCCACGCGGGCTTAAATGCGATACACACTGATACTCCAAGTCGGGATGCAGTGTGTGTCGGAAAGTTATATTTTTTAGTCCGGGGCTGATTATTTTAACTTTTTTTTTAATTCTCTCAAGGCACTGGCTAGAAAACGCCATGATGAGATTCTTCATCGGACGTTATATTCAATCGACGTTAAAATTATACTGTTTAAAGCAACTTTTGTTTTGATGTAACAAAATCTATATTTTTTCAATTAACTGCCTTAAATAAATACTAATGTTATGCAAAAGGAACATGCATAATATCCTAAAAGACATATAAGATAAAACTTATAAAATCGGTCAATATTTTCCATTACTAACATCTTTTTCCTGACCTTATCTCACCCAAGTGGGGTCGACACAACATGTGAATCATGTTGTTAATGGTATTAGCTATTATTTTGACGACTGTCCGCCTGCATGACGTCAACCCTCCTTGGGAAGAAAAAAATCAAAATCAAAAATATATTTATTCAAATAGACGCTTCCGCGCTCTTATGAATCGTCAAATTTTACATCAAAAATTATGTATATAGGTTCTTAGGGTACCACCGGTTCGGAATCAAACAGAAACACCCAGATCCAACACAAATACTTGTACGGATCGTACCTACCCTCAGCGCGGATTATAATGACTTAGCAACTGCACCACAGAGTCTATTAACATAAACGTAATATTATTTACAAGAATGCAAAAAAGTTTAGAATGTTGTTACATCATTAGATTTACGCCAATTTATTTTCATTAATTTACTACTAATTACCAAGTTTTGTTTCAAACATTTTACCAACCTTTATCTCGTAAATTTCTGTTGGAACTGTTTTCGCTCAGAACGCCTCCGGGCCACCAAGATTTGATCACAATACTAATGTAATAATGAAGCATATGCTCTGAGAATAGCCACGATATTGTCTCCTTGATTTGCCTGCAAAACAATTATAATATGTTATTTGTTACTTAATTAGTTTTATTTTCGACTAGCTGATGCCTGCGACTACGTCTGCGTAGAATAGGCTGAAGGCGTAACATTCAGACAGAAAGACAGATATACATAAAAATATGTATATAAATTATAGGCTATGATTTATTCTGATGTATATTATTTTAAAAATTTCATTAAAATCCATTCAGTAGTATTTGCGTGAAAGAGTAACAAACATCCATCCATACATACAAACTTTCGCCTTTATAATATTAGTAAGGATGAGCAAGTGTAATGGTAGTTCTGTCTGTTCTGTCTCTTTCACAGCCACGGATATATGTAGACTGAATAGATTTACGAGAAAGGTAGAGAGCAGCACCAGGTATACTATACTCGTAGCCCTGTAGTCTCGGGCTCGTAGAATAGAGCTAACGTATCCCCTGCCTGTCGTAGAAGGCGCCTAAAAGGGGACACGGATTGGCAGCAGCACGAAGTGGTCTCGTGCCGCTGGAAGACGGCGGGGGGATCGGGGAAGGGTTACTCCTCTCCGAGGCGGGCAGTACTGAGGGACACCGGGGTGTTCCGTAGGAGATCCCGGAGTCCCTCCAAAGGTACAGAAGGTGGCCACCGAGGGGGGGTTTTAGTGGGTACGAACCCCACATAAGATACCCTGTCATGATATGACAGGGTATCTTTTGAAGATTTCCCCCCCCCCCCCCCGATACCAAAAAAGGTATACTATACTCGTATGTCAATACTTCTCGTACATAAATTTATTTAAAGTAATAATTAGCCAGTTAACGGATGACACTATCAAAATAAAAATTGTGTTATTTCGATCGCTACGAAAATTTAATCAAATTCAACCGTTTTGGTGTCCACACAGGATATACAAACACACATCGATTTTAACATATAGATTGGATTTACACATAAACACTGCTTTTAAAACCCACACACAGTCACATACATTCTACATTCCATATAAACAAAATGATAGTGATCTGGCGTTGTGCGCGCATGAAGAAAAGCTACAAAATATAATCCGATATTTCAATTAAGTCTTCGAAGTTTTATTTTTTAGGCACTGCATTAATCTTTAAAATAATCATTTAATGTAAAGTTATTATACATAACGGATCACATTATAAAAAACACTACTTATCAGAATCTAACTTCACGCGATGCTAATTAAAGATGTGGTTGCAGATGCTTTGCCAACATTTAAAAAATGGGCGCCACTTATCCCTCTCACCAGACAGGGTCTTCTGTGAGGTTGTGGTACTTCCACAGTGAAAATAAAAATAAAAAAAGCATTTCTATAGTCACCTGTTTATGTTATCACTCACCAAAAACCGACCGGGATACTTCCACAGACAGAATAAAAAAAATAAGCAATTCGATCGTCACCTGTTCATGGCGGTCCCCAAAAAGGGTCTTCTTACGATGATATTTCCACGGAGGAAATTAAAAAAAAAGCGTTTCGATCATCACCTGTTTATGGTCCTGCCGTAGGTGATTTGCACGAACGTGACCAATGTCTTCCGAAGCCACCTGAACACGCCCCGCATGTCGAAGACCTCGCTTAGCAGGGCGTACAACGGCTCCGCTATGCTGTCCCTCTCTTCGGACATGGGGCCCGTACCTACGGAAGCGATCTGGTGTTAGGTACCGAAATTCCTCATGACAAACCGGTCTCAGTGCTATCAAGTTAAGAGTTTTAAATTTAGCTTAAGTTGTACACGTGTCTCGAGCAGTCATTTTTTTACGGACGTAAATTTCTGGAAACAAATTCAAGCCACTTTTTAATTGATATTCAAAATCTGAATTATTGGGCGTCTTTGTTCAATGTTACCTGTTCATAATAATAAAATATATTAACATGCTGTATATTATAGCTGTATAGTAAAGCTACCTCGATCATAGATCTTAAAAATAATGACGTCCCGAAATCTAGTTAAAATTAGGTATGTTTAAAAGTAGACTAAATGTTTTTCTCCTCTTTACAGAGGTCATTCGACAGACACTCATTTACAGGTGTATATTAAGTTATAATCTAAACACCGGCATGTCGATTATCTGGGCCTGGCAAGAGCATACCAGTTTTCTAGAACAAATACCTATAGGCAGTCTTAATTCTTTTTATTGTTGGTTGGTTATAAAAAACATTGCACACTTTGGAATAACATTATCGTGTGTTGTAAAACACAAACAAAGAAAACACCCAGATGCGAAACAGTTATCTGTGGGTCTCTCAAGTAGTTGTCCGGTGGGAATCGAACCAACAACCCCCGACCTCGAAGCGAATACCTTGGCAATTGCGCCATGGAGTTCGCAATGATTTTCTGCGCATAAAATCTTTTTAAAACATTTTCTCGACGTATGCCTTGATGCTCACCGCCAATAATGCTGAGTATCTGATAATAAAGAAGACTAAGATTGATAATTTATTTTTCTAAATCAAATTATTAATTATTTCATTACGATAAAATTTTAATTTTTACATCGCGATGTGTCCAGCGTCCTCGATCACTTGTAAATTCAATTTTCAAATGCCACCAACATGCACTTCGAAAAACTTCTAGCGACAAATCCTGAAGACAGTTTTACAATTCTTTTGACGGTAAATAGTCGGTCTTAACCAACCATCAGCTATATTCCAAATACCTCAACATTTATTTTAAAAAACCTTAAACTCTGATGTTTAGGAATTACATATAAGAGAAAGTTCTGTGATGGAAAAATTCTTTGAAAAAGGTACATTACGACATAAAAAATTAATTAAAGTGCCAATCAACTCGTTCGAGAACATGTAAATAGTTCTTTGATAATTGAACGCCGTTTGATTATTCTCATTACAGCAGCGTTGCCAAAGAAAATTACATCGTCTATAAATAAATGCATGTAACCGCCGAAGGATACATTCATTCGCAAGTTTCGTGGGTGTCTGATATTAATAATAGTTACGTTTAGTATTTACGCACGTAAACCGCAGAGATAAATGTAAAACCATAGATTAATTTAAATATTACACTATATTTAAACTTTCAAGCGATAATGAAGAAGCAGGTGACTTATGCGTAATAGAAAAATAGATTTAGTCTAGGTAGTTAGTAGGTCTTTAAGATTCTAGTCGTTTTTGAAAATTTTATGTTAACCTTAAAAAACACCGGAAAATATACTCATACGCTTTTTATACGTCAATTGGCTTTGTGCCACACCTAATGCCCATTAAGATGTCAATGAAGCCTCAATAAAATCAAATTGTGAACATTAATTAACAAAGATATTTAAAAACTTCGTTTCATTGGGTCCAAATCGTAACATTGCCAAAAAATTTAGCCTCAATCTAAATAGTCAGTGTTCATACACAATTTGCACATAAGAATAACTTGATTGTCCTAGAAATAGAAACTTTATCAATAACTAATGGAAATTACTAAAATTTTTTGCTCGACTAGTTTTTTTTAATAATACCGTGATCATAAATCATACAAAATATATAATAATTTGACTTGTAAATATTCTTATGTGATTTTACGCCCTTAGGAACTTTGCCCCGTTCAAAAACTATAATAACCATATTCAAAAACTATAATAACAAAAATATATAAATATAATTTCGTCACTAAGCCCCGTTACGCCTTGTTATAATTCGCAATTGATACGCTCTAGTGGGCGTATAGTGTTTCTTTTCCGATCTTGATACGTTCATATCACGGCCATGGTATAGTAGGCAGACTCTATTAACGGCGTCTAAATTCATACGCCCCGATTCACTTAAAACCCCTGTTGAAAGATGGCAGCACTGGCGGGTAGCCGAGTGTTGCCAGTTACAAAAAAATTATTACCTCGCATCGAGCTCGTCATGTTCTTGTTGGACTCCGCTCCGTTCCCGTCCAGGTACAGCGACATTTCCTCGTCGTCGGCCGAAGTGTGCGCGAACGTCTCCTTATCCTGCGAGGACCTGTTAGTAGCGTCGCTACTTGTGCTAAAATAAACGTAAATCAATACATACTGCATGCATTTTTATTTTTATTTTTAGCCCTAAACTGCACTCAATATGAAGTTGGAACAAGATCTTTTTTTCCCCAAATTTAGATATAATTATTAAATAGTGAATAATTTCTTGTTTTTGCTAAATCAAACTGATTTGGTTATTTATTCGGGATCGTGATTTTTATTTTTCCCTAAGTTTCGACACTTCAAAGTACAACATGTTTACTGATTTTTTTTTGCTTTCCTAAACATTTTTTATGCAAACAATACTAATACCTTAAAAAACCGAGTCAATAAGCTGTACTACCACAATAATAACACACTGTCTTTAATTTAATGAAATAACATTAATTAGCAAGATGGCGACGAAATGCGGCGGCGAAAAGATGGCGGCGTTATGCGAAACTTTGACTTGGTAAAAGGAAAAACTGCGAGCCACACACTGTATGTATTATCAAGAGAGAATGTTAGTTTTTGAGTCTGTATATGAAGATATTTCCGGAACCACTTACATCTATTCAACAAATTCTTTCTCCATTTTGACTTAAATTTAGTCTTGCGTAAACTTAGTATCAATTTTATTACAGTTGACATTTATTTTAATTCACTCCAACTTTTAGACTTAAGTAAGACAATTCCCTTTTCATAGACAATAGTATTGAATTTCATCGTTTACTGAAAATTTTGTATATCAGTATTCAATCATTAACTTTGTCCTTCAATGACTTTTAAAAACGCAGTATAAGGATTTTTATTACATATTAATAAACTTTTTTAAATAACGACTCTGCAGTAGGCGTACGGTTTATGTACTGAGGTTTCTTACTGAATATTGATTACACACAAGCGTATTTTGATTAGAATTCTCCATACTCTTTCTGCCTCCTTGTAAGTATGTAAAATTGCATAATGTTTTGTGCTTCTTTTAAAAATAGTGGAAAAGTTTTTTTAATTAATTAAAGAATTGGAGTGACGACCGCAATGTGCGCAAATGTGCGGGTAGTCGATGGATGCAGGTGGCTCAGGATTGTACTTCGTGGCAGTCTATGGGGGAGGCCTATGTCCAGAAGTGGACGCAAACAGGCTAAAATGATGATGGTTATGAAAAAATTTTTACGCTGAGATGATAATTTTAATTTGCAAATGATAATTTTAATTACTTTAACACATACCTTTTGAACAAAGTAGAGAATGAAAATTTATTCTTCTTAGGCAGATCTCCTTGCTTCAGATACTCGGAACTTGGGTTAAGGAATGTATAAAGAGCCTCGCATTGATTCAAACGGTCATCCTCCAAGACAAACTACGACATATTTGAAAATAAATAAATTGAATACCAAAAAAACATCTACGATATACGTTTACAGTAAACAATTACTTCTAGATACTTCTGTATCAAAGTCTTCGCTTTTTCCAGGGAGTTCCTATCGTTCTTTCCGAACAGAAACTTGAATGAGTTCGACGGCAGCTCCAAGTTCTTGAGCTCCGAGCACATCGGCCTTAATTTTCGGTGCAGCTCCTACAAAGACATATTAACTTCATAAAAAAGTCAAGTTATATATACGAAAGTATTAAGACCGGCGGTAAGCAAAAAAATGAAATAGGAGAATGAGAGGGATAGAGAGAGATTGTGTGTATGTTAGAAACAAAATGAATTACAAGAATAAACAGACAAAGAGTGAGTGCGGTTGAAACGAGGAAGAGAGATGGAGAAATAATATGTTAGTTTTATAATAAAATACAATAATAATCCGAAATTTGACGAAAGCCAAGCATCTTTAGAGGTACAATTGGAACTTTGACTTACAGGAGAAAGGGAGGGAGAAAAAGAGGGGGAGAGAAAGAGGGGGGGGGGGGGGGGAGAGAGAGAGAGAGAGAGAGAAATCCCTCTTCTAGTTTTTTGCTTCAACTTTGAGAAATGTTTAAATAGTTACCTGAAACTCATTCAGCGTCCTGAGGAGCACCCAGCCGGTTGATATTTGCTCCGGCCTCTCTTCATCAGCGGTGGGTTCCTGCTCCGCCATATGCACCACTATCACGAACTGAGGCGGCTTTGATTCGTCTATAACCTGCAATATCAAAAATGATAAATACTTAAAACTTAAAAGATGAATTGAGCAATATTATTTTACTTGAATAAGTAAAACAACAATATACAGCAATCATTCTCTTTTTTAGACGAATACGTGGCAAGAATATAGGCGGTATACCTCGTTATCAATGATTACCTTCGTCAGTCATCTCAATACCAGTAGAATTTGGCAAAAATTTAGAACAGGCCTCGGCTAACTCGCTCATTAGAAAAAACGCAAAACTGCTTGCAATTCACGCCGGTCTACTGCGCGACCGTACCGCAGTAAAATGTCATTCATGCATCAATTGACATCCGTTGGAACCAGGGCGGAAGGACAGAAAACTTGGTAAACGAATACAAAAATAATTATGGGGGTGTATGCCACTGAAGAAAGCCAAGTGACTCTCACTTTAGACTTTTGATAAATTGCTGAATGGTATTAATGACGGCACGTGTAGTGGTCGAGCATATCGGGTACTGCGCAAAGTCTATCGGCGTTGTGCAAAGAGGCGCGCAACCTATCATTTTTTACGTGATAAGTATAAATAAATAAAATGTAATATAAAAAACCTCGGCACTATACAAAGATGCACAACCTGCCTGTTATTCCATAAAAAATATAAGTAAAAAAACGCTGTGCACGGAAGCGCGCCCCTGCCCTTATTTCCATTAAAAATAAAAATAATTTAAAAAAACGCAAAAAGAACCTCGGCGCTGTGCATAGAGGCGCGCCCCCGCCCTTATTTCCATTAAAAATAAAAATAATTTAAAAAAAACGCAAAAAGAACCTCGGCGCTGTGCATAGAGGCGCGCCCCCGCCCTTATTTCCATTAAAAATAAAAATAATTTAAAAAAAACGCAAAAAGAACCTCGGCGCTGTGCACGGAGGCGCGCCCCCGCCCTTATTTCCATTAAAAATAAAAATAATTAAAAAAAACGCAAAAACAACCTCGGCGCTGTGCACGGAGGCGCGCCCCCCGCCCTTATTTCCATCAAAAATAAAAATAATAAAAAAAAACGCAAAAACAACCTCGGCGCTGTGCACGGAGGCGCGCCCCCCGCCCTTATTTTCCATTAAAAATAAAAATAATTAAAAAAAACGCAAAAACAACCTCGGCGCTGTGCACGGAGGCGCGCCCCCCGCCCTTATTTCCATCAAAAATAAAAATAATTAAAAAAAACGCAAAAACAACCTCGGCGCTGTGCACGGAGGCGCGCCCCCCGCCCTTATTTCCATTAAAAATAAAAATAATAAAAAAAACGCAAAAACAACCTCGGCGCTGTGCACGGAGGCGCGCCCCCCGCCCTTATTTCCATTAAAAATAAAAATAATTAAAAAAAACGCAAAAACAACCTCGGCGCTGAGCACGGAGGCGCGCCCCCCGCCCTTATTTCCATCAAAAATAAAAATAATTAAAAAAAACGCAAAAACAACCTCGGCGCTGTGCACGGAGGCGCGCCCCCCGCCCTTATTTCCATTAAAAATAAAAATAATTAAAAAAAAACGCAAAAACAACCTCGGCGCTGTGCACGGAGGCGCGCCCCCCGCCCTTATTTCCATTAAAAATAAAAATAATTAAAAAAAAAACGCAAAAACAACCTCGGCGCTGTGCACGGAGGCGCGCCCCCCGCCCTTATTTCCATTAAAAATAAAAATAATTAAAAAGAACGCAAAAACAACCTCGGCGCTGTGCACGGAGGCGCGCCCCCCGCCCTTATTTCCATTAAAAATAAAAATAATTAAAAAAAAAACGCAAAAACAACCTCGGCGCTGTGCACGGAGGCGCGCCACCTGCCCAGGTGCTCCGCCCAGGTGTCGGTGCGCGCCAGGTGGGCCTCGAGGCGCATCTGCTCGCCCGCCAGCCGCTCCACCTCGTTGGCCAGCATCGCCAGCGCGGGCGACTCCGGCTTTAGCGACGCGCGCAGCGCTGCCAGCGCCTGCCACACCGCAATACGCGAGAATGGCAAATAGATTTATATCTTTTATGCCCGGTATAATACTTTTCCAGTGGTGGGGATCGAACCCACGCCCTCTGGCGCTAGAGGCAGGGACACTACCCACAACGCCAATCGGGTCGTCCAACGCCCCTTTCCTATTTTCAACGAACGGCCGTTAGTTACATAGCTTCGTAGCTTTCATAACGACTTGTAGACTAAAGGAGCGCTAGTAACTCACTTTCCGTACATAATGCAACGGCTCGTTTACCTCGTACGCCTCGTTTTATTAATATGGGAACCGTGCGTACACGCCTTTTATATATAATTCGATATGAAAGTTACGAAGCTATGTAACTAACGGCCGTTCGTTGAATATAGGAACCGGGCATTACACAACCCGATTGGCGTTGTGGGTAGTGAACCTGCCTCTTGCGCCAGATGGGTGTTCGTGGCTCGATCCCCACTACTGGAAAAATATTGTGTTATGTTTTCCCAGTGTCTTAGTGTTTGTATATTTATAATATGTATTTATTTACAAGAGAAAAGTATGTTTAAGTATGTTTATCAGTTATCTAGTACAAGTGTAGCTTAGTTTGGGACTAGAAAACTGAAAGTGGAAAAATTCCTGAAAGAATATTCATTTAACAAAAGTAAGCGATGTTTTACTGTTTCTGTTACAGCTATATTAGGAATTAAAATTTTCGAACGATATATTTAGATGCATTCTCTGCAAAGTATTTAAAGTTGAAACAGGAAAAGTAAAAACTGTTTTAGAAATTAATGAAAACGTTAAACGACACGATATGAGTGCGCACATCTGCACTACTACCATTTTGACTACAGCTAATATACAGTAAACCTGAGGTAGAAAACAGTTGACCACCCCTGACATGGCGTAGGGCTCTTAATACCTGCGTCTTGTTATTGTGCCTCTCCTGCAGCTGGTCGAGTTTCCTTCTCGCGTAGGTTGAGTGCTCGGTGAGATGGATGGTGCCGCCAGCGCTTTCCGCTGACGACGCGGACTCGTTGGAGAGTTGCCGATCCTCGACGGGCGATCTCTCCGTGCTTATATCTGTGATACGAAAACAAAAACGTATGTGTGTACTTTTGTACGCACGTAAGAAGTTAGAACAAAACAAATATAGCTAAAACTATATATATTACGTATGAGTTTTCGACTACAAAACGTTGGCTATTGCAAGATAACACTATCCAGTATTTGAAAGTATAAATAGAGATATAAAATAAATTATTCAACGCACCAAAAAAATCTCGACCGCATTAAAAATACTACATTATTATTATTTTTTCACGGCCATACGTCACTCGGCACAACTGAGACAAATCTAATGACATAAATGTTGAATTCCGTCAAAGGTTCAGGCTCACTCACACAAGGCCAATTTGGCCAATTTGGCCACGCAACAGTCTTCGCCTTTGCTCGAATGGGAAGGTCCGTCCGGGTAAGCACCACGAAGTCACAGAAGACCGGCGTGAAATGGAAGAGTTATACTTCTGAGTGAGGTAACCGGGGCCCACTTTATTATAAGGTGACAACACATCTGTAACCCTGGGTTTTGAAAATGTCAATGGACGACTGTTATCACTTTACATCAGGTGAACCGCCAGCTCGCTTGTCACCTTGTCACATAAAAAAAAATGTTTAATTATATTCAAATAATTCCCCAATGTTCCATATATTTTTTTGAAACAAGAACACTAGTGCTTAGGTATGGGTAAATTAAAGTTGAACAGAATCTAAATTTGAATGGCTGACCTTTATTAGCTTCTTCCTTGGCGAGTTCAGCAATTAAAGCTTTGTACTGGTCGCTTAACAGAAAAGAGGAGTAATACTTTTCTTGGATAGTATCCACTACAGTATCCTGAACTTCATAAAATACTTCGGGGCCCTTATCTCCTAATAGGAATGCCTCCATTCTCTTCCTAGTATCCTGAAAATTCAAGGGCATCACATTTTCCTCTGTATTTTAAATAATCAACTGATGTACAATTCATGTAGTAAATTCATAACAAACAAATCTATATGACGTCCAATTTTCCAATAGTTCAATTTACTGCGATATACTTTGAATAATGCGCATTTTGCAATAATGTTTTTTTTTATATTACCATAAAAATTATGGATTGATTTTGCCAGATATTTCATTTTTTCTTTCTATCTATATATTAACATTGAGGCTTGTAACTTAAATACTTTCATATTATAGAAATCTTATAATCAATGCTATTTAAGGAAAGTGTAAACGTGTATAATTGCTAATTCTCAGAATCGTTTCATTGAATTTCATTTATAATATTACTTATAGGATATTACGTTAATCAAATAGAAAACAGAAATGAAATACCTTATCTACTTTTATTTCTGCGCTGGGCGACCTAATGTATGTGTAAAAAATCTCAGCTCCCAACTGGTGCCAACTGCTTCTTGGGCTATGCCTCAACTCTTCAACCGCCATCCAAAAGCCCACAAGTCCTTGAGAACACATGGTCTCCAAGAACATAGAGAGATACCTGCGCCCAGTTACGCTCTCCATAACTTTGTGCAATGGTAAAGTCTGAAAAATAAGTCGTTGGAGTATATTTTATGAAACACACTTAAATCTATGAGAGCTCTTTGTGAATATAAAAAGTTACTATCATTTTTCCCCAGTTTTCTTTCGAAGGTATAACTACTGAGCAAGTTTATGACATTTTGAATGCTTTGCAGCATTTATGTTCACTAGACATTATGACTATGCCGAAATGAAATAAAAGCGACAAATCCATGAATACTTTTATTGGATAATGTTAATGAGAAATTATTAACTGAGATAGTATGTAGCCTGAAGATACATAAGTAAAAGATGCGTAGACATTCAAAATACCCGAAACATGAAGTGTCAGCCTTAGTACCTCACTAAGCAGACGAAATTCAAAAATATAAATACTTGACGCCTATCTTTTTTGAGGGCATGATAGTTTCATGTGTAGAGTTGGCCTATTTTTGTGTCAATGGCTGTAATGTCGGCTGATGTTGCTCTAATAGATTACATTGCCTGCTTCTATGATACAGATTTCGTGACAGTTTCTAAGGCGGATTTAACATTTGAACATATCTCTAAACTAAAGGACAATATAATAAACTAACATAGCAAAAGTAGAAAATTAGGTATACTGTGTATAACAAAAATATTTTATCAAGTAATTTTGAGTAATTTCCAGTAATTTTTCGTTAATGCTTTACAATTTAAATTAAATTAGTACCTTGCTATCGGATTCCAAAGCAGGAAAAGCTCCATCCCAGCCAAGTTTCTTTAAAGCATTCTCACACTCAATCTTTGCAATTGTTAATTGATTGATGTATCTTTTGAGTTTTTTAGCATCAGTCAGTTGCTGCCGACTAATATTGTGTTGGTTGCTGCTTTTCTCTATGACATCAATATCTATACCCTTTGCCCTTTTCATATTTTGAAGTGTTGTTGCTTGCATAATTTGTGTAACTATATCGTAACTGAAACATTGAAAGATATTATTATAAACTTAACACATTATTTAGTAATTAGTGTTACAGAAAATAGGTTTTAAACATATAAATTCACAAAAAAGTCTACTACTGTCAGATAATTTTTTTAATAATTTCATACATAAAAAAAGTTATCAATTTTTACATAAAAGTGAAGGACAAGGATTAAGAGAGAAGCAAGTAATGCAATAGCTTGGGGTGACAAAATTTGTTTAACGATTTGATGAGTGTGGTCTAACACAAACACAAACATTCACATAAATCTGTAAGCTCTTTTAATGTTTATAACATAATGGTTTATTTTGTTTATCTCAGTAAAACTGTGCACATAAATAAGCAAGCCAGGTCAGCAATGTGCAAAATATTAATATGTGAAGTGAAAACTTTGTCCCCATTTTTACGAAAATTGTGCAGACGAAAGAGTATGAAATTTCCCATACTTATAGTTTGTATAGAGAAGGAGTGCAGAATGCTAATATTTTTTTTAATTATGCATAAAAATACATTAAATCAATAAAAAAACATTACACACACTAAAATGTATAATTAATTAATTGGTTGAATTTCGACCACTGGTCGAGTGAAAGTAGTACATTCATGTTTACTCACCGTAGCCGCTTAAGTGTGTCAATATTATTGCAGCTATTTATGAGCCTGATGTAATCTTCAAAAGTCTTTGCATACTCATGTGTTCTTACATGCATGGCATCCACTTCTTTCTGTGCTTCCAAATATTGAATTATCTTTTGATTAATGTAATCAGGTTCTGTGATAAGGTTGATAGCAGGCTGCAAAACTGTTAAAAAAATCTTTAAAACACCAATTATGACTAATATTTAAATCAAATTATGTAGTTAGAAAATACATCTTACTTTTAAATAATACAATAAGTAACATATCGATTTCTTTAGGAAATTGCTATGATATTTCAAGTACATATGAATAATCTAAATCATACCTCTAAAAAAATGAAAACTTAAGTTATAGATTTAAGATGATCTAAACCATAAACAATATGAAGTAATTAACTTTACATACATACTTTTACAAGCTAAAATCTCTCTCAATAGATGGGAAACTGGTGTTAGGGAGTAGCAGCGAGGCATTAGAAACATTATAAGCAATTCACTAATCTGCCGTAGATAATGCAGTTCTGTTTCAGATGACATCAAATGCGGTGCAAGGGCAAATACGGGGGGTTGGTTTAGTTCTAAACTGAAACAAAGACATCAAAACATATCATTAAAGTTTAATGAGTTCTTTCTTTTCTTTTATCATGTACTTAGGCTACATGAGCCTTCACTTAAATTTAATATCCAAACATATTTAGTAACAAGATTTTTATTTTCTAATACTCTAATAAATTTCATAGATTTAAGTAAATCTATAGGTTTTGTTTGTGAACATTAATTTTATTTACAGTAATAATATCTTTAGAGTCAAACTTATACAGTCTACAGCCTACCAAATCCATGGCCTTTCAGGTCCTGCATTCCTGAGTAATTATTGATACTAATATTTATTTCAGTTTCATTGATGTAACTAACCATCATATTAAGCCCTTTCAAACTAATTTAGAGGAGAACATTCTGTTTGAAAGTTGATTTATCTAGTAATATTTAATTAGCATAAGGATGTTATAGACCACTAGTTTTCTTTTATTATTATTAAAGAAACACCATTGGATTGTGATGATTTTACAATGGAACATAAGCCATACTTACGCACAACTCCTAGCAATTCTTATTCTTTCAAAATGTTGTGTTATTTTGGTCACTATATCATTTGCTAACAACTTCTCTGCATCCACCCTTAATAATCTTTCATACAGTGTATGCACAGCACCCCAGATATGTTCCTTGAATTTATCAATTATTGGTTCAGGTTTATGTGCCAATTCTTTCAACCAGCGTGCCACAAAATCTCTAATGAAATAGTCTATCAAGAGCTGCAACTGACTATCCACAGTACGACCGAAAATCACAGCTAAATGAGTCTTCCTTGTTGAGTTTACCCAGGAACATTGATCTTCCTATATAAAAGTATTTTAATAAAATTAATTTATACAGGAACACATATATAATGATGTCAATGGCAAACATACCTTTATTGTTTCTTCTAATAATCGAGATTCTTTTTCAGTTTTTTCAACCACAAACAAAGATGCCTGATGAGGAGACGAGAGTGCAATATGGCCCCAAAAAGTTAACATAAAAACTACAATTAGAACAAAAGCACTAAGTAAAACCAAGTAAGTAAGGCTTCCAACAATGGGGAAATACCACAATATCGATATAGAAATAGGTAATGTGCCGTATAGAATCCATTTTAACATGATTAAAAATATCAGATCACATATGTTAATACAACAAGTAATATCTATATAACGTTAAGTAAATAAAATATTTTAAACAATATCACTACATTTTATGTTTATTTTATATAAGTGCAATACACCAAATAACAACATTTTATTTATGTTTTTAAATGGGCCGACAATCTAAATCTATCTACTCAAATAAAGTATTGATATTGATATTGATATTTTTACAGAATTCTGACTTTGACAGGAAAAGAACAGGTTATAAAAAAAAGGGAAAATAAAAAAACCACAGAGTACTTTTATATACCTGATAATATCATTCAAAAGGGTACAGATGTTCCTAATTTAAACCACCGTATTACACGGTAATTTTTTAAATTAAGAAAATTTCGTAATTTCATTGATGAAAAGCTTCATAAATGCCATGGGTAGGATAGCAGTCATGGCTTATTATATTAAAAAAAAAAACTAAAATTAGTGCTAAAAATATTTTACAAGGCATATGGTTTGATATTAGATATTTGATGAAAGATATGGAAACCTTAGCGATTTAGAAAATCAGCTTGGACTGTGTAATATGTCGTTGAAAAACACTTTCTACATTCACATTTAGCTTTTTTTCCTAAATAATTGAGCACCGTCATCGTCACCGTCGATGAACACGGTAAAACATTCGAGCAACAAATTTTCGCTATAGAACAAAGACAGCAGGACAAGTAAAGTCAAAGTATGTTGGCGTATTATTTATCTTGGGCATTACAACGAGGTTCCTAAAATAAAGCAAAATAAAGAAGACAATGATATAGTTACATTGGCCTTAAATTTTAATATACTCAAATATCTGCAATTTGTTGATAAAAACTGAAATTTTCAAAAATTTTATTAAATTAAATTACAAAAAACTGTTCAACACAAATTACAAAAAAGTGTTGTATTGAAACTTTTTAGTGTTATTTGAAACATTCATAGCAATCTATTGAACATTTATATTATTCAAGACTAAATATTTCACGTTACGTACAAAAGAAAATAACTTGTTGCCAGTGTAATTAACCGAGTTTTTTTGCAATGGCTTCGGCTTAGCTCCCTTTTAGCCCCATCCAATCATAAAATTTCATTGCTATTGACCGCAACAAAGAGTACTTTTGATTGGCCCTTGGACTCCGGAGATACTTACGCCCGGTTTCTGAAACACTGGTCATCGGAGATGTTAACTAGAGAACATAGATAAGACATATATACTGAAATATATATAGCTATAGAACGACTCTATGAAGCTATTTTTATAATCAAAACGCGCTAGTTGATGATATACGGAATTTGTTTACACTATGTCGCGTAGGTACCATGGTTCCCTAGTTGCGGTTTACATAATTTTATTTTCTTGGTACTATAGTACCTGATGGCTTTCTGGGTGCTATTCAGCTTTCATTCAAAAAGTTTAAAGAACTTCAAACTCTTTGAATTGATCATTCGGAATCTTCAAACTCTTTGATCAATTCAAAGAGATATTTGAAGCTTTGAAGTCTCTTTTTTTTGTTACTAAAAATGTTTTACTTGTTTAAATAGTAATTGATTTTTTTTCTATGATTCTGGCATTTTGTTATCCTTTATATTTTATTACTTTTTTTATTCAAAAACCATAAGTTAATGTTATTACCATAGATAAAACATAATTATATTCTGGAACTTCGCTTATCATTTATCAATATCAGATCAGCTTTCAGTATATATGTCTTATCTATGGATCAGCTAAATTTTGTAAGTCAATGTCACTGCCCACCGGCATAAGCAATCATTATAAATTTTTATAAAATTTCAGCATGGATAACTTAAAAGTCTCATATTTAGTGGTTGGTGGTGGAATAGCCGGAGTTACTTGTGTTGAAACACTTGCAATTCTTCATCCTGAAGAAACGCTTGCAATTATTACTGCTTCATCGCTAGTGAAAAATGTTAGCAATGTTAGTTTTTTCGCCAAAACTATTGTAAAATTTGATGTTTGTGAAACCGAAGCAAATTCGTTATTAAAAATCCACCCAAATCTTAATATTATTTACGATTCTTTAAAATACTTGGATACAAAAAGAAAACTTGCTATAACTGATGCTGATGTTAGTATAGAATATAAGGTAATTTGTATTTGTACTGGCGGAATACCCCGGCTAATTTCCGATGCCAACAAGTGTGATAGAATTCTGGGTATTAGGGATACAGAATCCGTAACAGAATTTCAAAAGAGACTGAAAACGGGAAAGAAAATGTTAATAGTAGGAAATGGTGGAATAGCTTCAGAAATCGTTCATGCTACTAAAGGAATTCAAAAAGTATGGGTCATTAGAGATGATTATATTTCAGCCACATTTATTGATCCTGGTGCTGCTGAATTTTTCCAAAACACAATGAAAAATAAATCTTCTGACGAAGACAAAATTCACCAGTCAATCTTAAGAAGGCATATTTTTACAGAAGAAGACACATTAGTGTCAATAAACAAAAATTTAAGATCAGCAGCTCTTGGACCTGATTGGTACCGTAAACTTGAGAGTATTAAAAATGAGAAAGGGGAACAAGAGCTAGAAATAATTTACAAAGTAGAAATTGAATCATTCGAAGAAGTTAACGGTGAAGGATACTCTTTAGAGGTGAAGCTTACAAATGGCAGAAAAATATACTGTGATTTTGTTATATCAGCCACAGGGGTTGAACCTGCAGTTAACTTTTTATGGGATCAGGAACCACAGAGAGGAGTTGATGGTGGATTGGCTGTCAATGAGTATCAGGAAACTACGGTTTCTGATGTTTTTGCTGCTGGTGATGTTGCATTTGCTGCCTGGCAGCATGCTCCACACTGGTTTCAGTTAAGGCTGTGGACTCAAGCCAGACAAATGGCAGGCATGGCAGCCAAAGCTATGCATGCTAGGCTTACAAATCAAGAAGTTCTTCAAGATTTTTGTTTTGAGCTTTTTACTCATTGTACCACCCTTTTTGGGTACAGAGTAGTGTTATTAGGGAAATATAATGGACAAGGCTTAGGTAGTGATTATGAAATACTTCTTCGTGCGACGCCTAACCTTGAATATATAAAATTTGTTCTTCAGAATGGCAGGTTACAAGGTGCTATATTAATAGGTGAAACAGATTTAGAGGAAATGTGTGAAAATCTAATTTTAGATCAAATAGATTTAACACCTTTTGGTGATGATATCTTGAATCCTGATATTGATATTGATGACTATTTTGATTAAAATAATGTTTTATTTAGTTAAGGCAAATGTGATATACAATTTATGATAAAGACATTTTGTAATTTATTTATTTATAATTAAATTAATCCAAAAATATAAATTTTATCCTTGAACCTGTAAATATTCACACAAATAAGCCATTGGTTCGAGAAGTTGTGATCTCAGACTTAGCATCATCATCATCATCATCAGCCGCAAGACGTCCACTGTTGAACATAGGCCTCCCCCTTAGAACGCCACAACGAACGATACTGCCATTTGCATCCACCGGTTGCCCGCGACTCTTATGATGTCGTCGATCCACCTAGAGGGAGGCCTTCCAACTAACGATACGTCTTCCGGTTCGTGGTCGCCACTCGAGAACCTTTACTCCCCATCGGTCATCAATTCTTCGAGCGATGTAGCCTGCCCACAGCCACTTCAACTTGCAGATCCGGAGAGCTATGTCGGTGACTCCAGTTCTTCGGCGAATTTCCTCATTCCGGATTTTGTCGCGCAAAGAAACTCCGAGCATAGCTCTCTCCATAGCTCGTTGTGTTACTCTGAGCTTCTCCATTAGGCCAACTTTTGGAGACCATGTCTCTCAGTGCCATACGTCATGGCTGGCAACACACACTGGTTATAAACTCTTGTCTTTAGGCACTGCGGAATCTTGGCAGAAAAGATATCGCGTAACTTCCCGAACGCTGCCCCAGTTGGATTCTTCGGACTTAGCACTAATTCCTAATTACCTTACCAATACTTATGAATTTAGTTAGTTACTATACAGGGTGGCTTTTCTAAAGGTGCCCAAATTCATACAGGAGATTCAAACTCGGTAGTATAATCGTTTATTGAAATAAAAACAAACTTTATTTTTCAAAAAACTTGCCATTCCATTCCCGCGTTGACAACAAGTTCTGTTTATTAAACAGAACTTGTTGACAATGCGGTAGTCATTCATTTCATAAATGCGTCGTACACTTTTGAAACGAATGACGCGCGTAAAATAAATGAGTTGCCCATAAATCACGCACTTTTTGAGATACGTTCAAATGAATGTATTTAATTAATTACTAGTGATTTTAAATATTTATAATTTTTTATGTAACATTATTGATGTCTAGAATTTAATAAAAAAATGGATATAGTTAGAAAAGCCTCCCTGTTTACTTATATATACCTAACATAAAATAGTTGTTTTGCCCAGAAGTTTTCTTCGAGGCGAGCAATTAGGATGGACCAAGTTAAATATTTTCAAAATTAGAGGCATTAAGACAAAGTCCATTTTTTATTAACGAAAAACAAAAGTGACTTCAAATATCTCGCTCTGTATTCATTTCATAATTGATTTTCAGGAGTTCCCTAAGTCCAAAATACAATACCAATGAAATTAATATGTTCTTACATGGGAAGCTCCAGATTTCAAATAAAAAAAGAATCATCCGAATTGGTTCAATCTGTGGAAAGTTTTGAGGTAACAAACGTAAAAAAATACAGTTGAATTGAGAACCTTGTCCTTTTTGAAGTCGGTTGAAAATCAAGAAGTATACACCACCCACCCTGTGACAGCATTTTAAATAAATAAATATTTTCAGAACACATTTTTATACAATATTTTATAGTCCCTAACTAAGCAACTGTACTATGGGTACTAGATAACTGATAAACATACCTAAATATACTTTTCTTTTGTAAATAAGTACCTATATATTGTAAATATATTAACACCCAGACAATGGAAAATTACTATATTCATCACACAATATTTCTACAGTAGTGGGGATCGAACCCGCTAATCGGGTCGTTGAAAAAAAAATCTGTACCTGGGCACATATCTATTAATAATCTATTATATTTTTTTGTTTTTCTGTATTTCTGAATAATGCTTCTGTAAATGGCTTGGCGGAAAATCTCACTTTTCCCCCTACAAAGCCCAACAATTATTCGACACAAGCTCGAAACGATTCATCGACTACTCCAGGCCGCGGTCATCACCGGCAATGGAGGATCGAGGTCAATCCAGCCAAAAGTGCGGCCGTCTACTTCTCGCAGAATAAGGTAAGGTGCCCAATCCCCCATTCGTTAAACTCATGGATAGTCCGGTAACTTGGGTAGATAAAGTCAAATATTTAGATTTCGTCCTTGAATTTCCGGGCGGCCTTCGTACTAGGCCGCCTGTATCCCTTAATAAAAAACGTCTAAAACGTGTAAACGAACAAGGTGACCTTATATACGGTAGTAGTTCGCCGTATTATGACGTCGAGTTTTTTTGCATACGAGAGGCATGCTGAAATGCATTTCGGATTGAGTTACAATAAAACCTTTTTTAGAATTTGAATACTGGTCTCTTAGAATCTTAATGATATTCAAACAATCGCTATGTTTGTCTCCAAAAAGGGGAATGTTGCTACAATTCCTTTACAGGCACGCAGAACGGTTACCGCTGAGTGCTATAACACGGTTTGTTTGCCAGAAATGATAGCCGAATTCCGAAAAAATAACCCGAAACGTCGCATCCTTTTACATCACGATAATGCGAGCTCCCATATGGCTCGAAAGACAAATGATTTTATGAAGTAGGAAAACGTTGAGCTGATGCCATACTCCGTACAGTCCTGACCTGAGCCCCTGAGCCCAAACGATTTCTTTAAATTCCCTAGAATGAAAGATTTATTACGCGGTCAACGATTTGAAGACCCCGAAGCAGCTGTGCGTACAAATCGGCCATTTAGCCAACATCAACTTCAGACTGGAATTACTGTTTTAATGATTGGTTTGCACGAATGGAAAAGTGCATTAAGTTGAACGGAGAATACTTCGAAAAGCAATAAAATACAATTTAGCTATACCGTGCATATGGTTTTTCTTATTCTCGATCATTTCAGTGTGCCCCTCCGTATTGCTCCGACGCAAATACGGTACACAGAGTTCAGGTCACCTAGAATCGATTTTTGCGCAGAGCTATGGGAGCACCGTAATGAATATAACGTACAAAAATTTTTGGTCCTTGATTTATTACGACATTCGTTCTGGTCTTACTCAACAACAAAGCTATGATAGACTTCGATTGGCATTTAATAATGAACATCCGTCCCGTGTCACTATTTACAATTGTTTTAAAGAGTTTAAAATCAATCAAAAGCAATATCAATGATGATCTGCGTGAGGGGAGGTCCTTCAACTGCGACATGCGAAGATAACATCAGTGCTGTGTGACGAATGATAGTGGAAGATAAGAGAGTGAGTATGAGTCATGTACAAAAAATATTACAAGACTATTTAGGCGTTAGGAAGCTGTGTACCGACAGATTCCCCATACTTTGACCGAATACCAATCTTACACCCGGTTTCTTAAACACTGACACCCGCTATTCTTGTGTCTGTTCTTGTGTGTAAAGCGCTCTGAACTAGTTCATTTTGGACAGTAAACTAGTTCGTTCTTTTAGTTATATTAGCTCTTTTCGGTCTTCGGATTTGATCAGATAGATCTAGAATCTATGTTAGAAGAAACAACATAATTATGTGTGTCACTATGGTATATATAGAAGAGCGCTCTGAACTACAGTTTGTTAAATATACGCGGGACATTGACATTAATAAACTAAAGTGACATTACGAAATAAAGTACCATTGTGTTGCGTAAATTTTTTGTTTAACAAGTATGGAACTTCATAAACAAGATCCATATTTGTATGTCAATGTATTGTATGCCTATATTTACCTATATTAACTGTAGTTTCCTGAGTTATATTTCCCTGTATACAAAAGTACTCTTTGGATTTGTTCACACTTACGCTAAAGTGACCGAAACTTGCCGTCCTCTTTTTTCTCATTGTTTTCTCCTAACTCTCAAAAGTTCTTGATATATACGTTATAAGCTTCCCGCTGTTTAACGTTTTTCTAACTCAGGCACTGGTTTATGTATTAGGACGAGAAACGTGTTAACCCTGAAATTTTCTTTCTTTTAATTTTTGAATATTATGGAAAAAGAAGTTTGGAAAAAAATTACAGTAATCCTCACTAATATTATAAAGGTGAAAGTTTGTATGTATGGATGGATATTTGTTACTCTTTCACGCAAATACTATTGAATCGATTTTAATGAAACTTTACAAAAATATAGCTTATACATCAGAATAAGACATAGGCTATAATTAATATACATGTTTTGTAGGTATATCTGTCTTTCTGTTTGAATGTTACGCCTCCAGCCTATTCTACGCAGACGTAGTCGCGGGCAGCAGCTAGTGATGAATAAACTGTGTGGAACAGGAACTGTTACTTAAGATTGTTCGTAACAAGTACAGTCTGTTATCTCAAGATAACTGTTTTAGTTACCTGTTACGATAAATACGCCTCACTCATAATGTGAATTATTTTTTTTATTGCCCATTATTGCTATTGTTACTGAATACTGAACTAGGAATGGCCAAATAAAATAAAAATATCGATAGATTTCGTGACGAAATTTTAAAAAGCATCGATAATTATCGAGCGTAAAGTTACGATATATCGTCATTTTTTGCATGATTATGCATACATATTTTCAAAACATAAAATATTTTTTTGTAACTTAGAATAGACATGAAGAAAATAGTTGAAAAAAGTTTTTAAAGTTAACGATGCGCAAGGAGCATGCAGAGTATCTAGTAACATTAAACATGAAACAAGAATAACATTAAAAAATGTATTGTAATTGACACGAATTCGATAGTCTGAAATAAATATCGATATTTTTACATGATCGATAATGGTATGGAAAAATATGGATATTTTTATATATCGATACTTTTAGCCCATGCCTAAACTATAGCTAATATACAAAACAACATATCATTAATTCATTATTGGTTGTGGTTGGTTTGGTGATTTAGTTTATTAATTTGTGAACATTACACGACTGTCATATCATATTTCTGATATTAACTCAATCTCATTATAAAATATAGCTGCGACTAAGGATTTAAGGGACTAAATTGTAAATAATACAGTTTGTTTTGTTTATTATAAATTGAGTGGTGACTAATTTTATCATTCTTTTATTTGTCGTTATTTTTCAGCTTTAAATTGTTTAGTTTAGATCTGCATAGTATACAGAATGCCGCTTTTATTTAGCGTAGTTGCTCGGGGCACGGTTGTTCTGGCTAAATACGCAACTTGTGCCGGCAATTTTACAGAAGTCACAGAACAGATACTCTCAAAAATTCCACCCCATGATGATAAACTTACTTATTCGCATGGAAACTATTTGTTTCATTATATTGCAGAGAACAAGTTGGTGTATTTTTGCATTACGGACGATGTAAGTTTTTGTATTTAACTGTATGCTAAATACAAGTTTATATTTTTAATTATTAATTCTTTATTAATTTTTTTCTTAGAAATTTCAACGTTCGAGGGCATTTCTATTCCTTAATGAAATTAAAAGACGATTTACTACAGCATTTGGTGACACCGCTCAAACTGCAATACCTTATGCCATGAATAGTGAGTTTGCCAGGGTTCTTGCTACAGAAATGAAACACTACAGTGAATCAAAAGACTTGGACACTATATCCCGAGTGCATGGCGAGCTTGATGAGCTTAAAAACATAATGGTTAAAAATATTGGTAAGAATTATCCCTTTAGTTTAATTCTTGATATGCTTCTAATATAAAAATTCACATAAACAGTTTAGTTATGATCAAGTATTGAGGTGGCTGTAGCTCCACAGTAGTATTCTACTTGATTATTATTGGCTTATGATATCCATTTCATCTAAAGAAAGTGTATGAATCATAAGTAATTGTAAAATTTTCTTGTTAATAGTTCTTTGAATTAGTTGTAGTAACTACTTGTACACATGAATAGAGATTATAAGATATTCAAAAAAAGTTTTCATGCAGGTTTTTACAACTTTTGTTTCAATAATCCAAAATTTCCTTGTACCGCGATTCATGATCATATTAACAAAATAATGCTTCTTCCACAAAAATATTGCCCATTAAACATTTCATTTGCCTATAAATCTCTGTTTTTCTGGTTGTGATAAATGTGTATGCATTTTCTTATCAAGTCGTTATCATCAATATTGCTTGGATTGTATTGTAAACACGGCATTTTTATGTCAATGTCCAGTACATAATTAATGGCTCTGATTATAAGTACTTAGTTTAGTTTATCAATATTTATTCCTGTTTTGTTTTTATATAAACAAATGTCATGCTGAAACATGGTTGCTTATATTGTAAATATGAAAAATTGTACATTGTTATAATTACTGAGGTTTCCTTAATTTAAATCGTACTAAAATATTTGTAAGGTTTACAATAATACAAGTAATCTTAGTAATACAAAAATGTAAAGATTGTAATGTTTGTTTAAATAGTAATTATACTCTTTTTTAATTTTATTATTTTTGTGTTTGGTAAATTCATATGGTGTACAATGTGAATTAGTATAAAGGTTACGTAAAGAAAAGAAACTTCTATTTGTGTGAAAACCGTGAAGTAACATCCTCTGGATTAATGCTTGACCTTGTTATGTTGTATGTACTACAATGGATTTTTATATAGATACATATTATATTGTGTTATGTTTCTTACTATTCACTATATGTATGTAACATAATATTATTAAAGGACATATTTTCATGTTTCATATGTTAATAAAATGATAAACTTTTATACTGCAGGCTATTTACACAGGTGATTTCAAATCTTGTAGGCTATGAAAATGGAATCGGTTTAATCCATACTCATATTATAAATGCGAAAGCTTGTTTATTTTTCCTCCTTTCACATCATCACTGGAGTGATGTAATGGAATGATTTTGGCATATGGAGATAGTTCGGAGGTGGAGAGTGACATGGGCTAGTTTTAAGATGATCATGATGCATATTTGAATCACTCTGTACTAAAATTAACAGTGCATTTGTCCTTCTTTAATTTAGTATATTTATAGTTGGAAATCCACCCATAGATAATATGAATTATAAACGCGAAAGTGTTCTTGTTTGTCCTCTTCTTACGTCGCAACAGAGTGATGTTATGGTATGATTTTTGTGTGTAAAGATTATGTCGGAGTATAGAGTTTCTATGTAAAATGGTGTTTCTCGCCTTGTAAACACAATAAATTCGAACATATTGGATGAAGTAGCAGGCGATTTGACAGAGTATTTGTCCATAACACAGTTTGGACAAATATCCCTACTACTACAGAACACTACATATCCCGTAGAATTCTTAATTCACTAACTCAACTATCTCGTGGAGCCCGACATAAGCTCCAATTAAAACTATGCCTCCCACTCATGATTATGCAAACTTAAGATTCCCTTCAATTATATGGAGCCGTGATAGCTCAGTGTCCGGGCGCTCGCCTTTAATTCAATTTACTCGAGCAACCTGAGTTCGATCACCTGTGCCAGCACCAATGAAATTGTTAATTTTAAGTGCTGACTTATCACGTGCTCGGCGGTGAAGGAAAACATCGTGAGGAAACCTGCATATTTTCGAAGTAATAACAAAAAACAATATTTCGAAAAGTCCACCAATCCGCAGTGGGGCCGCATGGTGGACTATGCCCTGATACCCTCTTTACAGAGGAGGCCTTTGCCCAGCAGTGGTACATTTGTAGGCTGTTACTTTACTTTTTCAATTATATAACAAAACAAGACTGTGTCACAACTTGGACAGAACATAATTAGAGCCACCATCTTTACTCTGTTCTAAACACATCAAAAGAAAAAAATAACACTGATTTGGAAAACAAATCATACTTAAATGCGCTCTAAATGTTAGAATTGGCTGTATTTGCTGACAGGATCCACCAGATGTCGACAGGCACACTTCTATTGAGGATAGCTTAAAGCTCCAGTATGCCAGTGTACATACACTTTGTTTGCGGTCAGCGTTACCTTGGGTTCCTCTTAGTATCTTTTAGTAGTTGAACTGTTATCCATGCACAAAATGTAATAAATGAAACAGTCAACAATCAGGAGAGTTAAATTTTGCTCCCATTTTACAACTGCTATTGTTAAAAATCCAGTAGTGGATCTGTTTTATATTTTTAATTTAGGCCATGGGAGTTTTGACAAAAGATTTGTTTATTAGGCACCTGGGATTCTGATATATAAAATTAAAACTCAAGTTAACCTATGAGTCACAATAAACCATATAAAGTAAATATAGTTCATTTTTTAAATGCACATATAAGCTTCATATTACTACATTTTTTATAATTTTATGTTACAGACAACATGGCTATGCGTGGAGAAAAATTAGAATTGCTAGTTAACAAGGCAGACAATTTAGCTACAAGTGTAAGTATTATGTTGTTTGTGTGAGTTACATTATCTTAACATGAAATTAAGTACTAATTATAAAACCACTTTAAATTATCCATGGGTCTTATCCATGTATGTTGCTAGAACTTTCTATGAAAATTGAGATGTGTATTGTATGTAACTTGGTCTTGACTTTAACCATGGGCTCTTTCAAAGTATCTTAAATGTACACTATAGACAAAACCTTGACATTGTTGGATAAACCGATGACTCCGTGGCGCAGTTGCCAAGGCATTGGCTTCGGCGCCGGGGGTCGTGGGTTCGATTCCCAAACGGGACAACTATTTGTGTGACCCACAGATAGTTGTTTCTCATCTGGGTGTTTGTCCGCGTGAAATTTATGTTTGTAAAACGTCCCTACAACACAGGATAATGTTATCCTAAAGTAAGGGCAATGTTTTTTTAAAAGAAAAAAAGAACCATTAAAGATAACAAAATCAAATTTTTTGTTTGCATATTCTCCAATTCTTAGTGGCAACACATGTGACCCAATTACTTGTCACATAATTGGTGGTTTCTTTGTGAATTTAATTGATTTACTACAACTACAACTATTTGTGTGACCCACAGATAGTTGTTACGCATCTGGGTGTTTGTCTGTGTGAAATTTATGTTTGTAAAAACGTCCTTGCAACACAGGATAATGTTATCCCAAACTTAGGGCAATGTTTTAAAAAAAAAGAATTGAATTGAATGTCTTTATTGTGAGAAAACATAGTCCTACCAGCTTAGATTTGCCATATTAAAAATCATTTTAATACAAAACAAATGTAAAAATTGTTTATAGTTTTTTAATATTGATGCATGGTTTTTTGTTCTTGTTATTTGCAGTCTGTGTCTTATCGTGCGTCGGCGAGGACCCTGCAACGTTCTTTATTTTGGAAGAATATCAAAATGTACGTTATACTTAGCCTTATTGTCGGTTTGGCGATTTACCTTATTGGTGCAATGGCGTGCGGTGGATTAGCGTGGAAATCATGCGTCGCATAAAATGCAACTAATAATAACTAAGGGGGCGTTCATAAATTACGTGAGGTGTTTTTTTAATTTTCTGTCCCTCCCTCGCGCCCTGGTGAGATGTCGTGAGATTTTATTCAACCCCCTCCCCCATCCCCCAATCTCACGTGAGATTTTAAAAATGTGGGTTTCTTACGTAAACGCGTTGGATTGTTATTATAAAAAGAAAAAAATTGCTTCGTGCTTTTATTTACGACTAGTTAAGACTAGTAATCAATATTGCTGAGAGTTTAATTATAAGTGTAATAAAAATTTAACAATAGAATACTTAAATCTTAAGTATTGTGATTAAAAAAGAATATCTACTCTAATGGGCCGTGCATGATTCTCCATGGATTGACCATGGAGAATCATGCACGGCCTCAAGAAATTATTTTCTTTCGAACGAATTAATGAATGATCTTAATCGTATTACACGATTACGCTCAAGATTAAATCTTAAGCATGTACAATCTGGATTAAATGGACCAAAATAGTATAATTTTTTTTGTTTCAATCAGAAAAAAAAATTGCGTGATATTTGCCGAGACCCAACTCTCAACGTAAGATTAGATGAGATTTGACTCGACGCCCTCCCCCCCTTAAACACCTAACGTAATTTATGGACACCCCCTAATACTGTCGAAAGTTAAACATTGTTATTAATGATATAAAACCCATACAAACTGTAATATCCTTGAGCACTATCAATAATCCACATGTATGTTAATATTGATAATATAATTATTGTGTAGTATTTTTAGTTTCGGTCTAGAAGTTCCGTTTGCACTTTTTTAAAAGATTACACCTATACATTTTATATTCAGTTTTATTCATCTTTATTCATCTTTATTCAATTTATCTTGATATTTATCTTTGGCGCTTTTTTATTACAACCTTGACATTTCTAAATATTAAAAGTTATTTTCTGTCTAATGTAGTTACATAATTATATGAATATGACTGTGTAAAACGATCATAAAATACTTCTTTAAATTTTTTGCCTTTTTGATAAGATCCGAAACAGAAGTCAATGCCGCGGGAGGAATTATATTGTATCAATACGTATTATAAAAGTATTTAACCTTTAATACATAATTAGAAGCAAGAAAATGTGAAAGAATCAATCTGAAAATAACGCTTTTTATATTTTTTGTAAAATTCTCAATTTAAAAATTTCCTTTAAGAACACCTTTTTTGATTAACAGTGTTAATTTATAATGTGACATAATACACATTTAACTATTTTAATCAAAAAAAAGCTTAGTAACATGGCATTCATTTGTCATGCTCCTAATGATTTTTTTTAATTTTGCTAATAGTTTCTATGTTTTTAAAACAGCTTTGGCAAAAAAGACGATAGTTTAGTACTTAGCGTGTTTATTCTTAATTGAGTATTCTGTATACATTTTTTATCTCTAATTATGAATTAAAAAAAGGTTATTCTATATATTTTATTTTTACATCTAGTTAAATATTCAATTGTTAGATGGTCAATAGAATATATTTAACCCAATTTCATCATCATTACTTTGTACTATTTGTTTTGCCTAAGTAATGATTTGTTTTTACGATTTACAAGTTATATCACAGTAATACATTGATTTATATCATTATTATATTTTTAAATAAAATTTCGTGTTAATGGCTTTATTTTTCAAGTAAAATTAGTCTCTTTTTTTCCACGAATTATAAATAACTTTCAAGTAAACACGAAGACTTTAACTGTAATAAATTAATTGCTTTATTCCATTTCAAGGATAGGCGTAATTTAATTATATCATTCCAAATATGTATTATGATAATATTCAAAAATCATTATTGTTTCAAATACAGTTTTTAATGAGTAGTACATTTATTTTTTCCAACCGAAATAAAATTAAACCATAAACGATAAGAAAGATGCAAATTTTGGCAATATGGTATGGTATTGCTATTGCAAAGCTTGTGACAAAGTGAATAAAAGTGAAAACTCAATTTGATGACCTGAAATATTGTTTTATGTAATAAAAATAATAGTTTTGTTCATTTCATTTTATATAATAATTTTATACAACCCAATTATATTATTAAGACTAAAGTATTGTGATATCATCATTTTTTATTGTAATTATAATATTAAACAATTTGTGAAAATATGTTATTATAAAATTGTAGATTACGCGTTGTTTTATTTTAACCATCTACGTCTCAGTTTATCCGACCAGTTTATTATTATAAAGAAAAAAACCTCGTTTATATACACGTGTATCTCAACTAGGAAGCGAATTCCCCGTCAAGCGAGTCGTGCAATGTCAATGCCACCCTCTCCAAATATCGGTTTGGTCCAATACCGGGAACGTGTGGTTGATCCCGGCCGGGAGGGTTGCTCCCCTCCCGGCCGCTCGCCGCCGCCTCCCGGCAATCGCGCGCCAACCGTTGCCGCGAGAGGGCGCCGCGGTCGTGTCCGCGCTGTCACGAACACGTGCTCGATCCACTACGAGACCGTTGTGTGGGTGAACGTTGAATTGTCGGTACGCGTACGATGCGGCTACGCTGTGCGTGCATAGCATAGGAATTGTCCGGATGGGCCGATGTGATAGCTAGTGTATTGGTATGTTTGATGCGGTACGTCATCGTTGTTCCCCGGGGATCGGCGTCGATTGATATCGCGCTTGCGGATGTGTTTTACGTTAATTCCTTCCGCGGCTCGTCTCTCACTATGCTCGTAAGAATTATGTTAAACGTAGTTCATGAAGACGCTATTTCGAGAGGAAACTTCTTTCCATATTTAATCAATTTGGAATGTCAGAAAGTTGACAGTATTTATTTTACTTTGTAGTAATGAAGAGAGCAATTCATTGTAACTTGTAAGGAAGACGTCGAATGACCAAAATAAATATTCTCGTATGTCGATTAAGTAATGCGTCAATGTATTGGTGGTCAATTGTATGAATAGCCCCGAATAACTCACTTTATAAATGTAATTCGGTATTCAGCGGTTAATTTTGAAAAAGTATGTTTTAAGTTCTTTAAATTATAACTGTTTACTAATGAACACACTTGCCTTTGTATTGTTCTTGTTCGGTGGTCTGTTAATAAAACAGGAAGTGGTGTCGATTTTAGGGAAGGTTACGAACCGTTTGCAGGTCATTGTTCGTCTATAAGTGGAAGTCTCGTTTTGATTCTATGTCTTTCTGGGGTATATTTCATATAAACTTTTTGGCGGCCAAATTAAAGTAGTACATTCACAGAGAGCTGATATGTATACAAATGCGATTACAACAATGGGTTAAATGGACTTTTGAAATGATTGTAAAATTTAAATAACGACCACTGAAATATATTTTCAAATTGAATGGTGCGGTGGTGTCGGAAACATGGATGACAGCTCACCGGACCTGTCGCTTAAACTGCGACGGGGGTCCAGCGACTCGAGGGAGTCTTTTTACATGGACTTCGCCCAAGGGATCGACTCGGATATCGAAGAGGTCACGACGATCGAACGTATAATACCTGAACATCCGGGCGGCAGAACAGAGGGCGATGCGGATACTCTGGCTACTCCTTCCGGCCTCGATGACAAAGACCTGGCGCAATAGTAAGTTCCTTCCTGTTGCCATTTAATTTTTTTTTCATTGATATACACGTTTTCTTAGGAAATTATGGAAAATTGGGCGCAACATTAAACAATAGAGGATTTAATTCAAAATTCAAGATTTCTTTTTGTGTGAAATGGGAACAAAAATTAACAATGTGAATTGGAGATATGATCATTATGTATGTGTTAACGTGTTAAATGGTTGGTACCTTCAACTATGAAGCTTTTGTGGTTACTAAACTACTACTTACTAGTTTCTCATCGATATATTGGTATTACATAATTTTTATTAAAATATGACTACAATTTTTGAACTTTAAGAAACTTCAGTTTCCAATAGAAAGGTAATAATAATAAATAGTAAAAGTAATAATCTGTAATACCAGTAGGTATTACAGATTATTACCATACTTAATGCGCTCGTAACATGATGTTATTTGTTACTACTCCTTACTTTTTTAATTAACGCGTTATTTATAATCCATTTACTAATGAACGCACTCCAATTCAACGCGGTAAGAATCCTTAGCGGGGCCATATCTGGTAAACGGTTTCATTTGACCACATGACATATGGTCTCAGTTATCTGACCTTAGGGTTCTACGGAGAAAGCCCTCTAGATCCGATACGACCCGTCAGACGAGTGCCGGTGACATACTTTTGGCGGTTCTAAGTCTTATCTTTTTGTATCACAACAAGTAAGTGTGGGGAGCTCGGATAATTGTGTATTATTTATTATTGTTGTATGTAAATTCATTTCATGGTTATATAGGTATCTAGCTAGGACGCCTCTTCTGTGATGTTTGATGACTACATACTGGAGAAAATCAAATAGTGAGCATTATCGAATTTAATATAATGTCAACTTGACGAGTACCTTACAAATTATTTTGTATTAAGTACTTTAAATGCATATACGTTTAAAAAAAATAAAATTTGAAAACGTGTGGTCGTACTTAATTGGGTCCGTTCCGTAAGGTAAACCGTACTGTATATAGGTACATATATTATTTTACATAGGCTTTTACAAAAAAAACGGTAAAAGTGGATACCATCTTCATCTTTTTTTTATTTATTTTAAGAGTGACATAAAATGTATTCTCACGAATTACAATGTTTTTCGGTTAAATCCCATCCACCGAAGTAAAAAAAAGTCTTGTTCTGAAATAAAAATTAAACATTGATTTTTATCTATTGTTCGTTCTTTCCTGGTTATGCTTTTATGTGTTAGTGTTTTTCCAGCTGTAGTATTTGGTATTAGGAGAGTATCCTAGTTATCGTGCCCTCGTTTCCTATTGAAAAGAAAAAGGCCATGGATGCTAAACAAAGCTGCATAATGCATCCTTTGTCTCTTACGAACACTGTTTTTTACGAGCAAAGCCTAAATTATTGTTTGTAATTTCTGATACAATTTCTTTATTATTATTATAGGCAGATAAATAATTTAAATAGAAGCTTTATTGTATGAAATAGCCTTTGAGAAATATAATTGCATTCTTAAACTGGTGTCATAACGTTTGTAATTCGAAATACTTAACAAAATTTTTCGGGCTTAATTTTTACTTCATTGATGAAATTGCTTAAATCTTAATTTAGAAAAAAATAATAATATTGAGTTTTTAATTTTCTAATATTAAGAAAAAAACAAGCTTTACAGTAAAAGTACAATACATGTAATCATTTGAAGCCCTGTAGCCTGTGATAATTTAGAACTGTGTTACAGACTGCATCAGTGTTACCTAATAATAAACATTGATTGCTATGTTCCAAAGAAAATAAGAAGATAATAAAAAATGGGTCATAATAAACAGCTATGATTGTTAAATAATTTCTTACTCATCTGCTTAGTGTCGTGACAAACTTGGCAGACGTAAATCAAATTTAAAATTCACTATTAGGCCCATGGTTATATTTATTCCCTTATCAATTACAAAAAAAAAATAAAATTTGTATATAGGTACATATATTATTTTACATAGGCTTTTACAAAAAAAACGGTAAAAGTGGATACCATCTTCATCTTTTTTTTATTTATTTTAAGAGTGACATAAAATGTATTCTCACGAATTACAATGTTTTTCGGTTAAATCCCATCCACCGAAGTAAAAAATAAACATTGATTTTTATCTATTGTTCGTTCTTTCCTGGTTATGCTTTTATGTGTTAGTGTTTTTCCAGCTGTAGTATTTGGTATTAGGAGAGTATCCTAGTTATCGTGCCCTCGTTTCCTATTGAAAAGAAAAAGGCCATGGATGCTAAACAAAGCTGCATAATGCATCCTTTGTCTCTTACGAACACTGTTTTTACGAGCAAAGCCTAAATTATTGTTTGTAATTTCTGATACAATTTCTTTATTATTATTATAGGCAGATAAATAATTTAAATAGAAGCTTTATTGTATGAAATAGCCTTTGAGAAATATAATTGCATTCTTAAACTGGTGTCATAACGTTTGTAATTCGAAATACTTAACAAAATTTTTCGGGCTTAATTTTTACTTCATTGATGAAATTGCTTAAATCTTAATTTAGAAAAAAATAATAATATTGAGTTTTTAATTTTCTAAATTAAGAAAAAAAAAACAAGCTTTACAGTAAAAGTACAATACATGTAATCATTTGAAGCCCTGTAGCCTGTGATAATTTAGAACTGTGTTACAGACTGCATCAGTGTTACCTAATAATAAACATTGATTGCTATGTTCCAAAGAAAATAAGAAGATAATAAAAAATGGGTCATAATAAACAGCTATGATTGTTAAATAATTTCTTACTCATCTGCTTAGTGTCGTGACAAACTTGGCAGACGTAAATCAAATTTAAAATTCACTATTAGGCCCATGGTTATATTTATTCCCTTATCAATTACAAAAAAAAAATAACTTTTTACATGGTTTTAACTCAAGTAGAGTTACCTGAAAGCATTAATTGAATTGCAAATCTTCATGAGAATGTATAAATTCACGGTAAAAATTATAAGTAATGAAGTGTCCATCTGTCACTGTGTACTTACGTTGGAGAGAATGCCCACTTGAATAAGTCTTTAAACGAACGTGCCGTTGCGTGATATTACGTCATTAAAGCATTTTAAAAAATTTTAATAATGAAAGAGAACAAGAAATATTGGCATTGTTTGTAAAATGTAATAGGGTCTTGCTGATTTGTAAGTGCTGATAAGGTTACGTTATAGGTTAAAGTTTACATCAATAAAAATTGACATACATACAAATATTTTTGCCTCGTATGTGTTCTGTAAAAAGAAGATACAATTTTATTGTTAGATTGAATTGGTATTTATTAACTTTAAAGCATTTGAAAGGATATCTACAAACTTAGCTCGGAGCTTTCTGTGTATTTCGAAACACTATTTTAATTTTAAATTTATTTTATGGCAACACCGTAGTTAGAATTACTTCTATAAAAATTAGGGACCACCATTGAAGGCGTTCTCAGTTCTCACTGGAAAGCGTGAATAAGATTTACGATTACTTTTAATGGCTTTCTTAAGAACCATTCATTTCCAGAGAACAGCTTCTCTCCAATTGGTCGGCAAGGGTTTAATTTCGTACGTGTCATTTGTTCTAATTTTTATGGCTTTAGCTCTTCTGCATTTCGTAATATTAACTTAGTCATTTTCTTCTTTTTATAATGCGAAACTTTGTTCTCCTTTCAAAATATTAAGTGGTTAATGGTTTTAATAAGGTTATTAATTATTTTCAAATTAATTTATTTCCGTGTAAAAATAAATCGTTAGTTTTCTCCATTGTTAAATTTGATTTTTAAAAATCAACGAATTTCGCACGGAGTAGTAAATTCGAGAATATGTTTATTGCTAGAGACTTCAAGTTATTGTTTTTTTGGTTGTTATTGGGTGATATTTTATACTTTACGTTTAAAATACCATTGTACTCTAATAGTATAAACATCCTTGTTTCATTTTGCTTGTTCTTTTATTAAAACAATGCCTTTACTCTAGTATAAAATTATTCTCTGTTGTAAGAGTTTTACAAACATACATTTAACGTGGACAAACACCCAGATCCGAAACAATTATCTGTGAGTCATACAAATATTTTTCCCGTGTGGGAATCGAACCCACGACCATGAAATGTTATGCATTCTAAACCTAGGCACTTGTGTACAGTTTGTATATTCTGGCATTAGAAACATTTCAGTCTATTAATAAAATAGCTTTGTGGTTTTACTAATCCAGCATACATTCTGTATCAATATATACTCTGACTGGCAACCTAAGCGACGCCAACTTAACTTGTTACGGATGCGGTCGGAAACTATTTGCGGGCGGTTTGCGTTCATTAGTAGCCTCAACTAATGGTGGCTTTGATCATAAATCAAAACGAATGGTAATTAATGGATTGCGTTGTACTATTCCATTTTATATTGAACTTGAAAGCTGTCTATGTTTACAATGTTTTTAACACGGAATACAAAATTTTGAATTCGTATAAAGTCAAAACTTATTTTTATTCGATAATGATTTTTCTTATTTACAAGGACGTGGTCTGGGAGGATAAGGCGGGTATCTCATGACCATGTCACCATGCTGTAGTGCTCGGAATATCGGGATTAAAAAAAACAATAAATTATTACAATAACTGCTCAGTATTACTGCCTTTGCTTTTAATTAATTATTCTCGATCAAACTGAGTAGAAATCCTAGTTATGCACCAATTTCAGTTGAATTCGATCATAGAAATTTAAGGCATTGATTAACCGTGTGTTCGTCAGTGAAGATAAACCTAGCATGTATTAGAAATATTTAAAAATGTTTTCGAAAATATGTGAAATCTGTATCAAAAGACTGCTCTGCTTAGCAGATTTCATTCCTCAACTTACATTGTGAATTGGAAAAGTGATAGAACATTATAAAATATATACAGATTTTAATTCTAATTACATTCTAAGTTGAGGGAAACGCAAGGAATTTCATTTATGGCGTAGACCTCCGAATTTTATATTTTTATTAACCACAAATGAAAAAAAACTTGCTAATTAATTCTTTGCGATTATATATAGTGAAACAATAATTTTAGTGACATTGTGATATTTTTTGTAACTAAACTTTACAAATTAAGGTTAAAAGATAGCTATGAAGTAGATGTAATTAAATATATATTTGATGATTCCGTGGCGCTGTCGCCAAGGTATTGGCTTCGGTGTCGGGGGTCGTGGGTTCGATTCCCACACGGGACAACTATTTGTGCGACCCACAGATAGTTGTTTCGCATCTAGGTGTTTGTCCACGCGAAATTTATGTATGTAAAACGTCCTTACAACACAGGAAAACGTTAACCTAAAGTAAGGGCGGTGTTCTTTAAAAAAAATTAAGAACCGCTAAGTATAACAAAGGGCTGTTTAAAATATGTCTTACTGCTGACAAATTATAAATGTGCGTTATGATAAAACTAGCTGAAAAAGATGACCGTGAGAGTAATAATAAAATATCTGTGTCTATATTACATATCAACTTTTGATCCAGTTAATGAAGAACAAATGAGTCCTACTTTACCGTAGATTTAAAAAACGACCAAGCTCACGCGCCCTGTAGTCCTTTTGGGGTTCATTTGCTATCTGTTTTTCATCTAGAGCCCATTTTATTTATCGGGATCTTTAAAACATACTGTGCTCGGTAGTCGTGCCTACAAAAACT